AGAGTACACACCAAGAGAGTACACACCAAGAGAGTACACACCAAGAGAGTACACACCAAGAGAGTACATGCTGAAAGAATGCATATTGAGAGGATGCGGGTGTACTTGCATGCTTTAAGACGGCTCATAAGTCCTAGAAGAGGGCTGAGAAACCATAAGATCAATACCAAGGACTTGACTAAGCTCTAGCTCAATAAAAGGCATGATTCTTAGTGTTTTGGTAGAGTTTTAGATAGATGGAGTGATGGATTAAGGATCAGAATCATCATGATGGAAATCCTAAGTGTTAAATGTTCGTTTCACCGCCTTTTTGGCCAATCAGAAAGCTTTTTTTTGCCTTTCCGCCCCTGAATCCTCCCTAAAAGGCTTCAAAAATGACCGAAAAAATCGAATCTCTGAACTGATCAGTTACTGCCAGTTGGACTATTGGATCACTGATAGACTGAGACGATTCAAAATGTCTAAACTGATTCACTTTAACTGCTCACTTGTCAGTCAGTTGACCAGTCGACTGACTGGTTGGCCAGCCTGGATCCTGTTTGATGGCATAGAAGTCAGGTGATGTAGCTGAGCGAAAGTGTCCAGGTGTGTACCCCGAAGATCTACACTATCCGGATAAAGTCGGCACCCAATATATCTCTGCGAACTGATTTCCCAGCATCTTTACCCAATTATACTTTGCAGTTCGTAACTGCGCCTCGTCTTCGGGGCTGTGGTCGAACTTGTGATCGTCAAGTGAAGGTTACATTTTATATATTGTTCTGCAGAACGCGTTGTTTCATCTACGAAGTCCTATTTCTACGATAGCTGTTGGGGGCCATTTGTTGATGAAGAACGGATACATGCAGGTTTAATCTATGATTGCGGCCATTCTTAGATTGAAATGCGACCCATTCCGTGAAGTTGCGTAGAAAACATTTATCCATTGCTCAGCTCATGATGAAGGTGGTACATGCCAAGGCTTATAATCAAGTCATGGATAAAACGCGTGAAGAAGGTGTGTTCGCAGACGACATGAATATGTATAATAACCCCAATGCAAATTTACTCGCTTCCGTTTAGTAAACATTCTAGGAGTCCACCAAATTTACAGATTGACGCCAAAGATGTCGACAAATACAACAGTTTATACTGGTTTCTGGACTAACTGGTCCAAAGGAGCAGTGACTGGATCGACTCTTACACTTTCTAATCGAAATGGAGCTGTACTTATTGCCGCTTTGGCTATATTCTTGCAAGTATGCAACCTCATGGCTCTTATGTTCTGATCCTCTTTTGATTTTCACGTCCAATGAACTTGGAACGTCTCTTTTAAAGTTCGCTTTCAGATAGAGGACTTGCTCTGAGACTTATGGGATTTAACTGATTGTGGGTAGTTTGCCGGCATAGGCTCATGGAGTATCATGTGCTTTGTGGCTCACCAGATGAGGACAACAACCGAAGCAAGAGATGGCTTACATCACCAGCAACAAGCAGTGTTGCGCAACGCAACATCTGATTTCGGTACATTATGGCAATTCACAAGAATAGGGTGGGCTTGGCGTTCTCGTTCGTCGTCCTTTCGGCGATCACTTACGCCCGTTCTCATTGGAGCCTTGCACGTGATAGCTTTTGGTGCTGCTTCTATTCTTTCTTCACATATCACGACTGTTGGAGATCAAGTACTGGTAGCTCAAAGTCCACTATGTGGTGATTGGAAGGTTGCAACTGCTGGTACTACTCTCAACTCGACAACGGGCAGAGAAGAGACTGCATACGACAGCTATCTCAGGATGACTATGGCTGCTAGTCAAGAATATGTTCAAACTTGCTTGTCAGGTTCAGAACTGCCTGAGTGTAACACGTTCAAACAACGACAATTATACTGGACGTCGGCAAACATTTCATGTCCTTTTGATAATTTGTGTCTTGGTGCAGAGAACGGCTCTTTCTACATGGATACTGGTGTGCTTGACTCGAGAGACGATTTCGGTATCAATGGTCGAGATAAAGAGCGAATTCAATTCAGGAAAAACACAACTTGTGTTCCAATCAAGTCGGATGGCTATATGGTAGAGGGTAACAGCTCCATAGACTTTGATGGGTATTTCTCTTCGGGATCCAGTGGAACCGCAGCTTTCAATTATACCGCAGCATTCTATGGACCAATGAATCCTGAACAATTTGCAGATTCTGGAATTGAGGATTCCTCGATTTCGAATGCCACTTATATCTATACTAACTTCAGAGAGATGGCTACCCCAATGTGGAACAACGGGAAGTCGCCATATGATGTTCAGTAAGTGCAAATCCAAGGCTGGGTGATGAATCGTTAATTTTACTTCTAGTGTCGAAACATCGATCCAAGGCTTCTTTACACCTCTGCCAGAATTCAAATCGTCCAATCAGACACTGTCATTGATATTTGCGTCGATCGGGGGATTCTACCAAGAAGTCTCTGATGATCTTTGGCTTTCGGCACACAAGAACTACACAATCCAGGACGACGAAGCAAGTGGGGGTAGCTACGAGGAGGAGATCTTCTATCCTGACAGAAAGCTATCCGCTCTAGCTTGTGTGGAGCAAGTTCAAATATGTAACCCTTCTCCGCAATTCAACAATAGGTCCCGATGTACGCCCTGGCTGCCAAGCGATGTTTTGGAATCTAGTAAAGAAATCTTAGCCGAAGTATTAGATACGGAACGTCAGAAAGCACTGGCTTACACCATGAGGGTCGCATCAGAGACCTCCATGATATTTTATGTCATCGATAGTTTGTCTTCGCCCCTGTTAGCTGATGAGTTAGCCTATGCTGGCCAGTTGCTGCCACCTGCTCCGAATCAATGGGTTCTGGAAGCCAGTAACTGGTTTACTATCAGCCTTGCAAATACACAGCGCTTCTTTAATGAGTATGTGACCGGTCCTCCCCAGGAATTTGCCCAATATAAAGACCAAGACACAGCCAGAAACTATCCAAGTATAGGTTGGGTCTGCCAAAACTTGATCATCCGACGCAATGATTTTACCAACTTCAGCACCTTGGCAATCAGTTTGGTATTCGGCCTTGGTCTACTGGTCATGGCGACGAGCATGTGTCTAGAGACACTCGTGGGTTTGTTTCGCATAAGGCTGAAGAAGTCGAAGTGGAAGCAGAGAGCTTGGTGGGCAGAGGGTACTCTACAATTGCAACGAAGAGCATTTGAAGCACTTGGGGTGCGAGATTGGGAGTCAGGCGACTGGGACAGTATTCCACTTTCAGACAGAGGTCATACTTGGAACGCCTTCCAGTACTGGGATGAGATTCGTCCACTGGTTAAAACACCAGAGAAAAGTCCCGGAGAGCTAGAAAGCCAGGCTAGCCCATCGGTGCATGATGGTTCGCAGCAGACTCACAGTATGGTGATGAAATTGCCTTTGGTAGCAGAGAAGGAGATGAAGAAAGATGTGCAAAGAATACGCTCCAAATCTTTTTGAGGTTGAGTTTGAGGTTGAAAAGCATGCATAGTACATGCTAAGGCAGCAGATGATTTTGATTGGATCAAAGTAGCGGCGCAGAATTAAGAATCTTTTTTCAAGCTCAATATCCCTATCAGCCTTTGATATCTGTATGAGAGGAGTGATTGAACCCTTGTGCCGTGTCCAGAAGCCATACGAAGATGATTGAGATCGCACGAACTCCTGTAGCTCAAGCGACGAAGAGCTGTTCATACATTCAAGCTTGCAAAACGAAGTAAGTCTTCAGGATCTCGCCGACAAGGTTTTTTGGCACACCAAATGTATCGTTATCTAGACAAAACTTCCGGATTCGATGATTATTGCGACTACTGAGCCGTCAGTGCGAGAAGTTGCATCTTGTGGGACAGTCGAGATTGTATTAAGATTTTCCTGGGGCTGAACTCAAACGCCAAGTACGGGGTATATTCTTGCACGGACTCGATGAAACAAGAACAATACTCGATCCTATCAAAACGAGAGATGAACGTCATTTCCAACCCTATCTGCACTCCGTGAGTTTCTCTGATACAAAACTCTGCAGCTCTCAAACCACCTGCTCGTACCCATTCGCCAACCTTAATTCTAAACTCTATCTGCATAAAAAGCTACCTAACGGCGAATAGTAGAGATAGAAACCATGGATTTGCACACAATAGAGTTTTTGAATTATAGTTCATTGCGAGTTCGAGTTCGTGAGATCGCACCAATAGATTTGAAAAAGTCAGTTCTAAAGATAATTCGACCACTTATACATATGGTTCCCGCAGCTACATCCATCCTAGAGATGATTAAAGGGTGTCCCTTTCTTTTCATCTCACCACCAAAAATTATTTTCAATTTTCGTACAATTCACGATGCTTGATCTTGCTGTTGCAATCCCAATCTTAGTGGGGAGTATCGTCTCCATGTTTGCTGCTGGTTTCATTTTCCTATGCTACCTGCTCCTGCCGCCCCAACGACATTTCAGACACACATTAATCTTGAACCTTGCTGCAGCTGGTGAGTATTTCTCACAAAGCTATTTGCATATCAACTTATGTCTCAGATTTTATCAACGCCACGAATAACTCCATTTCTGGCATCTATGCAATTATACACAAATCAATTCCAGCGGGTCCGGCCTGCACGTTTAACGGATGGCTAGGCCAGTTGACAGTCCAGGTCAGTCGCTACTCGATGATGGCCACACATTATTGACCATTTTCAGGCAACTGACTTCTCGATCTTTTTCATCACGATTGCAACTGTGATTACTCTTCGAAGATGGAACTATCATCCTGAGGCACAACGCAAAACCAAGATTCTCATCTCATGTTGGATCTGGGCTGTGCCACTCATGACCAGTAAGTCTAACCACTGCATTTAAGAGCTCGGTACTGAGAAGCTATCAGGCACTACAGCTCTCGTGCTCAACAAATACACACCAGTCAGCGGTAACTGGTGCTGGATCAGCCCAGAACCCGCTTACCTTCGCTATGTGTTGGGGCATGGCTGGCGCTTGTCCATAATTCTAACTACAGTGGCTCTCTACCTCTACCTCTTTATCTACATCCACCGCCATTTCTCATCTCTGCGCGAAATATCAGCCTTGAACGTGTATGAAGATCACGTACTCTCTCAAACGCAGCAATGGTCCGAGTCCGACAAGGACCAACATCATGACAATATCTACATACACAATGACTTCGAGGTTTATGAAGAATATACTGACTTCGATTGGGAAATCGACGAACCTGTCCAGGAAGAATCGTACTTCAACTTCCCTGACCCTGTGTACATTACTCAACGCAAAGACAAGGAAACCCAATACAATAGTCCCCCACCTTCGCCATTCAAAGTAATCAAACAGACAATTCATCCCAATGCCTCCACCCGAGCCGAGGATACAGTCACCAGTCAGACATCTCTCCTACTCAGTCGAGACCCTCTTGCATTGGTCCCTCGGCCTCCTCAAAGTAACTTGACCACAACTGCTACATCAACAAATCCTCCACTAAGGGTTCTGAAGTCAAGAGAAGTGCACATACAGAAACTGCTCCTATTCAACGCATATCCGATCGGATACGTGCTGTTATGGATCCCAGGAATCATGAACCGATTCGCAGAGCTCAGCGGATATAGCTCTAGGGCTTTGGCAATTGCACAAGCAAGTACACAGTTTGTCGGACTAGCAAATGCCTGTGAGTATCTCCTTCCTTTCGGCCTTTGTGGCGTCTTGACAGGTTTGACTCAATCCCAACGAATACTAATCCTTTCTCCAGTGGTATATGGATACAACGAACGTATATGGGCACTTGCACAACTTTACTACAAGAATAAAAAGAACAAGTTTCGTCGTCGCAAAGAGCTTCACCATCTCGCCAAGAGCGCTCGCAGAACGGAGAATGCGAGACGCCACAACCAGCGGCCATCAATCTCGAAACCACAGCCGATTTATCAATGACTCTTCTCTCTCTCAAATGCTCAGAATAAAAGAAATGCAACGAAAGGATTAGAAATGCGGAACAATTTGAAGTGTGAAGACTTCCGTATGAAAAGCCACCAAGCGGGATGTGATCAAGAATCCAAGCCACAAGCGCTCTTTGCTTTTCTCAACCTCATCTCCACCACCAACGAAATTTCCTCATTCGGACATCTTCTCGCGTAAAATTGAGTCTTTCAGACATCTCCGGGCCATGTGATAATTCTCATCGCCACAATTGTCAAAACCGACTCAAATTCCCCAATCACAACCAATGCCACCCCACATCCAGAGCACGCAAGCGCATGATCTAGCTGTCGAAGACCCGAAGATCTGGTTGATGAGACATGAAATATGAGTGATTGAGACGGTGGAGAAAAGGAAATATAACTTCGCGAGCCCAGAGCAAGATGCTCCTCCGTCCTCCACCCATTCCACCTTCCATATGTTCTGTAATATTGATCAATAGTCTGTTCTTGCTATACCAAACTTGTGAAAATGGAGAATGATATGCAAGCTGTAGGTTACGCGTCCACTTTGAGATGCAAACTCAAGAACTGATAAGCCGGTAGATACCACCAGCTCCCATTTCCATTCGTTCAGGATCTCCGGAGCGAGGAAGGGAAAGATTGAGAACACGACCGTTATCTTATGCTTCATCGCCGCAATTGAGTCCTTCTCCATTCTCCCAAGACCAAACATCATCGAGATCGACGTCTAAGCATTCCTCTCTCCAACCACCACCTTCCTCATCCTCAGCTTCTCCATCTCCAGATCGAAAACGAAGTACCTCTCCTTACCCATCACCCTTCGTCTCCACGCCCTCGAACGATTTCTTGTTCCCTCAAACAGACAGCCAAGAAGAAGGACTACACCGCCAACCATCCACCCGTCTCGAAATCGCCACCGCAATCCGCCAACCATCCTTTCCCCAATTCCGAAACAGCATCATTACAAAGCCCAGCATGAGTCTGATCACTCGCCCTGGAATAATACACGTCCAACCCAGCCAACCTCTGGCCCGGACCCTTAGTCCCACAACACCACTCTCAGCCGCGAGCACGATCGTGAATCCTCACTCGCCATTATCAACAACCCCAGAATCCGCAGTCTTGGGTAGAAATCGAGAAGCAAGGGTATCAGTCATCAACGTCGGAAGACCAAGCTCAGGATCCGGATATGCAGCTGGAACAAGAACTAGTGCTCGCGCGAGTCTGTTAGCAGGACCTGGACCGGCTATTCGACCTGCGGGCCCGAGACCGATGCTTGTGCATTCACATACTGATCCGAGTTCGGATCGGAATGCCGGCTTGCGGCCTGAACTTAATTCTTTGGACGACGCTGAAGAAAGGGCGAGGTTTTTGGATATGAAGGTTGAGCAGATTTTGGGGCCTAGGAATGATAGGCCGAGGAAGGAGGAGAGAAAATCGACGTTGGGGTTACAGGATGTGAAGAAGATGATTGGGGATATGAAAGAGAGTGAGGGGAAACGTGAAAAGAAGATTGTGAAAAAGGAGAGAGACAGCGAGGCCATGGTTGGGAAAGAGTTGTGGCAGAGTATGTACTCGATGAGTGGGGAGACTCTTGATGAGGGGTCGGGGTCGGGCTCTGGCTCTGTCTTAGGCATGAGGGGGCTGGAGACCCCAGATAGGTTGATGAGTGCTAGCGATGGGGAGTATTCGCCTGGAAGTGGAACGAACAGGAGGGTATGGAATGGCAGAAGAGGGTGTGGTACTGGTATGGCATGGTGGAAAAGGTGTCTGAGACGGTAAAGCTGGATGCGAGTACGCAGAGATAGGCGTGAAGATACATGAGATGAGGGACATCGAAATGATACCAAGAGGTTCAAGAACGAGATTTGGAGATAGATGGGGTCCATTTGGAGTTTGGGTGTTTCGTTTTCATGAACATGACAACGGTGTTGACAAGACTGTAGATAGAAACGATTCGCTAAATTCAAATGTATATACCTAGGTATTTGGAGATCAAGCCCATAGCTTCTGCTGTATAGCCGAATATGTTCTCCGCCTGATTCGCCATCTCCAGAGTCCGCAAACCACAGTACCGCAACTGATGAATATGGTAAGCTGCAAGATATATCTGATGCGTTGCTGACGATCCATTTGGAGCTGAAACTCTGCTTGTTGTTGCATCGTCTCGTGCTATGTCGTATTAGTCCCAGATCTCCGATCATAAATCTGATAACATACCTCACAACTCGTCTCAACCATTTCAGAAACACCCAGCGTCTGTCCTTTCGCATCGATTGCGATAGCTCTGACATAGTGCCATCGATGACAGTCGATATTTGCCTTCGTCTCAAAGCCCGTCTTAGGCATCATCTCAACATCAACCAAGCTTTTGACTTCCAGTCCTCCGTCACTCGAGCTTTGGAGTACCCAATTCGCAATTTCAGTCGCTCCATTCCAGCTCATGTATATCGCGCCATCAAGAGATTTGACTGCGGGTTTTGTTGTAGGTCGACCAGTCCAAGAATGCTTCAAGACTTTGTAAGTTTGCACCGCACCGGTATTGAATGTCTTCTGACTTCCAATATGAACATCGCAAAGTGGTTCGCCCTCAGGTGTAAACTCGGTCCATGCGGCATTATACCCAAAGCCCAGCAGTACATTTCCACTTGGTAGTAGTTGCATGGAGCCTTGTGACCCGCTGATAATCTTGCGAGGATTGACGTACGAATTCTTGACCTCGGCTGTCATCGCTTGGAGATCGAGTGCAATATGTACACCGCGAGAACTCTCGACACTAGGCTTGAGACCGTATCGAGCTCCGTTGTCAAAGAGAGTTACGCCGCTGTGATCGGCAGTCCAGCGTGCGTCGTGTTGCCATCCGAATTTGGTAGCTTGACCTCCGGAGAGGTCTTTGAACGAATTGTGTTTTCCTCCCAGTGTCCAAAGGATATCTCCAGTTGAGCCATTGATGTATGTTAGAGATTGGTAGTATCTCGAGGAGATTAGGTAGTTTCCGAGATAGTCCTTGTCAATGCTGTTGATATGGAAGAAGTCATAGCCGCTTTTACTGTTCCTCCCTGTCCCGCCTGACGGGAATTCCGATTCATCGATATTGAAGTGCTCGGCTGCATGCCACTCGAACAATACTTTTTTTGTCTCGATATCGACTTCTTGTATCACAGAGTCCCAGATGAAACCCTTTCGACTCCTTGGACCAACCCCTCCAAATGTTGCTTCTTCGAACAAGTATTGCGTTAACAAGGCTGTACCGTCTTTGCTGATGTGAAACTCGTGAAGATCACCTGGCCTGCCATTTCCAGCAGAGAGTTTGTAGGCTTCCCGATAGGACGAGTCCAGTAGAAAATAATACCCCTCTCCATGTCCCCCAACACTATCATCGCCTTGCCAGAACGTTAAGTATTCTTGGCCCTTGTAGCTCTGTACACTTAACCCAAATGTTTCGCCGTAAGTCGCATTCATCCACACCAAATTTCCCTGTGAATCGTGTATCATCGGACTTTGCCCTTTCAACTCTACTTTGTCGCCACGAAGACTTATCATCGTGTAGAGTCCATCATCGCATCTTGAATCTGACTTTAAGATGTTTAGTTGTGGTGAAATCGAAGTCGGTTCCGTTATGTATGTCCTGTTTGGATAGGCTCCGAGTTCTCCATTGTCGAAGGCCTCTGATCTGATGTGTGGGAGGACATCTTCGACGGCTGAGACCAGCAAGGGGAGTATAAGGGAGAGAGTAAACGACTTCATCGGATAGTGATGTCTGTAGATTGTGAGGAAGTAATGTTTGCGGTCCTGAATTTTCCAACTCTTCTGTCACTCGTGTTGAAATGATGGGGAAAGCGCAAAGGATAGACAGCAGGAGTACGCAACATCAACAAGAAACTTCATTATTATCAAAAGCACGGGGCAACAGTCAACGCAGCATACACACGACACCCATGAGGGGCCGCCGTCATCCCCATGAGTGTGCAGTGAGGCTGACGCGACTGTGGGGAAAAGAAGTGCTTTCATAGAGAACAAGCAGTGGGTGCAATGCGAACAGCACCCGTTTCATGTGGATCTTATCAACTCCGCAGTGCAAAACTTCGCTCTGCAAATATATACCGATACAGTTCTATATTTGCAGACCCATGGTAACGCGCGTCATTCTTTATGATCGCCCTGTGCGGAGTGGGTTTCAGGTCTTGGCAACGCTTATCAATGGCGGAGCGAAAACACCAACGCGAAAAATATCAAAATGCTGTGTCAATGTCAAAATTTGAAGTTGGGTTGAAAGAACATTTCTTTTAGAAGTCATTGTTGATGATGATAATGGAGGAATTTGGGAGAAGGATGTCAACAAATTCTCGCTGGACTCCCATTGAGCGGAACAGTTACCACAACGAGGTCCACTTCGAGTATCCTCATCTCCAGCTTTGAGATCGCAGCTCACCCCGAGCAATCATCAGAGGGTAGACAGCACATTGTACAGTATTATATTAATGAGATTGCTCATCTCAAGAACATGCCTTATTAATATGCTTGAAGTGGCAAGGTGCTTCCTTGGCTTCATGCGTTGAGTCAGAATTTGTGATTGATAGAATGGAAATCTCAATAGGTTGATACTCGAGCGCCCATAAAAAAGTATGCTTCGGGAGGCGCTTTTGTTATCCAGTCTTTCCATCGCAACCAAGCTTCGTAGGTCATCCAGAGGGTGTCCGCTGCAAAGGAAAACGTGTAAACGTAGGGGGTCTGTACTGTGGACAAGTCGACAGGATGATGGTTACCCATAGGTTCAAAAACTATTCGTCTCCCAATAGGCTTGTTAGACAAGGCACAGTGGACCGGTGTGGTTTCCACAGTTCGATCTTGAGTATGTCTGAGCCTTGCAAGCAATTTGAGATACAAATCTGCCACTGCAAGAGAAGTCTTCGTCGGGGAGTGCTCGCGCAGCACATTTGTCAACGCGTATGTGAAGGATTGTCTGCCTGGGCCTGGAGCGGTGGTCTGGAAGCCGCAAGATGCGATCAATTCAGTTACTCCTTGGAAGGTTGGACGCGTGACGGCTGCGTCTGCCGAACAGCAGGCATCGTAGATGAGGACGGAATCTGCTGGAGATTCCTCAAATAGAGTTTGAATGTCGGCAGAGGGCATGCTTGGCTCACCTAACCTTGATCTGCAGTCAATCAGCTTGGAAATAATTAGTACACAGGAATGCTTCCACATACGCCGCCCATACACTGTCGTTTCTTGGGGGATTGATCGTTCCATGTCCGCCATAGCTGCATCGCTATCAGTCAGGAACATACAACTAGTTAGATCTGTATGAAGGATTGAAATAGACGCAGAAGACGACTAGGTAAAGCTCATATCCAAGTACGAGAAGCTCCCACTTACTAGAACATAAAGAGAGTGTCCAAAGGGCTGTCCTCTAGAAAATCGATAACGACGCTCGATAAAATGGCCGACGGATGGTAATCTGGGATCAGAAAGCTGGACACTTCGAATCCGTAAAGGTCTCGAAACACAAAGGCAAGATCGTTCATCTCCGTTGCAAGTCCTAAATCATCCGAAGCCCAGTGAGCCATCAGAACTTTTACTCTCTTATATGGTCGTCGACGGTTTGTTAACCAATATTCGTTCATGTCCTCTGTCACAGCCTGGGATAACTGAGGGCTTATCTCAACTCCTTGAGTAACTTCAAGTTCATCCAAGATTACGACTCTTCCTTCAAGTTCACCCATTTCTTGTGTCGACTCTTCTAGCTCCTCATGTTCTTGTTCTAGCACTTGTCTAGCACTTTATGTTCTTGTCCGAGGCGGTCATATTCTTCTTCCAGCTCCCGATGTTCTTGTTCCAGCACCCTATGTTCTTGTCCAAGCCTGAGATAGATGAGTCTGTCAGTAATGGCTCTGCGTCTCAGGTTCTTATTTTCGGCTTCGAGGATTCGCAATCGTGATTTCTGATACCATTGTTAGACTCGAACGGTCGACGCAAGATTAGATCATACATATTGATCTCTGAGTCTCATATATTTCTCCTGCCAGTCAATTGCGGGGGACTCGTCGGCATTAGACACACTCTGCGGGGCATTTGACGCTTGCATTGGTTCTTCTTGCCGCGATGGCCTCGCACCTCTATTACTCGAGGCATTTCGGGACGATTCGTTGATTGTCAACTTCTTGAATCTACCAGTGATAGGATCTCTGACACGTCTAGGCAACCTTCGATTCTTTACAACTCCGGGCATTGCATCCGAATCTCAATCTAAAAGGAAATGATCGAAATTATTGCAGTCAACAGATGGGACGCGCTGACCGCGTCGTGCAGAAGCTCTTAAAACACCATACCGTTCGCAGTAAGGCCTAGAAACGTTGCTGACTCAGGCGTCCAGGGCTTAGGGATTTCCACAACACAACTTCAATTGTCAAACATCAATGCGAGACCTCCATCAATCCTGGTGATGACGGAACGTCCTGCTCTTAATGCCCTAAGAACTCTCATATCGTCTGTCTTTTCAAGACAATTACGCACATCCCGCCCTTTCCTGTCTCTGTTGATCAGGGAGGAACTTTGTTCAAAAGATATTCGTCGTCAGTGGATTGCATTGAGTAGATGAGTCCAGAGACCAACCGGCTGAGTGGCTAATACGCGACGTACTCTGCACCATGTATCAAAGGCAAATGAGGTCCTTCAAGCTTACCTAGGTATGCGAGTTGTTTGCCTTCATCATGTTCTCCCAGGTTGGTCTCGAGGCACGTGAGAGTTCCGTGCCGTCTGCTTCTCGACCTGAAAGCTTGTTTTGGGATCTTGGCAAATATTTCTGCAAAATTGAATCTTGGAGATGTAGCAGTTTACTGGATCAAGATCTTCTGTGATGAAATTCCTAGCGTCATCAGGTACTGAAAGAATGGATCTGCATTTCTCAGCTTCGCCTCAGCAACAGCCGCAAGAATGTCTCAGTACGCCTAGCGAAAGATATATAGTGTGGCCCTATGTTAATGTGTTTTCCCCATATCTAAGCTATCACGATGCATCGACTTCCTGCAGCTCTCGTCTTCGCCGTCTTAACTACTGTCAAGGCGGTGAGCGTATCTGACAATGACAAATGTCTAAGCCTCTATGTTACATTCTGGGGTGATGAACCTCCGCCAGAGACCTATGTCCTCTCTTCGTAAGTCTACTCTTCTTTTCTTTCTATAATCATCGCCGCTGTACTTACGCCCAGTAGTCGAACCTATTCCATTGCGACGGCTCCGTGGCCAACTCTTGGACAAATCCCGCCTAATCCTGGAGGGGGGACAAATGCGGAATTGCCATCCCCCTCAATCCCCGCCGTCTGGGATCCGACGACAGTCGCATTTCCACCTATTCTCACTTTACCACCATTGATCTCTACTTCACCAATTCAGAACCCGTTGCCGAGCCCACCTCTACCAACACCACATGCGTCGGTTCCTTTTCCACTTCTCAATCGAACATCAGCTCAGAATGTACCATTACCCCTTTCCATACCTCCTGTGATAGTAGCTTCAAGCCCGGCATATATTCCTCCACTGTCGTCTACGTTTGGTGGTATCATCCCTCTTGTCACCACGGACATTGCAATCGATATTTTTTCGACAGCCCCGACAGTTCAAGTCTCACCTCTTGTGCCAACCTCTGCTCCTCAGTATCCAAACATCCCGCTGACAACTACAACCATTCAGGCTCCTCCACTTGTGCCGACCTCTGCGGCTCAAAATCCAGTGATCTTCCAGACGACCTTGACAACACAGGCTCCTCTTCTTGTACCAACCTCTGCTCCCCAAGATCTAGTCATCTCGACTCCAGCGATCGTCAATGTCCTCCAATCTTCCTCGCAGGGCCTGCCTCCACCTGTAGCGAGTATCTCTACACCGGCTCCGCCATTATCAAGCACTACTTCTACAATTATGTTGCAACTCTTCCCCCCTCCAACTTCTTCTAATTCTCTGTTCGACACATTACCAGCTCAGGATATCGCAACTTCTATCCAGAATGATGCTCTCTTATCCTCAATAGCACCACTGCTCATGCAGCCATCTGCTTCGCCATCAGCTGCCGTTCCTCCAGCTCCGGTATACGACTTTCCGAATTGCGGGCCTACCATCGGTACTTCGCCATCAGCCTGGGACAACATATATACTGGTGCTGGGTACTCCGAGAGCCCAGACAATCCCGGCAATCCTGGAGATCCACCTCCAATTACCTCCGATTCTGCTTCTTTCACGATCGAATTCAGCGAAACCTACGCCTGCTATGTTGTAGAGCAATGCATAATCTTTGCCACAGGCAATGGTGTTGCCAGTATAGATGTACACGTCGTCAAAACTTCCGGCGATGCAGGATACTGGCAGTGTGTTGGATATCCCCACCAGGTTGGCACTGGCGAGTACTTCACAATACAGAATCCATCCATTCTCGCGGCATATGGATACGATCTTGTTCCAGTTCGAAGCGCCCAGACATCTTCGAACATTGCGCTTCCTCCGAATCCGACGACTGTCGCACCTCCCGTAATCGTCCATTCGTCGACATACATCATCTCACCGCCACTTTCTACTCTGGCTGGATTGACACCTACCGATAACGGTGTCTGTGGCAATGGTATTACATGCTTAGGTTGGCCTCTGGGACAGTGCTGCAGGTTAGTACCGACCTCCACCATTCGATTGTACCAGTACTAATTTGACTACAGTGAATACGCCTATTGCGGGAGTGACGCTGGATTCTGCGGCGCTGGCTGCCAATCTCAATATGGGCTGTGTGGTATGCCAATACCACCTTCTTCAACGTCACCAGCTCTACTTGTAAGCAGTGTCATGAATGTGATGCAGATATCATCGACTTTAGACATCAACATTATACCCTCTGCCTCGCCCACGCCTTCTACCCCTTCAGGCCTGACACCAACGGACGACGGCGTTTGTGGCAACGGTGTTACGTGTCTAGGCTGGCCAGATGGACAATGTTGCAGCGAATATGGCTACTGTGGAAGCGATGCGGGCTTCTGTGGCATTGGTTGTCAATCCGAATTTGGCATTTGTGGAATGCCTGCACCACCCTCGTCATCATTGCCTCCAGCAGTACCAAGCAGTACCATTGCCGCTCCCGCTATGTCATCATCTGCAGCACCCAACTGCCCGTCGTCAGCATCACTCGATGCTTATAATTGCGGTACCTACTATACCGAAACAGGCACCTATGCCGGTTTTGTCTGGGATCAACTATTCATCGGCTCATGCCTCACAGAAGATCCAAACAACCCAGGCAACGACCCAGAGTCTCCTGCCATCACAAACGAAATCGCATCGGGGACTACTGCAGCTATGTTGGCTGGTGCGTGCGGCTACTTGAACGCTTGCATGAACTGGGCAATTCCTCAGGCTTATGATAATGTGGATTTCCATCTATTGCAAGATACTGCTGACACGGCACATTGGGAATGTGTGGCGTATTATGATAATGCGGGGGGCAATTACTTCGATGTCACGAATTACAATGTCCTGCTCGCTTATGGGTATGATGTTGAATAGAGAAGGCTTCAAGTCTGGATGAAAGAAGATCGAGGTCAGTGCCAATGAGCACTCACACCTTAGCGTGAATCTTGAGAGTTAGATGTAATTCCAAGCTGGGTTCCACTTCAGTCAAAGAAATGTTTTCAGCGAACAGCTATTAGTCTGATAATTAGCTAAATCAATTCCATATGAAAATTGGTAATAGTAGACAAGTGAGGTTATTTGCTGAAATCTTATGGACTTGAAAATGTCTAGGTTATCTACAAAACAAGGGAGGCTGCTTTCTAGATAGCAAATACCAATGCATATACTCCATCTTGCTTCACATCTATCTGCTTGTTCAAACTCGTGACAGGAAAGCAAGAAGTAGACTGAAGTACGTTAATAACACTGAGTGTTTGCTTCTCCTGTCTCATTTTATCGTGAATTTAAAGTCCAACAAGACAAGCACAACCTTCAACATATTTCGTTCAACAGACCACAATAATACGATCTCAATCGAGCTAGATGTTCTTCTGAATTTGAGAACCTACTGGTTCGAGGTAGTATATAAAGTCTTGGCAGTAGCATCGTACTTCCAGAGATGGCGTACGCTACGATTTCAAAGACCGGAGCTTGGAACGAGTTCTAGAAGGCCGGAAGCAAGTTGCCTACAGAGTAACTTTAGAGTAGCTCTCACTTTAGAAGCAGACCATTGTCAACAAATGTTCATATAATCTTCAAGACGTAAATGTCCTTCAATGCCCTGATGAATCTCATTGATTTTTATAGACAAAATCTATATCTTGCTCTGCGTACTTTTGGCACTCCAATGTTCTCTGCATATGCAGTACATTGATATCTCCATATCATCGCTACTTCTCTCTGACATTATTTGCCCCTGAAAGTCCCAATAATAGCCAAACTTTAAGCGAAAATATTCACTTGACTCACTCGTTTTCAAACCAGGCTTGACATTTCGTCCCATAGATCGCGCTAAGAGCATTATCGATCTACCCTGGTCGCAAACTTCGGACAACAAACCGGCACCTCTTGCCAGACTACGACAAGCAACTAGACGCCCACTAACAGCAGAGAACATTATCAATCTGTAAGTACTATTCCGCTACTGTTACTTGATATCTGCATATGTCGGGAACTAATCTTTGATTATTTATAGACTCACCTCTAACTACACAGCGCTACCTTCACCAACGTACGACCACCAAACAACCACCCATCACCACAAAAATGCCTCCACCACCAAATAAACATAGCAGTGCGCATAAAGCCAATGCCTCGCGGCTCCTTCCCGGCTTTCCATCAACGATCTTCCCGTCAACATTAAATTCTCCTCCTCCTCAACCCGAAAGGGCCAATACTACTCAACCCGATTCACCCTACCGCATCGCATCTCGAAACAGTAAACACGCTACCGTCTATAAAACACCCTCCTCCTCCGCCACTCCTCTTCCTCCACAAACAAACACAAACACAAAACTATCCCCATCCACTTCAAGACCCTTTGTCCTCTCTTCCTACATGACGACTTCTTCTTCTACAAACAATACTACAAAGCTATTATCACCAATAAACTTCCAACACCGAGAACCTCGAGTCGATTCTCCGCCTCTTCAAAACCAGCGCGTATTCTATTCACCGTCCGTGTACTCGGAAGAGCGGGCAACGATGGCTAGTCAGGGTGACAATGAGGCTGTTGCTGAGCGTAGCAATAACCTACCCTCGAATATTGAGTGGCTGAATGCTGACGTGTTCAGGCGACCTCCGAATTGAGCTTGAGGAATCTGGTGGCGCAGAGGATCCGATAGACGAGGTCGAGGAGGTTGAGCGAGAGATGAGTGAAGAGGATGCACGAGACGATGTTCGAGATATTGCACAAGACGTTACCGAGGAAGTTTCCCAGGGCAATCCTGCAGAAGATGATACCGAAGCCACGCGAGAGAAGGGTGAAGAGATATTGCACGATGTTACCGAAGAACCTCCACAAGACAATGCTGTAGAAGTTTATAACAATGCCGCAGAGGCTACGGCAGATATGGTTGAGAACGATAAGGCGGCGCGAATTGGTCTGATGAAAGAAGTCGTGGACGGTGGCGAAGTGCAGAAGCCGATGACCTTACCAACTCCAGAGGCATTGGGACTGAAGCTCGAATGGCTTGGTACAAGTACTTACTTCATCGAGGCCGGGATGGAAATGCAACTTCAAGTACGTGCATCTCGACATCTTAGTGTTGTGGTCATGTGAACTAACCGAGATTCAGGGGCAACTCGACCAAGTCATCGCGTACCGAGAAGCTTTAGCGAAAGATCGAGACACACACCCATATCACCCAAAGTTCTACGTAGAACTCGCTATTGTCGACAACAAGCTCGGGTTCTGCGACATCGCCGCTGGTAACGCCTATCGAGCACTTGTTCTGGCACAGAGCGGTTTGAGCATATACAAGCGGAAGGCCTACCCCGCCAATCTGAGACAACTTGTTCGCGTTTCGACTGCTCGGACTTCGGATAGGAGAAGCTATCCAAGCAACTCCATCATTGACGATGAGCTTGAATCCTGCCAGTTGCAAGCTTACAAGGCAATCCTCGCTTCGTTGATCGGTTGCTCGGCATTTCATGCTGGTTGTCTTTGGGCCAAGCTAGCTTTGAAGAAGTACCCTGGCGATTTTGACCTTCACGAACTTTCGCAAGACTTGGAAGATGCCTACAACGATCGAGTACGAGAATTGGAGGCAGACAGAGAGATCGATAAGTCTGAGCTTCCATACGCAAAAAAGAGCGGCAAGATCTACCAGAAGCGTTATCCTTGGATGAACGACACTTTGTTCCATAGGACTCAGGATCAAATCAATGTGATCAACAAGGAAGACAGAACAGTCAACTGGAAGATCAAATCAGTCATCTTTGGTCCAAAATCCGAGGAGAAGAAGGTAGAGAAAGGAGGCGACGTTGGCCCATTTGGTATGTTCGCGAAGAGAAACATCGCACAGGGAGAGATTATCATGGTCGACAAGACAGTTGCAGGTATCTCGAGTATACCTTCAAGCAAGGGTCTGCACTGCGACAATTGTCTTGCTGCATTGGTCTACCCTTATATTACACCACAAGACATCTGCGTGCCAAGCTGCTGCGACAAGGTCTCGTACTGCTCTCAGAAGTGTATGGATCAAGCCATGTCTGGATATCATTCGCAGCTGTGCGGCAAGAACTTTGACTGGATATACGAGCATCACGATGTGGCGGCCGGGGAGACCGGCGAGACTCAAGAATGTCGTTCAAACTGGCGACCAATCATGTTTCTCCGTTTGATGGCCATTGTGCTCGCTGATCTGGAGATTTTTGACTTCAAGCATACGAATCCGCTTCAACACCCAGTGATTTCCAGAATGGCTGGCAACTATCGGGATCCAGCTCCTGGTAATCTCAGAGGCGTAACTCATGACTGGCAATTCTGGGAGAATGTTGTCGCTCCAACCCGAGTGCTCATGGAATTGGGTGTCGATATCTTCTCGGAGCCTGTGTACTCACAGGAGGTGATCCAAACCGTGTTCTGGAGATTCGAGAACAACGCAAATATGGCGGCAACTTCGATCACTGGCAAGATCTCGCATGTGATGGCGGTCAATCCGAACTACCTCTTTCTCAATCACTCATGCGATCCAAATGTCTCATGGCACGGTGCCGTTCCAAATGGATCAGTCAGTATTCGATCGTTGGTAGACCGAGATGGGAAGATCTTGAGGCCTGGTACAAGTGCAGTCTGGTGTATCGCTGGAAAGAAGATCAAGAAGGGCGAGGAACTGAAGATTAGCTATATTGGAGATCCACAAGGTACTGTTGGAAAGAAGAACGAAGATCGAGCAGCTAAGAGGATCCATCTTGAGAAGTGGTTCGATAACGGATGTGGTTGTGATTTGTGCGAGAAAGAAAACAAGGCAGGTGGTATCTCACACGAGATAGAAGCGCAGTCTTGATGGCGTCCTTGGGTACTTGCGTCTGTATCTGACTTGGGTGTGCGGAGATGAAGTTCCGATGGTGGCTGTTCAGAGATACGTTTCATTTACAAAATTTCCGCCAACATGCATTGCGATGGTTTCACTGGGTGGTTTTCGAAGGTCCGAGTCTGCGTTTGCGTTGCATTAAGGGTGGAGTGCGCTGGGGTGCATTGAGAGTCGAGCGAAATTGTGGATTGCGATGCTCTGACGATAGACTGAGGGACTGATGAAGGCTATGCCTGGCATAGAGATGTATCTTCAATGATATCTACGTTGATTCGAGGGATGGGCTGTGTGGAGGAGTCCGTCTGTATAATATGTCATGGTTTTTGCGTTCAATGGAATTCGGTGCTTTTCATTTGAAATCTCGTGAGATTCGGGCTGCTCAACTGTGGTGATCTGTGTGATCATCTGTGAATGAAGTCTCGCGTGCAGCCTAGATCTCAATTTGCTTCAATCCTCTTCCATGTTCGCATATCCAAGATATCTTGCCTCATGGTTTCCATGATTCGACTCAATATTAGTGAGTTTGTTGTGCCAATCTAGAAACATTTTTTTCATGCTGTACCTTGATGGGGAACGAAAGCTCCACATGAGGGTTGTTGAACCATTGCCAGCACCTCGTACAGCTTCCGAAAGCGAGTGTCCCATCCCAAGTCCTAAATTGAAGCTGGAACTTTGGCAGACAACTGACAACGTTTGATTGCTTGGCGACGAGTGATAGAGGTTATCATCACCTTCGTTGCCAACCTGCCATTCTCGCATCGTTCTTTCACATCCGCGGAGATTGGTAGTCCCATTTTGGAGCCAACATCGAAACTGTGATGATGGTCGAAGCCGAGAATGTTTGATTGCTTGAAAGAAATTCATATATCTTCGTGTGCCGACTTCGAATCACTCCAATTGTCTGGCTTCTTTCCGAAAGAGAAAGTTCTGCTTGAAGTCCAATATCGAAGTTGTTGCGACTGTGGAATTCTGCAACATCTGACTGTTGCGGAGAGGCTGGCCGTCAACATTGAATCGTTGCCACAGTTTATCATTCCCGTTGGAAGCGAAGATGTCATTCAAGGCAGGATACCTGAGCTGTGATAATCAATCATTTCGAGATCAATCGGCTGTGACGAGATGGCGAGTGTGATCCTGGCAGCATGCATGATCGAGATGGGGTTGAACATTGACATTGACAAGTTGAAAGCTGGAGACTTTCCGAGTAATCAGTCAAGGAAGAGCGACCGCCGATATAGAGTCGTATAAACAGTGAATCAAATCAATGGCAAATCGTGGTGATGGACTCTCAACGCTTAAAATACTGCTGGACATTCAGCCAAGATGAGAAACAGCCTGCCCCAAACTGAAACCTGAGGCTCAAATCACATGACCAACCATGTTTGGCTCGGCCAGCCAAACTTTTTAGCTTCCACTAGCGTCTTCGCTCTAAGCGAAACAGCATATAATCTTCGCTCCTCCCTCCCATACTTCCCTTCTTCTTTCCTCATCTTAGTGCATGGGTTTTACGCATATCAGTGAGGATTCGTCCGAGATGTAAGTTCTCCCCTTCCTCCCCTTCTCTCAATCACCTTGCTAACGAGGATACAGTGCGTTTTTGCTAGTTGTATGTTCCCCCTCTTTCCCGAAGATTCGGTTCATGATCTTTAAACAAAAATAAGTGCTAATTATCTGCCAGGAAAACTATAACCATGACCGCTCCTATTCGACTTCGGTTGGATAGGGAATCTTTGGAACTCAAATTCTCGTGTTGAGAGTCTTTTTTTCATTGCGATGGGCTCTTCATGGGCTTTCGTGAAGGAGAAATTTCCTGGCGCATTAAACCACTCTTCATACATAGATTAATATATATTCGATCAGAGAGTAAATAATGACGCGTCGCACTGCTGCTGCTAGCAGATTTTTTCCCCTGCCTGAAGCTGAAGATTTTCGCAATGTGACTTCATCCATCATCAAGGTCTGCGACCACAAGCAACAACAACAATGCCCAGGACAGCCCTCGTAACAGGCGCAACAGGTCTCCTGGGTCGACAGGTAATCATCGCGTTCCAGCGCGCAGGTTACGATGTCGTAGGGACGGGATTCTCGCGCGCCAAACCGCCGTCGATGCTGAAGCTCGACCTCAATTCCTCTTCTTCTATCGCGAGCGTTCTCGACGAGACGAAGTACGTTCCTCTACCCGCTCCTCTGCTGTACTTGCTAATTGATAGGGGTGAAGGCCCGATGTCGTCGTCCATTGTGCCGCGAACAGATTCCCTGATAAATGCGACAGTGACCCAGATGGCACTCGAGCCCTGAACATTACAGCGTCGCAGACGCTCGCGCAGCTTTGCGCTCAGCGGAGTATATTTTTACTGTATATATCTACGGATTACGTGTTCCCCGGCGTGGAGGGAGAGGCGCCCTACGAAGTCGATGCCGTGCCACGGCCTACGAATCTCTATGGTGAGACGAAATGGGAGGGCGAGAAAGCCGTGCTTGGGGAGGGAAACGGAGGTGCCGTGGTACTGCGAGTCCCGGTCCTGTACGGGAGCGTAGAGGAAGAGGTGGGCAACAAAGAGAGTGCTGTTAATGTGCTGATGGATGCGGTGTGGAAGGTTCAGAAGGAGGAGATGAAGATGGATCATTGGGCGGTTAGGTACCCGACGAACACGGAGGATGTTGGGAGAGTTTGCACTGGTTTGTTTCTATGCAGATTTGAAGAGAAGATGTGCTAATGTGTATAACGGCAGATACTGCAACGAAGTACCTTGATTCGGACAACCGCTCCTCCCTTCCTCCAATTCTACATTTCTCTTCGGAAGACAAGATGACGAAATACGAGATTTGCGAACTACTCGCAGAGATAATGGGGTTACCCATTGATAATATGAGCCCGAATACAGACGGCAATGACCCGAATGCCAAGGTCCAGAGACCATATGATTGCCATCTGTCTACGAAGGCGTTGAAGGATATGGGGATCAATATTTCTACGATGGACTTCAAGGGTTGGTGGAGGAGAGAGGTGAGAGCGTTTAGGAAGTGAGGTGATGCGGGAGATGTTCTGCGGTGAAGAAGAGGAAGAGACATATTGATTTGGCGTGAGATATTGGTCTTAGATCATAATTGATGGGCGGATCTTGGCTGGCGGTGAAGATATATACTTTTGGCTAGGCGCTCGATTTTGGATACAGATTAGTGGAACAGACACTGAAGGCGGAACGGTCGAAAGCCACGCGCTCGTGGGGGCTCGTACAATGGCCCCGAAGATCTGGCTCTTGGTGACGGTGGAACACAAGGAGATATCTGTCTATCAGAGCAAGTCCGGAGTTGACACCAGACATATCACGGAGAGATCCTGTTTGCTAGGTCAACTACCCCGAGATACTGATCGAAAGTTCCAGGCTGGGTTGAACGAAGGAATATATCGCCGCAAGAGGATAATTGGATCTGGTTGAACATGTTCTTGAGTTCTGGAATGTCTTGATTGAGGCAGATAACAGAAACTTGTCTCTTGGATCTACCCGATATCGACATGTGTACCGAGTTCAACATCTATCTTAGACAATGCCACGAGACATAATCAGTCGTCTCTATCATTGGTGCTCACCGCAATTCCAGAGCTCAGATTTGTTCTGCTCTTCGAGTAAAATGGTGTTCTCGAGGAAATAGTTTTCAGGGTCCCCCCTTTTCCCCGGATCTTCAAACGAGCTGAACGAGGCGCATGAACACCAGGGCAAATCAAGTGAGGGCTGCTCATGCACAGCAGAATGCAGCCCTGTATTCGGGACGGGAAGAAGTGCTGAGATGGCTGTTCGCCTGCATTAATGGACGGGAGATCTCCGTCCTTGTGCCTGACCTCTCCTCTATTTTCTTTTAAAATTAAAATTAAAGTGAGGCTGGTGAAAAATGAGGAAAAGTCGATTCAACTCGCTCGTAATTCGCGTGTGTCTTGTGTTACCAAATTGAGATTAAACGCCTGTAGATTCTTTTACGAGACAACCACCACAGACACCGCCCTCCATTTCTTCACTCGCCCCCAGTTCACCCCATCCCAGCCCTCCTTTCTTTTGCCTCTCTTCTCTCCCTGTCTTCCCTCTGCCCACTTCCCCTCCATTATTTAATACTTACCATGCTCCTGCTCGCTCGCGCAGGCCCTCGACGAACCCACAGAACCGCCGCCCAATATTTATGATCGACAAGTAAGGCTCTAACATGACGGACCAACCCCAACCCCCATCCGCCTCCTCGACCCCTCCACCGTCCAAATTCTCCAGATACCGCTCCGTCAGACATACGCTGCCACAACCGGAGCATCCTCCGAAGGAGCAGAAAGACAATGGCGACATGCAGCGCACAAAGAGCATGTCCAGGTACCGTCGGTCCAAGGTCGCTTTTCAAATCGACGAAAAGGACCAGAGACCTCCTGTACCCGCTCTGCCAAACCAGCAACCAGTACTGTATACCAAAAATCCTTCGGGTGGGAGGACAACAACGAGAAGAGTAACTGAACCATTGAAGGGGCAAATGCCACGATCCTCCCCACGCTCCTCGCCCCACCACTCGCCGCGCAATTCGAATTCCCAAGCAGAGTTGCAGCTGTTGATGCAAGCTACACGGCAGAGTCAAACGCGAAGACTGGAGACTGAGAATGAACGTCTGCGAAGGAAGATACGGGAGTTTCAAGAAAGGGAGGCGGCGAGAGAAGTAGCACAGCAAAAGGCACAACAAGAGAAAGAGGAACGCGAGCGCGCATACCAATTACAAAAAGCCAATGCCGAACGAGCGCTCCAGAAGAAGAGAAGCCAAACGAACCAGGCAGAGCAAATCATACAGAAACAAAAACATGAAGCGGAACAAGCTCGTCTTGCAGACGTCGAGGCCGCGAGGATACTCGAGGAGCAGAAGCGCAAGGATTTGGAGAGGCTTCAGAAGGAATTGGATGCTGCTGCGGCTGCCTCACCTCCGTTGCCATTCAAAAGTCCTATGCGAGAGAAGTTTGCTTTCTTCTCGAGGAAGGCTGGGTCGATTAAAGATACACCTCCACCGACTGCAACTACGGTTGCTTCGGTGGCTCCATCTCCTGCGCCGTCAATAGCGCCCAAGGTCAAGGAGGCACCGAAACAGGTTCAGCAACCTTTACAATCTCGAGCCCCTCAGAGGATCAATGAAGCTCCAAAGCCAATTGAACGGCCTGCGCCATCTCAAGCGCCCAAGAAAGTGGTGGAATTACCGCAACAGATCCAACAAGGTGGAGGTGGAATTGTTCCTCAAACAGATGCTCCAATTTCCGCCTCCAATGCTGGAGAAAGAGTAAGTCTATTCCGTATTTTATTTTGGCACACAAGTGTTGACGTCTTCATAGCGAGTTCTTGTTCGATGCAAACAATCTTCCGTCAATCTTCCAGTGAATCCCGAAACCACACCAAAGGAGATTATTTATTCTGCCGCTAATTTCATGACCCAAAACATCATTCCTTCTACAGCTATCCTGATCGAATCATATACCCAGCTGGGACTCGAGCGCCGTGTTCGACGCTACGAGCATGTCAGGGATGTAATGAATTCTTGGGATCGAGATACCCAAAACGCTTTCCATTTGGAGAACTCAGATACACCAAGATTCGATACTGATCTTGAATTAGCTGGTGTCCCGAAGCAGGTCCCATCCGATGTCACAGTATATATGTATCATTCTCAAAAGCCTGACACATGGATCAAGCGACACATCACACTCCTTTCATCTGGTCAAGTTTTCATTCACAAAAAGCCCGATGCGAAATTGGGTGATAAAAATACCATTGCTATTTGTCATTTGTCTGATTTCGATATATATACCCCAACTCCTCAACAATTGAGGAAGACGTTAAAAGCACCCAAAAAGCATTGCTATGCAATCAAAAGTCAGCAAAAAACTGCTGTTTTCCTTAGTACCGAGAACTTCGTCCACTTCTTCAGTACAGACGACGAATTGCTCGCCGAGAAGTGGTACAAAGCCGTCCAACAATGGCGCAGCTGGTACCTCGTCAACCGCATGGGCAGCGGCAAGAAACCCAAGAAACCAATAGCTGAAATAAAAGCCACCAACGCAGGCTCACCGCTTCTCTCGGAAATCCCAGACGAAACTCTCTATATGATCGGTTCTTTCTCCGGCCTAGGCCTCGACGACTTCCGCTCCGGTTCAGAAGAAGACTTCGATACAGAAGACGAAGAACGTCCCCGTCACGTCCCCTTTCACCTCCGCAACAGCGTCCTTATCTCCAACGCTGAAGCAAAGAGGGAAGCGAAGCGCCATCCGCCTATCGTGTCTTACCGGATCCCGCAGCGGGAAGAAGAGGAATTCACTTCCTCCGGTCTCTTAGGTGGTTCGTACACTACTCGTCAACAAAATTCCAGCAAACCTGCTCCTGCAGCAACAGGTCCTTTCACAGACGGCCCCAACCTCCTTAACCGCGATACAGCGCGTACGCTCTCTATCACAAACTCCAACTCGGCAAATGGAAGCAGGAATAAACCCAAACCCCTCCTAGACTTCACACCCACCTTCAAGGAAGCGCCGCAATGGGATAAAACAGGCAAAGGCCACGGCGTCGCGCCTATAGCTGGCGTACCGCTCGTGGAGGTTGCTACGACGCCGGAGAATGCGGCGGCAGACGCGATGGGGATGAAGGGGACGGTGTTTAGGAGGGAGACGACGAAGAGGCCGGGGAGTAGTGGCGGTCCGGCGAACGGGCAGAGTGTTATGAGTAGGGGGCGGGTGAGGTATGATTCATGAGCGTTGCATTTGGGTTGGGAAATGGTGTTTGAGTTTTGTTGATACCATTTTCCTTTTTGTTTTGTTGTGGGGTCTTTGGGGGAGTTTGTATTTGACTTATTGTTCGATAGCCCAGTTTCTTTTGTCGTTTTGCATGTGTGGGATCGCTATTTTGGGGCGCGGTTATTAGCATTTTTGTTGGTAGTTGGAATGCATCTCTCAAGCATCTATTTGCTCGTTTTGATTTTAGATGACAGTGCTGCTTGGTCTTGATCTCACATCTCCTCTGAAGACCTGGAGCGGACCCGCATATTCGAGATCGAGATCGCCTCAAGGCCAAGTATGGGTATGAGTGCTGCCTAGAGCCTTGCAGAGGCGGCTGAGCAAGACACTGCAAAGGGGTCAATGAGGCGTACAGACAGCCTTATTCTGGTCACCCTTTATCTTTTGGTTTGTGCTAGGCATAAGTTGGGCAGCAGCAAGGCTAGCACGTCTTTATTTGCAGAATGTAAAGGGAGACACTAGACATTTCTAAATGTCTCTAAAATTGGCATCCCCATCAAAGCATACATATCCGCAGTCTTTTAGCTGTGAATATCACACTATACCATGACTCATCCTCCCTCTCTTGACGGGTACTGGCAGTGCTGCAACTGCGGCGAGACTGTCAATTCAAAACAGCGCGACTCGACATGTACCTGCGCTCACGAGAAATGTGATAATTGTCGGACCTTGTATTCGAGGGATAGATCACCGGATATTTGCGAGCGAGCGAGCAATCGCATCAGGTGCAAGCAGCAGCAGCGTGGGCTACGACGAAAGTAGTGGACAAGGTTAAAGTGAGACACTTATAACAAGTGTCAGTGAGCCTGCTTTGGGGTGGGAGTGTTGACGAGTTGCATTTCAGGTAAATATTATCTCTTGTCGATTAGGTGCATCAGACTCCTTATAGAGTGGGAAATAAAACAGGCTTTTTGGACAGGAGATGGGTTGTTAGCTAGGAATTGAGCTGACTGAGTCAAAAGCTGCCGCTTCGAGTATCCCAGAGTTCAGAGCTCCGACTGTGAGATTGATATTCGGAGAACGAGTTGAGGGGGACCGTTGACGGAAGGAAAAGGAAGAATTGTACATGCCATCGAGGGGCTTTCAAGAAAGGCTGAAACTTTGCGGGCTCTCTATGATTCGACCCATAGCAGAAACAACCAATACTTACTGTTGAGCCACCAACGAAATTCAGTGAGAACAGAAGCGTTATCGGGTTCCCTTGACTTGTACTGGATCCGGATATCGATTCTCGACCATGCTATTAAAGTGTGCCTACTGTTCCGATCATAGCGTCAAAGTACGAAACCCGTGAGAACATCTTTGAAGCAGATCTAGCTAAACCAATGGAAGTTACAGAGGTACTCCGGAGATAAAAGCTTCCATATTGAGTAGCACATGTACCAGTCACGTGATAAGTCCTCGCTCTACCTTATCTCCTCGAACCAAGAAGCATGTTATCGACTACGGATGTAGGTATCCTGTTCGGTCTGAATTATTCGCCCCCAAGAGATATAATATAGTGCTTGGTGAGATTGTTCATTCTGGCTGATCTGGTGACTGCCAAGTCGACTTCATCCAAGCGAAGTATTAAATGAAGGACAGTTACACCCGGGCCGGGGCCCCGCGTTTCTTTTCGAACCTCACTTCCTCTCATCCTTCTGTCGTACGACACAATAAGTATCCCACGTGTATCCTTCGTCCGTTCACACAAACGTTGATTTTATTTTACTTCACATACTCTAGCCGCACAGTGGAATTCCGGCGATGCGGAGATACAAGTGTATATATTTGCTGCGACCAATTCACGATGAAACATCCGTCTCCTGGATCATCGGAGTCCAGAAGCCTAAAACAATTTCTTCATTACCCGGTACGGTACTCGGCATGTACATACCTCTTCCGCTCTCCCCACATTCCTAAACGAGATGCGGCGTTACTTTATTTTCTTTCCATTGCTACATCTAGATTGCGGAGTGCTGGTTCTTGGGACCACCTAAGTTACTATTTCATTAATTTCGAGATCAGAGGACCTCGTTCGGCGAAGTTTCAGCCCGTTCCTGCCCAATCACCATCCCAGACTTGATGAAGAAGCTTTGCTACACGGGCCGTGAATGTACAAGGAGGAGGCGCAGAACTTGTTTACTGGTGGGAGATGACGAAGACGCCATGTGAAGAAAACGAGGTGAGATGCTATGCAACCTGGGAGGGAGGGCATATATGAGGCGACTACCGCTTCACAATCCTAGGTTCTTTCTTTCCTCTGCGTGCGAGTTCAGTTCTTCCAAATTATCTTTCGCTATTCTATCTTTCATCATCAAGCCACCATGAAGTCATACGCCTTTCTTTTTGCCGGGCTGAGCCTCTTGGCCACTCATACGTCTGCTCATTGTGAGTAAGTATCCTTGAGCCAAGAGTGTGTGACTAACTGGAGATAGACATCTTCGAGCGACTCACGCACGCTGGGACTGAGTACCCAGCCTACACCTACATCAGACAAAACACCAACTACAACTCACCTGTCACAGCTCTCAACTCAACAGATCTGAGGTGAGATAGCCTGATTCCAAGTCAAGCATGACTAATGATGGTTGCAGATGCAATGTTGGCGGTGAGACAGCAGGGTCTACTACAACGATCACTGTGAATGCTGGAGATGCATTCTCCATCACGACTGATACTGCTGTCTACCATGATGGGCCATTTTCCATTTACATGGCAAAGGCTCCTACGACTGCAGCAGAATTTGATGGTTCAGGACAGGTTTGGTTCAAGATCTACGACCTAGGCCCCACATTCGCTGCAGATGGTACTTCAACTTGGCCACTGTACCGTAAGTACTCTTTATCTCAAATTCCTCAAAGGTCTTAGCTTACCAGAAACTAGAAACATACAGTTACACCATCCCTCCCGCACTTCCAAACGGCGACTACCTCCTTCGCTTCCAACAACTCGGTATCCACAACCCATGGCCAGCTGGAATACCCCAATTCTACGTCGAGTGCGCTCAAATTACCGTCACAGGCGGTGGCTCCGGAACCCCAGGTCCACTCGTCTCAATCCCAGGTTACATCACCGGTGATGAACCAGGATACACCGTGAACATCTACAGCAACTTCCATAACTACACCATCCCCGGCCCCTCCGTTTGGAGCGGACAATCTGCAGCTGGTGGATCTTCACCTAGTAGCGTCGCTTCCGTAGCCCCAGTCTCTACTGCACCCGTTCAACCTGTTAGCTCCAGTAGTGTTGCTGTAGTGCAAACGACTTCTGCATCAGTTGTCATTACGCCTACAGATACCGCTGTCGTCGCACCCACTGGGGTTCCTGTCGCCAAGTATGGACAATGTGGTGGTACTGGATGGACTGGGTCAACAACTTGCGCATCGGGAAGCACTTGTAAGGCAACGAACCAATACTACTCACAATGCTTGTAAGGGAGCTGGGACAATAGGGCCGAGACTTTGACTGATCACACTCCGTGTTGGTGGAGCCGCTGTATCGAGGAAAGCGAAAGGCTGGCACTTGGTGATGGTGTACATTCTGTTTCTTGTATATACTTTCATATCTCAGCATGGTTCTGACCAGTTTTTATCTTTGGACGTCGTCAATATGCGTGGGACGTGATTATGATCTTCTGTCGTAAGAGGACGGTGGAAAAGGGGCTCGCTTATGAATATACTATTGAACTCTTGCATTGTTCGACCAGATACTAGATATTTTGGCTAAAAGATTAAGTTTCTTATGATTCTTTTATTGCGAACAGAAGTGGCTGAGACATACGGGATTACATAATGTCATGGAATGAGGCTGTTGGGAAGTGGCTAGTGAAGTCTGTGGCTGTCACCGGGTCAGTGCAGATACCACTTCCAAATCACGATTAGTATTGATTCACTTACGAAATTAAAATGTAATTGAATACCATGAGAAACTGAATTAATGGGCCCTAAATCTTTCTATGATTTCACGAAGTGTTCCAACGCGGGAACTATGATGTCATGTGACTCTTGGATGCGAACCATCCTCCACGTTACACCAACTTGTTTGCTTTTCCAGCCTCGTCCCACGAAAATGAAACTTCAGTCTCCAGGCATCAGCTCGCAATCCTTTGTTCTTCACTCGAACATTAATATCTCGTTCCCGTGCAAACTCATCTTCCCGACTTGAAGATTGCTCGTTGATTACCAGTCAGAATCTCTCAGGAGCTCGAAGAGTGGAGCAAACGGAGCCAACAGGACCGTACAACCCAAGCTCGTAATGTCTCGATCTTGGAGTTATGCCGATAGCACATCAAGCAAAGAGGTTGCACCTCTTAGTCCTCAAAGCACTTCAGATGTAGTTCCAGCGAAGGCTCATATGGGAGATGCTCTCTCCTCGTAAGTACTTGAGCCTCAAGCACGTGCATCTGAAAGAATGCTGACACCTATTGCTCAGACTGTTCACAAGCGGGAAGTAAGTTACTCTCAATGCTCGTTGAAGCCTTCAATGTAAACTTCTTAACCTTCTAAGGAAACATACTAACTTTAATGATTTACAGATACAGTGATCTCGTGATTAGATGTCGAGGGAAGAGATGGAATGTCCATAGACTCGTGGTTTGTATGCAATCCAGGCCAATAGCGGCTGCTCTAGATGGAGGCTTCAAAGTGAGCAGCTCGAATCACTGAGAAACATCAGTTCTGACAGAAAAAGGAAGCTAGTACTGGAGAGTTTACGCTTGAGGAGGATGACCCCGAGACCGTGCAGCTAATGTTGAAGTTCATGTATACTGGTATTTTGGACATCGAAGTTCCAACTCCACCCATTACCCAGACGACAGAGACGAAGCCCTCCACGAGTGGATTTCCATACTCCAACGACACACAATGCACCTCAAATTGTCCTCCGCGACACGGTGCACCAATTCTTTCCCATTTGCAACCAGTCTCGTACTACCCGTCACAGCCATACATCTCCAGCGCCTCATATGGATTTGGACCATTCAACCCGCCCTCCTACGGCGGTGGTATTGTGACCAACAGCATAGCGACACAGCACAATAATATCTTTGGGTTTAACTCACAGACGGGGTCGGTAGTGGGTTTCAATCCTCGTCCTGCCGCAGTATCTTATGTCGGAACACCTCCAATCCTTAACATGACGACCAATCCGCCTGTTACTTCTTCAAACCCAATCTACGTTGGGCCGAAGAACGGAACCTCATCTACACCTACTCCCTCAGCAGAGCCGGACGCCGACGCTCTATCCAAAGGCCTCCTAGCTGCAGCCGAAGTCTACGTCCTCGCAGATAAATACGACGTCTCCGCCCTGAAGTCTCTCGCTTGCGACAGATACAAAGCGCTCAGTGGTACATACTGGGATAGCGAGGAGTTCATCGAAAGTCTAAGCATAGTTTTCGACGGAACTCCGGATATGAACGAGAGGGACATGCTCAGAGCAGCGGCTCTCGACACGGCTGTGGCACACGCGAAGGAATTGTTGGATAAGGAGAGCTTCCAGGAACTGTGTCAATACAGGGGAGACATTGCTACTGCTGTTCTTATCGCTTCTGTGGACAAGCCAAATTCGACCAGGCAGAGTTTGTCACAGTGGGACTCGTTCGGCGATGTAGTTCCATGCGGTTTCGATAATTTTCCTGATTTTACATGATTATATTCTAAGGGTGGAGTTACATGGAGTGCAGTGTGTGCAAATGACTGGCGCCATGGGATATCGTTAGTGTGCTTGGGTGGCTCTTTCTGAACTCGTTAGGAATGTGGCCGAGGAATAAAATTGGAATATTCTCCAACGGCAGTCTTACCGTGCCGCGATCGCCATTTCTCACTGTTGGAACTTTGGAATGTAACGCGTACCTAATTAAGATGACGCGTATAGCGCGACCGAGATCTGACCCCCGAACAATACCAGACAGTGAGTCGTCCTCTAACATCGTCTTTCAATGGCCGTTGATGGACTCAATGGACCAAAATGTCAACATCCGCTCGGTTTATAGGATCGTTTGTACTTGTTTCCTTTTGCGGGTTGTTTTCTCGGCATCTCCTAACAATCCGGATCACAGCTCTTCGATCAGCCCCTCAATGATCGAGCCGGGGCTCAACAATACCCTAATCTCCAACTCGAGAAGCATATCATCTATTCAAGAATCGTCAACAAGTACATCATCTAATGGATCGATGACAACAAGCCACAACACCAGGAGTGCACTGGACACAATCTCTTCATCGTCAAGCATTTTTTTGTCCTCATCTTCGTCACTTTCCTCTTCGATCCAATGTCTGAAGAGACCCTCGACGTCTGCTCCTGTCACGTCTAGCATTAGTTCCAGCGCCCTTTCCAGCTCAAATGCGAACTCCACGAGTCATCAAACTTCTTCCCATGCCTACAATTCTTCTACCTTCTCACAGAGATTCTCGAACACGTCTCAACCTTTAACTTCAAGTTCATCCTCTCAAACAGATATCTCGATAAGCAGCTCGTCGCTTACTCAAGCTGCATCCAGCGAGACTTCCGAAGACGAATGTTGGAATCCCCAATCTCCATATACTGCGCAAGAGCAGCAGATATCATATACTGGTCTCGTCATCACAGCATCAGATCAAGATCAAGATAATCCTCCAAGTCTACCGACATCCGACGCGGACCAAGTCCCACCAGACGAACCTCCAGTTTTCCCAACTTTACCACCGAAGGAAAATCCCCCATTGCCTCCAGTGCAAACTCCAGCACCTGCTAAGAATCCACCCAACGCCCCACAGATAGTGACGAATTTACCGCCTGCTCAGAACCAACAGCCAAATCGCTCTCCACCTAAAGACTCAGAAGTTCTACAAGGTCATCAAAATAACCCATTTATGCTGCCAGCTACCAGCCCAGTCCAACTTCATCAACAAAGACCAGGCCCGTTGATTCCACCTGTCGCGGCTACCAGTCAGAAGCAGCAGAATCCACTTCTAGTAACAGCACTAGCATCTGGTAAAGGACAACAAAATACCCCTCAAGTTCTACAGACTACAACAGCTGGTCAGAACCAGCGTAAAAGTTCTCTAACTCTGGAGAGTTCTGCATCTAACAAGCATCGATCGAGGCTTCCTCACAAAGTCACACTTTAATGGAAAGCGGGAAACCTCTTGGTACAACATCTAAGCCCCAAGCCCTGCCCTTGAGCTCTCGAAGCTCAAAAGGTTCACAGGTATCACCTCTTCGGCCTTCTTCATCAACCAAACCAGGCAGTCGGATAACCATAATAACAACAAGTACGGTATCTGTCAATTCAACGGAGTATGAGTATCATATCACGACTTTGACGCGCACTATCTACGTGACCAATACTCCTTCAGGAAAGAAGCTTGAGGCGTCAGGTTACTCAACGCCTCGCTCAAGTCGTAATCTAGCTGCTATCAGTTCTTCGTCGTCTCTTCATTCGCCTTCTAGCAACAGTCAAACCCTAGGTGGAGTTCATGGACCTGGATCCGTACATCAAGTCAGTACTACGTCTGCAAAGCTTGGACTGTCAAGCTACTCCACTTTTCACACAAGTCCTGGTTCCCCTCTCAGCTCCTCTTCGTTGTCGCTCCATCTCCCGTTTGGCAACACGCAAGGTTCTTCTGTCACTCATGGATCTGGGTTCGTTAATGGTGTCACTACTGCATCTGGCAAAGTTATTACAGAACAAAGTCAATTTGGCTCTAGGTCGGCAAGAGCTTCAGAAGTATCACCAATGGTGACTGGGCCTAGACAAATGATCACCGTTTCTACCATTGTCAATAGTACAAGTTCTGGGGCTCCAATGAGTGCGAAAATCAATGATTTGTCTACCAAACTCTCTCAGAACAAAACGAGCACACCTGCCAACGCTAGCTCTTGACTGAGAAGCCCAGTTTGTTGTCATCAACATCAGCTCCACTTCTGTCGAGGTCATCTTCAATATTTGTCCCAGGCCAGGGCTCACTTGTAGCCAATCCAACCAAGCCTCTTACTATTTTCAGACCGCCCTCTCTAAAGAGCTCGTTCTCAATTTCCAACTCTGCTCAATCACTTCAAAACACGCCCACATCATCGCTTGGTGTTCTTATGCGCACTTCAAATCAATTTATCGCTGCATCGAACCCACCTTCTAGTTCGCCAACAGTGATTGGTGCGCCAGCTTCTTTTCCAATCTCGTCTACTTCTCCACGGCCAATACCATCAGTGCCTAAAGCTGTATTGTCTTCAACCGTTTCAGGTATAAAGTGGGCAAACTCATCTAGAAATACAGCTGTGGTTACGTCATCTGTCCTTTCTGCTTCGCCCGGAAACGCCCTGACTCAGGGCGTAAGTCAAGCAGCCGAACTGGCTATTTCGACCTCGAGCAGCTCGGCTCCAGTGTCGGCGCTTGTTGGGACAGGGAATACTGCGGGACAAGCGGTTGCTATATCGACATCTCCATCCGCGTCAAATCCATATGCTCTGATACCGTCAACCTTCAGAACAAGCGCTGGCATCTTTCTCAACATCTCAGGTGTTATTACCTTGCTGTCCTCTTCTTCTTCTCGCCCCATACAAAGTAAATCGCCTGTTATATCTCTTACTTCTACAGCACCACAGTCTCAAGAACATGGGGTTACCGCTAGTGGTCTATCTCAGATGGTCCCAGCAAGCAATGAAATGGACGTTGGAAGTATGGTAAATAGTCACACGGTCGAAGCAAAGCTGACAAGATTATCATCAAACGTCCTACTCGGACAACAGCAGCCAATCACTGGCTTCACAACAAACCAATTTTTGCCTACTTCAACTACTGCACATGAAGGTGGTGGCAGTCAACAAGCTGTCTCCTTACTTCAGGATATTTCGACCACGGTACTTCTAGAAATCAACCCGAACTCAAAAGCCTCGAGTGTCGTATCAATTAGCAATATCGCTCAATCACTTTCGGAAATCGATATAGGTTTTGGTGAAAGTCTTTCCAGCATTCAAGCCACAGGTGACAGCCCAACTCTGTCTCCAGAGAATCTACCTTCACTATCTTCTTCAAGTATCAACCAAATTAACCCGACATTAGCTCCGTCTCAAATTCTTTTACAATCAATCATCACATTTGAGACCCTGACCCTAGCGAACTCATCCCAACCTCCTGTATCCTTACAAGCCTTCAACGTTCTGTCTTCCCAAGTGTCATTACCTGGAACTCCAGCTCTCCACAGCTCATCCAACGCCAATTCGGCACAGTTCTCTTCACCAGCTCCACCACTTGCTTCTGTTGTATCAGCATCTCAAATACCATCACTCGGGCCACCTGTAACAACCCTTCGCGACAACTCGCATACTTCAAAGCGACGTTATTTGAATACATCGAAACCGGCGGCATCATCTTCCTCCAGTCCAAGATTCAATCTTCCTTCCCTTGATTTCTTCCCAACGCCTAGTCAGAATTCACCTCCTCCTGAAGGAATTTCATCAATTGAGAACATACAAGATTCCTCAACTAAAGTGATGAACTCGCCAACAACGACGTTCGTGCAGAATATGCCGATTTCGAATATATTTTTCTCGGCCACTCAGACCCAAGGACAATATCCCTCAAATGGACTTTTTAATTCTCCGTCTACCGCAGGTCCAAACAATGTCCAGACTGCTATGACTCCAAAGAGCTCTGGAGAAGTTGCCTCAGTTGTCTCTCCTGATCTGCAATTTACCGCTTTTGAAAGCGGGGATTTAGCGCCATCAGCGCATTCAGCGCATTCAGCGCAATTCGCGCAAACATCGCTATTCTTGCTCAATACAGACATGAAAGAAAAATCTGCGCTGAACATCAACTTCGTTTCCGTCGCCACTACGTTTAATGAGACTATGGGAACAGTGCTGGTGACAGCATCCGAGACAGGTGCTGAAGGATCGATGCTTTCTATTGCGTATCTCAAATCCGCATCCCACGCCACTCAAGATTTGGAAACTCTGGTGAATGCTCCCGCGGCATCAACTATATCCATGAGTGAAGATGAACGCATAACTTCTGTACTGGCTATAGCATCACCACTATCATTGGGCAATGAAACCGCCATGAAGAGAGTGCTAGAAGTCTCCAATCCAACAAACACCATGTCGACACTTGAAAATGCTCAAATGAGCACAGCTCTTTCAACATTGGATAGTAGTACGACACAGAATCCCTCTTCGGCACCTCTACTGTCAACCAATGATATCTCTGATACAGAATCAACGGCGTCAGGTCCTGGTCTGAACGCCACAGAGCAAATTTCAGCTAAAGCATACACTGAAAGCGCACGAATCTCAACAAACTTACTGTCAATCACCGACGACGTGGAGGGAATGTCGAGTTCCTTGCCTCTTCTTCAGCCGACAACTGCATTGGAAAATCTAAATTCTATTCCAACAACGATTGTGGAATCATTGAATCCAAGTATTGTATCAACTCTTGAGAGCCCTCAATTACAATCAGGCGCAGCGTATTCGTCAAATTCTGTTATCAACATAATTCAAACAGTTTCTGTGCTTTCCGTCATGTTAGTACCAGCATCACTATCAAGCAATGTATATCTAGGAGCGTCAACGCCAGGCGAGGCAGAATCAACAGTGCGCGTCACTCAAGAAGACTTGATCTTTTCGACACCGCTGACAAGTTCAGCCAACGGAAAGTTGGAGATTTCTTCAACTCTGGTTCTGGAAAATCCAGCTTCAAACGGTGCAGCATCTCTTTCAAGCAATATAGAAATGAATGGTGCGAAGACCTCAGCTTCAGTCAACGACATAATCCCATCGGTCACAAATAGTGGGGTCATGGTCACCGCACCGACAGCATCTGTTGAGCTACAATCTTTACATAGCAGTAATCCAAGTCCAAGAGTAGTCACATACACCTGGTGTCCAAATCAGGAGACTCAAGGACAAGCAACTCTTAGTAGTCTTGGTTCTGGTTCATACTTGATGCAGCCTCCAAACACTGCCATCTTCGATCAAGAGACTACCTCGATTGGCATTCACGAATTATATCCTTCGAATCAAATTTCCGGTGTTCAAAGCGTACCATCGCCATCTGGTTTGAGTAGTGGTGCTGGATATGGTTCTTTCATAGAAGAAGCGTTAACTTCCTCGGCTAACGTGGCCTCAGCTCCCCTAGCTATCTCAACTTCACTATCAGTATATTTTGAAAGTATACTTTCAAACGGTCAGGGGTTAAAGAGACAGTCTAGTTTCAGCATTGCTACCATCATTGACTTCTTTCCGAGTTTGACGCTGCCGCCTTTAAGCAGCATTAGTACGAGTGAAGCTGTATCTATTCTTGAATCGTTGTCTTTGAACATCCCGAGTTCCAACGCGGAGACATCTGTAGACCAGATATCAAGTTCAAGAGAAGAGTCTATATCTTCTTCCTTTCCTGCCGCAACTGTATCTTCTCAAAGAATCGAAGCTTTGACGGTTATCTCAGTCCCGACCAGCTTTAGCCAACTTTCCATATCAACTCCAATGTCTCTTTCACAGATAATTTCGCAAACCAGCTCGTCTTCTCGCTCGACATCTTCGGTGGAGAGCTTCTATTACAGTATAATCTGGGAATGTCAGGAGACTACAATTACATCTGAATTCGCTTTGGAAACGGCGCTTGCCCCCGCGTCTCTAATGGCATCACCTACGATGGCTTCCGACAATACTGTAGCGAGCATGTGGCTGTCAATCCCGACGTTGACTTCTGCACCGATTGCTACAACAGCTTCACAAATGATGGCTTCTTGGATGGTAGATTCATCAGTAAGCCAAGCTCCCGTACCCACATCTTCAGGTGAGAGCTTCTACTATAGCGTGATGTGGGATTGCCAACAAAGCGCAACTGCCCCAGAACAATCGCCACCAAGCAGCCCTTCAGCACCTGGGGAGGAAAACACTTTAACAACATACGATACTCTTGTCATACAACCTAACACTGTTGCTGCTACTTTTGCGACGGAAACCGCTATGACAGCGGCAACCGAGTTCAGCAACCTGGGCGGAGAGTCTGATACCATGCCAAGCGTATGGTTGTCAAGTCCAACGTTGCCATCAAACATCATTGCACGATTATCAGCACCACATTCTGTCAGCACCATGCCTTATTCCATTGCCAACTCAGTTGAGATTATTTCAGAAAATATGTCTCATGCTACGTTGCCACAATCAGAAAGCGGCAGTGCTGGAAGGACAGCTGCTTCGAATAGCGACACAAATGGTCTCTTCAAATCTAGTGTTATTAGTCTCTCAGAGCCAAATCCGGAGAGCGTTTCATCACCGACGCCCACACTGAAATCGGAATTTCTCCCTACTGGAATAATATCGGCTTCCATTAGCGGCACAAATTATGTCTTGAAATCTCTTGTCAGCAGCTTCTCAAATCAATACTCAGAGAACATTGTACAGCCAAGCTCAACGCTAGCAACAGATATAGTCACAGGGACAATCTTGACACAGACAGTTACCTTGAGATTGAACACCTTATGTCAAGAGACAGCACCAACAGGCTTTCCCTCAAATACTGAGTCTGACACGACATCAACAAGTCTGTATCAAATTCATCCGTCACTTGAATCGATCACTTCACTGAGCATCTTTTATACCGCAAATGCAACACTACTAGGCAGTGATACCATAAACATCTCTCGGGAAACAACATTCCCAGCGAGCACAAAGTTACCTATTCTGTTCTCCACTGTTACAACAGCATCAGTTGAGATTAATTTGTCGCAATCTCAAAATTCAACCCTCGCGATGAATACTGTTTTCACTGAGATCTCATCTCTAACAGTTAGCTTAATTGCAACAGCATCAATTCAAATGGCGTTATCGACCAGTCTCACCTCAAGCCAAACAGCATCAACAAGTCTAAGCAACATGTCGTCAGTATACTGGGAATGTGAACCATCAAGTCAACCTCAGGGCAATCCTTCCGAACTTCCGAGCCCAGTGTCAGTGGTTACCTTGAATACGGTATCGGAAGTTCGAATGATGACTGCAGCAGCTCCAGCACAATCAACCATGATTACTCTCAACTCAATAGACGAGACTGGATCGGCGACTGCGAAAATGATAGCAAGTTCTGACCTGAATATCATGCAAGTCCCATCGTCAGCAGCTGTGGAAAGTTCTGAAGTGTCCGTTGCGTGGATGGCAGTCGCGACGAGCCCATCAATTAGTATAGAGAGTAAAACTACATCGACTTTAACGGCAATGACGGAACTCACAACAAACCTTTCAAGCCAAACTCAGGAAGGTCCCACGTCAAGCTTAGTGGAGTCTGCGAGACCTACCATGAGCTCATCCGCAGGCGCTGTATCGATCAGTACTCCTTTGTCAAGCCACTTAGAAGAGAGTGAAACGTCTGAATCCTCAGAAATTGGAGAGACTCTATCAACTTTCGCGCAATCTACGACTTTTGTTGTTATATCATCTACAGCAGCTGAGCCATCAATCACGCAGATTCCATCATGGACTTCCACCGGGAGAGCTTCGAGTGAGATCCAGGAAACGACCGCGACTGAAGGTTCGGCACATTCAACGAACAGTGCCACATCAAGTGGATTCCTAGCCACGCCAAGCACACTATCATTGCAGTCATTATCAAAAATCGGTTCGTCTTGGACAAGCCTTATACCAAGTTCCTCAGCTCATCGAAGTGCTTCTACAAGCGCGAGTAGTACAAGTCAAATGACATATTATAGCAGCTACTGGGAGTGCGCGTCGCCAAGCCCGACTGTTGCATCTGACATGATGGCTAGCACAGTCTCTCTTGAAGTAGCTATCATTTCGATGAGTCATTCGCACGGAGCAATCGTGTTGACGAGCCTGGCACCCACAGTGACTCCATTTGCGAGTATTGCCGAGAACGGGACACTCAGTCTTTCCCTCCAAGTGACACTATCAACAAGCCTTTCGCTAAGCCAAACTGTATCTCGCAGTGCTACATTAGCCAGAAGTGAGGCAACAAGGCCTTCATCGCAGACGAGTCTCACGTCTATACAAAGCACAAGCGAATCAACAACTTCCTCAACTCAGACCACACCTTCAACAAGCTTCGCCACCAAGGAAACTCAATCACTTAGTATAAGCGGAAAAATTAGTCCATCATATCAAACAATACTTCTGACCAGCCTCACACCAAGACAAACTCCATCTTCAAGCGTGAGCGAGACCATAAATCCTTACCAGGCCCTTCAATCAAATCTCGCACCAAACTCTCTATCAACGAATGCGCCATACCAAACCATGTCACCAACAAGTCTTACGCTTATGTCTTCAAGCATGAATCTCGATAGCACAAGCCAGATCTGGTTCACAAGCTACTTTTGGGAATGTGGGGCATCGACGCAAACGGAGATAGATGCGGTGCCCACACCAACTGCTGGGAGTATATCGATATGACGCTGGTGGTGTGGGAATGTAGCGTCACACCAGGGTAATGGATGGAGGAATGCAGAGACCGAGATCGAAAGGGAAACCTTGCTTGAAGTGTGTATCTAAGGAAGGAGAAAGAGGGGATTTAGATATACAAATGGGATGCAGAAGCAATTCTTTTTCGTTTCTTTTCTTATATGGAGTTTTCATGTTTGCTTAAATGTAATAAAGTTCGGGTTTATAGGCTTGGAGAGTGTTCGGTCTTGAATACGATTTGTAGAATCAAAAGGCTATACTTTTCATAATCTGGTGTCTAAGACGGGTTATGTTTTAGCCCTGAAAAAGATTCGGAGCCTTCATTTGTTTGATGATTCCAATGGTTTCGCTTACAATAGGCATGTTATGGCTAGTCTCATTTGAGACTTGCATTAGCGTACTTCTTGGCAAATGCAGGCTGCGACCTGAACATCCGAACCGTATTTTTGACTCTCTCTTTCATGAAAATCAACCATAACTCAATTTGTCACACGTGGGTCTCTCCCAGTCATTGCCAAACTAGCACTGAACTCCGTCGGTGGTTCGACCACTGTGAGATGCTGCGACTTGAAGCTCATACGAAGCTTGCGCCTGAGTCACTAGGCGTTGTAGACAAGGCTAGCAAGGGAAGACTTCTCTTAGCTCTTGCATCCCGAGCATAATTTACAGTTTGGTGAGGAAGTTTTTCTTCCAGAGTATTTGTTGTCCGCACGTAATAGGTACTAATACGATCAGAATGCGAATTTGCAATCATGGCAGATCAATCCCAGCAACAGCTCCCGAGCACTGATAATCCAAGTACTGTTAAAATCCAGGATACCACTTCAGAAAGCTTTTCGTATAGTCCACTCGAAAACACGGACTCGGAACGCAGTATTCGACTAATTATGATAAAACCAGTCAAGAGATTGACGTCCGACATTGAATGCGAGCTTGTTCATGTCAAATTCGGAGATAAACCCAACTATGAAGCGCTTTCTTATGCTTGGGGCAGTGACCTCACCACCAGGGCAATTAAAATTAATGGGAAGACCCTTCTCGTTCGGGAGAGTCTTTGGAAGGTGTTGGCCAAGCTCCGACACCGTGATGAGCCACGGTGTCTCTGGGTCGATGCGATTTGTATCAATCAAAGCGACATTGCAGAGAAAAATTCGCAAGTACGCCTCATGCCGCACATATACAGAAAAGCAACAACCGTGATAGTCTGGCTAGGGATAGTACCAGTTGATATGCTTTCAGCTCTCATCGCGTCGGGCTACTGGAACCGAGTGTGCATAGTTCAGGAAATCGGCAAAGCCAAGACGATCCGTGTTCACTGGAATTCAAAGAGCTTGACTTGAGACAGCTTCACTGCAAAGCTTGAATCTGATACAGTTGGTCGTGACTCGCTGGCACTGAAGATAGCAAAGCAGCGGCAGAAGAAGTATGAAGACGGATATCTCCTGCGAACGCTTCTAGAAATACACAAGCATTCTCTGTGCAGCGAGCCTCGAGACAAGATCTACGGCTTCGTAGGCCTTGCGACTGACTGTGTTGGTGGGCAATTTCGCATAGACTACGGCAAGTCGCTGTTCGCGATTTACAAGGATGTCGCCAGGTTCTACCAATACAACAGAAAGGATACTTTCAGATTGAGTGTGCTCGTCAAACATTTACTTGGCGGAAATAGCATCATAAGCAGGGAGGAGAGCGCATTTGGACTGGATCATGTTGCACTTCCACGGCGCACAGCAGTAAGCCACTACGGGACGGACTTTGTCACAATCCCCTACTTCACCCACGGAAAGATCACGTATGTGGGCCCTTCGTACCACGATACAGTATCGGACCCGGAGCTCGTCGATGAATGGAATCTGAACATCAGGCGTCGTGGTCCCCCTAAACTTTTAGCATCTGCCTTTGAGCAGAGCGACAAGTTCTTGGACCTGCTCGAGGAAGTCGATGGAGCAGAACTCGAGAAAAGACTATCAATAGATGGCAAGCTCTTGCATGCTTTGGCCAAGGATGAGAAAACATATCCTCAGAGCTAGGAGCCTCGCTGCCTATCTCCACCAGCCCCCCTCATTTTGAGAGAAAAGGGGCCAGGCATGGGCATCGCTTGGAAAGCAGCTCGAGTCGTGGACCAAGTCTGCCAGTTCCCAGGCTCCAAACTTGCATTTTTACTTCGAGATCAAGACGAAGAGAGGAGAATCGTGGGACTCGCTGCTATGGCCCTTCCAGTGCAAAGCACCTCCCTAAATCATAGTCCAGAGTGGAAATTCTATAGTCCATCCGACGATATGCGTACAGAAGATCTCCTGGTAGACTTAGAGACGTTATTTTATCTTTCAGATTAACAACGTAAGGAGCCGAGCTGCGATGCTGCTTTCGATGCATCATTTATTTCGAGACGGCAGTAGGAAGTCTGTCCTATTCACCATCGCTTTGGAAGGGGAATACTCTGGATATTCAAATACCACTTTAAACTAGCTCATTGTCTGGTCACTTTTCCCTGCTTTGAACCATATCCTGTTTTTGTCGCAGCAAATTGCTACCGGTACAGATGAGAAACGGGATGTGCTCAGACAATTTCCCCGAGGCTGGCATCAGGATTCCCAGTAACGGTACCTATGCAGCAAGCCAGCATCCTGGGACGCCATGGCAAAGACTCACCACCAGGTCACGGAGCAAGGATGATACACACCGCTCTATTTCGATATCAGATAGATCACCTTGGTCCGTGGTTGACGGGTAGATCCTGCTCCTTTCCTTAATTCGTGGCGCGAATCATATCTCGTTTGGTCCGAGGCCGCATCATCTCGGCCGCGAGCGTATGTCCTCTGCACTGGGTCAGGGGCTGCAAGACCCGTCGTTTGCTTTGTGACAACTGGAATTCGGGTTCCGGATGTGTCTTTGAGGGGGAAAATGCAGCTTCCCGTTGGGGGCCAAGGATGAGACGAGAGAACGTTTGCCTGCAGAGCCAGAATTTTGGACGATTCTGAATATTTCCATTTTGTACTCTTCTCTGACTTAAAAAGTAGCTGGGTACACCAGTTTTTGAAACCCATCGACAATTTCAAGAAGCAGTTGAAGAAGCATGATGGACGCAGTGTCTTCGCTCAAAGGGTAAGGGACTCATATCTGGTACGAAATGCCTATTCTGACTTGTTCTAGCCTCTTTGAGAGCGGCAAATATGCAGATCTCACGATACGATGTGGAGGAGCTGTACACAAAGTCCATTGTGCGGTTGTGTGCTCCCGATCGAAGTTTTTGGAAAAGGCAGTTGATGGGCAATTCAAGGTATGATAACATCGTTGTAGTTTGAAGCAGCTACTGATGGTAAACAGGAAGCAGCGCTACGTGATATCGACTTGTCGGAGGACGAGCAGCCCATCGTCCGAGAGATGATCAGATACCTCTATACAGACGACTACGACCATAATCCTTACGAACAAGGCGGCTTGGCACCAGGTTACGAATGTCATATTTCGCCAGAGGCTGAGAATAGCTTGGCCAGTCCTGATCATCGTTTACTCGATGGCACGAATGAAGCATGTTGTTTGATGTTCCACGTCAAGATGTACGTGGCTGGCGACAAGTACGACATTCCAGGTCTTCGCACACTAGTAACAGAGAAATATCAACATTGTGTCGCTGAGTATTGGAACAGCACAACCTTCTCCCATGCAGCCTTACATTTATGGGACAACACCGTGGAATCGGATCGTCAACTACGCAATGTTGTCATTCAAGCAGCACACGACAATCTTGATGAGTTGCTCGATCGAGGCGAGTTTAGAGATTTGATGCAAAGCCGTGGAGACTTCTGCTTTGACATTGTCCATTGTCAAACTGTCTCGAGGACTCTCATACTTTGGCAGTCGGTCTAAGAAGAAGGGTAGTAAAAAGAAGGGTACGAAAGAGATCGAAGAGTAAGGAGTGATATTGGCAATATGTCAGCGGGGACATATTGGCTTTCGAGGCTGTTGGCAGGGAATATGGAAGCCAATGCAAATCTGCGTAAAAACTTCTGTCTTCAATATAATATACACTCATATGATATGCTCCCTTGCACGTGACGGCAAATCTGGACTTGAGAAATCGTCATCTGCTGTGCGAGAATTTCATCCTTACTAAGAGCTGATATGCTTCAATAGGAAAGTAGAAGGTAGATAAATGGATCGATTTGAAGTGGATTTGATATTCGGTTTTGATTGTAATTCTGACTGTGATAAAGAAGATGGCTGTGGCCGCAAGGAACAAGATGCTAAGAATTCCAGGAAACGCAGCACAGAAGACGCCCCTGAGATATCCAACGCACATCGTAGATACAGAGCTAAGAATGGCTTATCCATATGACTGGTAGCTTCCTGTAGGTGCAGGTGATCATTATGTTCGAAGTGTCGTATATACAGTACTTGAGACGAGCTGTCTCCTCAGCTTCTCTTACTTGTCGTTCCACTTTCGTTCAATGATCGATGCGGACTCAACTGGATTTTGATAATTTGATCCGTGAGAAAGAGCTCAGCATTCCCTGAGGAACTGTCAACCGCTCTTCGGCTTCTATCAATGCTGCTTTTGACGGGTCCATCACATTTCCATTTGGTTTCTTCGGCTTTGCCTCTGCTAGCTCCTTGAAATAGACCAGGTCATTGGTATCGTAGCCTTTAAGCATATGCACAAGCTCGTATGGTTCCTGGTCTTCGTTGGAGACCGGTATTCCGTTCTTCCACATTTCTTGAAGCGCGCCCATCTCCTCCGCGTTGTATTTTTGCTGATGCTTTTCCTGGAATTCTTTTGCGGCAGAATAGCGTTTTTCGATCTCATCCAGGCCCTCTTGAAATTCTGTCAAACTCAAGAAGTAGGAATACGCATAGTCTAGGGCTTTCCCACTATCTGTGCTAGTGAATAGCAAAGTCGGAGGCTCACGCGACATTGCCTCGTCGTGTTGTGCTAGCAGGCTGCGGACAATATCCAGAGACTTGGCTTTTACCGCCATCAGGAGAGCTTTATCGCCATTGTTGTCCAGTTTCGTGGGAGAAGCACCTCTTTCGATCAGCATTCCAGCCGTTGCTGCACGACCTTCCATGATAGCAATCATGAGTGCAGTTCGACGTAGTACATCGGCCGCCTCAATGTCAGCTCCAGCTCGCAGCAGTGACAAAAGAACATCATACCACCCCAACTTAGCGACTATAATCAGTGGTGTTGTGCCTTTACACCATGTCTCGTGCTCAAGTATTGAGGCTTCCATTACTGCTGCATGGTGTAAAGAAGAGTTAACATCAGCGCCATAGTCGATCAACAATTCAACGATTCCTCTATGTCCTCTCTCGCATGCGGCAAACAATGGTAGGTTTAAGTCAGGGGTGTTGGGGAGAGGCAAAGCTCCATTGACAATCAGTATCTCAACAATCTCGGGAGTTGCTTTCCGGCACGACTGAAGCAAGAGGGATTTGCCATGTATATCCTTGACTTTAACGTCAGCCCCTGCCTCAATAAGAATTGAAGCTGCTTCCACATTCCCGGACAGACATGCAGCGAAAAGTGGAGTATGGCCTCTGATGTCTCTACAGTCTAGCTTAGCACCAGCTGCAAGCAAAAGCTGGATCACTGAGGGCGAACCAGTCGTTACCGCATTGAACAGAACTTCTCGCCCATCAGCATTCCAATGAACAGAGGTCCCGATCTTGAGTAAACCTCTGACCCCATCTGCTCTTTTCGGATCCGCTGCACAGACGAAGAGTTGTTCCGCGGCTCTAGAATTCATGGGCAGATCTTCTGTTGTGGCTCCGGCAAGGAGTAGCGAATCCACAATGCTTAGGTGCCCCAAGGCTGCCGCTAGAAATAAAGCGGTATCTCCATTTGAGTCTTTGGCGTTAATGTTAACGCCCGCTCGAAGGAGGGTATGAACAATGCTCCGATGACCGTTGACCGCAGCTCCTGCGAGAGGTCTCTGCCAGTGAGCTACGTCGATCTTCGCTAATAGGTCCCTGATCTCAGTAGCACGTTTGTCAGAATAGAATATGCGGCGGCGGGTGGGCCCGAGAAGCTTATGGCTCGTGGTAGATTGTGATAAAACACCAGTTGGACTCAGCACATCTGGACCTGCGTGTAGGGCCAAGAGTAAATCCACCATGTCGATCTGACCATTAGCCGAGGCAGCGTAGAGAGGCGTAGGGGACATCTCGACGACACCTGGATGTGAGAAAACTAGATCTTCCGCATTACTGGACGCAGTGATGACATCGGCTCCATGCGTGAGGAGGAATTCAGCAATGTTGAGGTGGCCCATTGATGCGGCCAGGCTCAGAGGAAGGCCTTCCACATTTGTTCTTATTCCATGACCTTTGCGCCGGAATTCGTCGTCCAAGAGAAAATACTCCACCACATCGAGTCTTCCATGTCGTATGGCTCGCATATATGCACACATACCACGGCTATCACCCTTGAGCGGATCGAAGCCGTGGTTTCGGCACAATGAAACGACATCAAGTTGGCCATTAGATGATGCATCGATGAAAGCGTCCAACTTGGCTTGATCCAACTTTCCCCTCCCCAGATCAGTGATGTCAAGATCGAGAATTTCCAGGAGGCATTCCAATACATGTATATTTCCATGGTTTGCTGCTTGATCTAGTTTACGAATCCCAAGAGCTGCGCCAAAGCCTAGAAGATTTTTGGCTTGCCACCCAGATTGGTGCAGCATCTTGACAACTTCAATGTGACCATTCAGGGCAGCCATTTCGATAGAGTTGTACACCTGGCCGTTGTGCATTATTGAGAACGACTTGTATGCTGAATCAACGAGGCTATTGAGAACACGCAGCTGATTATTTGCGGCTGCCTCAAGAACGAGATGACCTCGAATCTGGTACCATGGATAGTTGTCTTGGACTGCTGGTTGTAGAAGTGCAGGTATACAGAGTCCCAGAATGTCTACATTACCACGGCGGCAGGCATTCAACATCCGTGAGTAAAGCCAGCCTGAGGCAGGGATAGTCTTTGAGTCCCAAGTGTCTTGAGCGCAGTATTCCAGTCGCTCGATCATGTCTGTTGAAATGTATGTGTTGACTGTGTCCTCGAAAAACCACTGCCCAGCATCCACAAAATACAAGGCAGGGTTGAAGGATGAATCAGTTTTTAGAAGAGTATGGATCAGTGGGCAGTGATTGATTGCAAGGGCCCACCCAATCGGTTCCAGATAAGTGTACTTCATTTTGGTGTTCATGTTCGATTGCCAAGGTCGAAATGAGAAAGGGAGTTGCTTTTGCAAGACGAGGTTATGGAAAAGAAGATCTCTCTTCGTTTTTGCCTCATGATTGGGCAAGAATGTCGCAGTATGCCAGAGCCAGTTCTCACGAACATAGTCAAGAAGCCGGTAGTCCTCAAGTAGGTGTTCGACGGGCTCCGCCTTTTTTGCAATGTGGCGACTGTAATCAATATTGGTGGCTTTCGCCTTGCCATGATGAACCATGCGATTGAAAATGGACATTGTGTCGATAGCAGTTGTCTTCGGTAGCGACATATCAGTGGCAGCTACAACACGCTCGATGGCTGCCATCCCCGCAGTCACTTTGTTGTCGACGTACACGGTGACTTGAGTTTCGAAATCGGAGAAATTTAAGTAAGCGACGCATACTTCTCCCAAAACATCCTGTGCCTCTTGCAGGTCGAAATGATAGAACTTCTCTGCAGACGTCTTACTATCCAATATATACTGCTGGACCGTATAATGAGCAAGTTGGATCGTTCGCGATTCTTCCTCGACTACAACGAGATTACCACATGCTGTGACAAGCCGAAGGATATCCGTTGGAATCTTGTCGATGTTCTACCTCGTGTCGTCGATAGTGAACGCAATTCCCTCGCAAAGCTCGTCAACAACGAGTGGCCGACGAGCACATATGATCCATCGAAACATACGCTTCACAAGTTCTTGACGTTGTACTCCAACGATTCTACCCAAAAGTCTGTCGTAAGTCTCGCTCAGATCCTTTGGTAGGTGTTGGAGGGTGTACATGATAGCATCGTCGGATTCGGCTGTACAGAGCTCATCAAGCTGAAACTTGACCCAAAGGAACCTGATTTGATTCGTAAGCAAAATGGCTAATAGAGAAATGACTGGTAACTTGCATCCCTTTCGCCCCTGCGATTAAAGCTTCAACGATGGCCTTTTCCAAAATTGATTTTCTAATAACAAGATCCCCATTCCTGATCAGAGACGAGACCTCATTACGTACGTAACCTTGAATGTCTGTTGATGTAGTGGCTTCCGAAATTTGTACTCTGAAGCTGGACGCAGGCTTGGTGGAAATTGCTGCCAAAATGTTCTCCCGGCAAGACATGAAAAGCTTGATCGGTGCTGTATGGCCTCCAACCAACACTTTGAGAGCATCATAAACTCCCTGCCGATCTTCTTCATTTACCTCGTCGATACCGTCTACGACGATGGCAACGTGGTCGAAAGAATCGATAGTTCTTGAAAAGATTTCGAGCACTTCCTTAGACTCAGGAATTCTTTCTCCTTCGCGATAGATTTCGAAGACGAGTTCCAAGACAGGTTCTGGTATGTCGATGCTCTCTAATAGGTTGCGAGCTAGCGCTCCAAGGATAGTGATGGGATCCAATGTTCTCTTGTCTGCATAGTCGCAGTAGTGGTAGGTAATGGCAAGCGAGCGCGATTCGGCAGTGGCCACCAAAGAGTCAATTACGCTTGAAGCGAGGACCGTCTTTCCGCATCCAGCTAGAGGCAAGCAAAACTGTTATGATGTTTTCATGGCAAGAGGGTTCACATCAACTTACGAATTCCATAGCAGCAGAACGCAGTTGAACTTTTGCTATCCATCCATGACCGGTACTCTTGAGTTGCAAATAGCCAGTTTCCAGTGTCTGCATGTCTGATCTTTCGAACTTTCTGGTGTTTCTGCTGGCTATTTATATTTGACAATAATTTGAGAACCTTCAACTTTGTCTGAGCTGTGTCAATTAACCAGCATGTCAGCCTTTGTATGTCAAAGAACGCCAACCCATGATGTCAAGGAACAACAATTATTGATGGTACCTTTGTTATTCATTTCCTGAAGCTGTCTGTCTCTCAATACGAGTGCTCTTGCTTCTGCGGCTTCGATCATATGACAAGTTTCTGCTTCTTTCTCGACAGCCTTCCTATGAGCTCGAAACCTAGCTTCTGCGTCCTTGAACTTATGTTCCATCGAGGGGGAGTGTACGACCCGTTTCAAAGGATTTCTCTGTTGCCCTTTAATCATACTCTTGAAGTCCATGCATAGTTCAATGATATCCAAATATGTCCTTGCTACAGCCTCAGTAAGTCGGGGATGTTTCGCAGTCGAGAATATTCGTTGGTAATCCTGCAACTCCATCGTCAACAAAGTGCAGAAGTGAGGCTAGGGTAAGTCTTACAAGAAGTCGAGGCAGAATATCTCCAATCCTCCCAAGGCACTCCGTTAGTTTCTCAAAGATCCTCCCCAACCCCTTCGCCATGACAAGCTCAACCCGAATACTGCCCCATATAGGCGCCACGAAGGTTGGCGAAATGTTCGTGAATGTGTCCATAGCTTTTCCATAGCTCTCAATCTTGTCCACGAGAGGCTGAACTGCCTCTATCGCTCTGTGAATCTTGGAGGACTTGCGATCGGTGGCATTCGTCACCGAGGTATCATAGTAAAGATTCTCAATTGTGGCCTCGTGAAAGAGCAATCGGTCTGCCGGCTCCAGGTCCGATAGATATCGTTCTTTTGCGATCGTCCAGGCATCTCGGTCGATTGACATGCTTGGTCATGGCCTTGTTCACAATTCCTTTCTACTGAAATGCAGCTCGCACACGGCATGTCCAACACTTACTGGATCACGAAGAAATAGAAATGCATGTGCACATAGAAGCAATGAGTTTTGAGGTGTAGAAAGAGTGGGAGAGACACGGGAGAGACATCGCATAGAGCCTTGCAAGGCTTGCTGGCTAGGCTTTCAGCTGGCCCCCAAGCTTCCACACTTGCACAGAAGGAATTGGAGCGCTTACTGATCTAGAATGCTGTGATACATGTGCGATATGCACATAGGCCGTGTACCAGCGAGTCTTTGGCCTTCAATCATTGTGCTGGCAAGTAGGTATTGTCGCTTGAAGTGAAAAGAAAGTCGCCGGCGAATCGACGGCCCGGACGACTTCCAATTTCGTATCTCACATAATAGCACGTGAAGCCAACTCAAATTTTGCTTGGGAAACCATGGACAATGATACATTCCTTTACAGCTAAGTATACACTAATGTCTTGAAAAAGTCAACAAGAATTTTGTATACCTACCTAGGTACATTGTCCCATCGATATCACGTGCTGACTCCAAAGTAGGAACATATGAGCAAGCTGTTGCTGTCACTCATTGCATTTAAAGACTCTATAGCTCTCACTTCTTGTCTTCTTTGTATTGGAGTTATATTACGGCACTGACAAGATTGTTAACGGATTATACGCACGAAATCCTTCGATGACCTCTCCTTTCTTGTGAAAGTACGACAGAAACCTGGTGGCGGAAGCAAGAAAAAATGAATTATAAGCATTAACATGAGGCTCTCGAGCCAATCTAGTGCAACTTCGGCTTCATCAAAGTTCTGCGAGAGGGCCTACCTCGATTACCTAGAGGACTATCCCCGATATTACTGCATGGGATTGCTCTCGAACCTAGCACAACCAAGTTAAGCAAATAAATCCACGTGAATGGCCAAAGTAGTTGGGAAAGTGAACAGAAAATGTAAAATGAAGTTAGAATTTGAATATTGCCTAGGGATTAACATAAAGCTTTAAGTCGATGTTCTGTTGTCATGAAAAAGATGAACCGAGGACTGACGTAGGTGGCGAAAACCCCACCCCCTTCGATATCAAGAGTTTAATCCTCATTTCATGCAACTCTTCAGATGAACAATTTCCAGCTACTAAACTCCTCCCTTCAAAATCCAGTATTCAATGTCAAGAGCGTCAAAAACTCGACACACAGATGATGCCTTTCTTGTCACATATGCACACTGGCCCGGCTACACTAATAACTATTTTCATTCAGAGCTAGGTCAAGTACGATACATCGTATACGTGAGGAGAAACAACCTCTCTAGACCATTACGCCATCCTGGTATCTCCGCTAAATCATATCTCATTACCCCTCCCTCTTTTCAGCTCATATCGACAGCAACAATCGTATCCGGACTCTCAACATCCATCTGCATTCCATGACCCTCCTCCTCATCCTCCTCCTCTATCTCTCTCTCCTCAACAATAACACCATCATCCGGAGCAACAACCACTTCATCCAACGGCCTTACTCGAAACCGCGCATCAAGCGCATCCATAGCTCTCGCTAACCTTCGGATTCCAGCTACCAGCACCTCGCTCCGTTCCCAAATCGTCAATCTCGCTTTCCCAGGAACTCGTTGCGCGAACACCAATTCATGGGACGATGAGATCCACGCTGGGCACACATACCCACTCTCTTCATCCAAACCATCCGCATTGAATGCCGTTACCGCTATCCTAGCTTTCTTTTGCCCAACCCCTGTTTCAAGTAGTGGTACTTGCTGAGCAGCAGCAGCAGCAGACCAAAACCTCATCCCCGCCTCGGGACCAGGAAGCCACGCCAGTTGCGTGATATCCACGATCTGCGTATCCGTAAGTTTATGCTCCGGATTCGCCTTCTGCAGTGCAGAGCAGATCAGCGAGAGCATGCCGACGGGCGAATCGCACAGGGCGTATGAGAATGTCGTTGGTTCTCTCAAGCCGAGGGTTGTTATTGCTCCGTATGCTGGGCCTCCTGAGGAAGTACTTAGGAGTGGTCTTCTCTCACCCTTTCTATTGTTTCGGACTCGAAGGGAGGAACTCCGTAAGGCAGTCCAGTCCGCGGCTTCGTACCCCCAGATATTGGCGTGGAAGAATTTCGCTAGATTGAATTTCATCCATGATAATGGGTCTTTGGTTGCTGTTGGGGCGGAGATACATGGTTCTACGACGTGTATTGCTAGGCAATTCTCTTTGTGTTTTTCTCCCAGGGTTCGTGCCAAGTGGTAGTCGATGCCAGCAGGGCTTTGTCTCCCGGAGCCGGTCGATGAACAGAGGTAGTGCTCGTAGCCTAGTCTCAGCATAAGTGTGTTGAATAGGTATGCTGTTTGTTCGAGTTGTGAAGTAGAGGGCTTGGTGAAGGCATCGCTGAATCCGAGCCCCGGGATTGACGGGCAGATTATGTGGAAGGCTTGTGTGCTAGTGGGGTGTTCGGGGTTCGTGAGTTGGTTGAAGAGGGGTGATGTCGAGAGGGAGAGATTTGTTAATGGGAAGGGCGGCAATAGCAGGAGAGGGACCGCATTGGGATGCGGGGAATGGAGATGGATGAAGTGGATTCGGAGAGCTGGTTTCGCTGTTTCGTTCTCTAGTGGTGGGTTTGGAGGAGGCAGAGAGATCGCTGTTCGAAATTGTGGCAGGCTTGTGTTGAGTGTTTCTTCGCGGTTGCGCCAGGTGTAGTGTTCAAGCCTATGAAAGCAGGAATTTTAGCGCATCTCTAGGACACCAAGCTCTTTCCTCTTGCTGAGAACAGAAGAAGCGCAAAGGGAAGCGGGAGAAAAGAAGAAGCTTACCAAAAATCAATCAATGGCTCCACAACGCCCTTCGGAGTCCCAAACTCCCACTCCCTATCTTTAGACAAAAGAACCTCATGAGGAAGTCTCGTCAACTCCAACTTCTTCTTTGTAAGCTCCAAATACTTTGAAGAAACCTATTCCCATCAGTGGTTAGCTATTCGCTATGCGCCGAGACCTGAGACAGCCCAGAACGAGAAATGCGCCAACTCACGTGTATCCTATATGGTCTAATCTCATCCCCCGAGTTCAGGGCAGCAGTACTAGCTTCCATCCCTTCTCGTTTTCCTTCTTATTCTCTTATTTCGAACTTCGCTTTGAACTCATTTATGGACATGACACACCGCAACGTCTAAAATGCGACGGACATTCAAAAGGTATAGAAGAAGAGGCCCTGGCATTAAAAGTGGCTTGAAAGGCACAAAGGCACAACTGTGGCGGAAGCTGCGGTGATCTTTCCCTTTGCGGGGTAGACGCGAATGATTGCATGGATCTGCGTGTGGCGGTGCAAAGAACCCTGAGTTGGAAACAAATGATTGGATGAGGCGCAACGTTTTATGCAGGTTTGAGCGTTGGGAAATCTTGAAACTGGGAATACTTGGATGAGTTGGCGATTCTGGACCGAGGATGTGCTTGTTTGTGACTCTGAGTTTGGGAAGGGCCCGAAGTCTGGATGCTTGGTTGGCCTGGTTGGGAAAGACATTGATCGCTTATGCGGGGTGAGGAGAGACGGAGCTGAATACAGTGTACCCCCTGAGCATATGTTGCCTTGCCAGAAATATTGAGGCATGCTGCTCTAACTTGAAGAGAGTGCATAGACCGAGTCTATACAAAGATTAGAAGTCCGTTAGTGATTCAGTACTTTAAAGCAGCATAAGTTCTCCCCTCGTCAAGTTAAAGTAGGATAACCGAGTGGCAAGAGAATAACTCAGGATCAGAGGTACAATGTAGCTATCCTACCAGTCTCCGAGAAGCTCTCAATCTCCCAGATCTTAAAGGACAAGTCTCTCAAATACCACCTCCTGGGTAACTGATCGAGTGCTTTAGCAATGGTAATTAACCAAGTCACTGGGTACAATAGCTAAGTAAGGCACCACGGAAGTGAACTGCTACTGGCGAAGATTTTACTGATGGATATGCTTCAACGCATTTCACTACGTATCCTATCATATTTCCCTATCCACTCCATGATAATTCCGTGAACGCCATCGCTGTTCGCCAATACCACAAGACCATGCCTTCCTCTCCTATGCTCTCCACAACCTCATGCATATTTGTTAGTGAGAACCAAAAAAGAAGGAATCAAATGATCGCGCTTCGCATCAATCCGGGCCGTTGTCCATCTCCAGTTCCTGTCCTGGCTAGTTGTGGTCTTTCGGCTGGTCTCTCGCCACCGCCACTAGAATCTTGCGTACCACCCACACCCCTTAAATTCAAATTCCCAATCCGCGAGACGATATTACTACCTACTGCATCCACAGCGCCGCGAGGGCTGCTTAGAGATGGTCCAGTAGGAGCAACAGTCTCAACTCGGAAGAGCTTGATACCTGTACCGTTCCAAACACCTACAGTACCCTTTGCAACCTGCATCTCGGAGGTGAAAACAAAGCCCCAGAGAAGGGATTCGTACCATCCAAGAGATAATGGCGACCATTCGAAATATTGAATACGGATGGCCGAGGGTTCAATGCCAGTGATCTTGGCTGTTTGAATGGTCCGTAGGATAGAAGTCGATGGGTGGTCAGTTGTCGACCGTTGTTCGGCTGGAAGGCTGATTTGGTCGATTAATGTGAGGATCGTGTGAAGTGGTAACTCTGGAAGCCAGGATTCGATCCAATCAGATGTGGGTTCGAAAGAGCCATTCGTAGAGAAACGACCTGTTGCATAACTGGCAAGGCTAGTGGTGCTATTTTGTCGTGAGAATGATGGCATGCCAGCTAGAGACCATTAGCGACCACTTCGATCTATCTAATAAAAGCTCACCTGGCATCTTTCCACGAGCTTTCTCAGACATGCCTCTCAGCTGCATTGGAACGGCATCATCAACACTAGATGAAACCGACGATGCTCTTGACGGCTGATCTGTAGGCGTCGATTCTGCAGGTGTTGGGTGATCCTCGTCCTCGTCATCATCATCTTCGTCGTCTCCAATGGCAAATGTTCCGTCTTCGGGCACATCACTCAGAGCTGGTGCTTGTGAGTGGCTCAAAGTAGGACTTCTAAGAGAATCTGCAGAGCCTCTTCTGCTCCCAGACAAATCTCCAGGGTCTTGTATACCTTCTTTTCTTCTCCGATTTCGACGCTCGATCTCTTCTTGGCCGCTTTCTAGAGTGAAGGAGCGAAGAGCTATGACACATTAGCTTGGCCTGGATGACAGATGCTGGTTCCTTACCTTCGAATCTCTTCGAATTCCGAAGTACAGCATACACAAAATTGGGGTTTTCTGGCGAGTAATCAGCTTGGATTCATTTACGACAAATGATTTCTGAAGGCGTGAGTGAGGCTTGAAGATCGACCTCGCCGACTAGGCTGTTCAACATCAATTGGAGCCTAGGTAAGGATAATACCAAGGCCGCGATATCGGCCGAGTTGTAGGCTTTAAAGGAATATTTCCTGTGCATGATGATGTATATGTAGAAATCAAGTGGTACTCACTAATATATTGATGCTCAATAATAGCATTCATGCTTTCTAGCAACGATTGAAGCAAGTTGTGGTTGCTGTCATTCGCCAAGAGAAAGCCAGGCGATGACATGGATGCGAAGAGCTGCATCAATTTTGATGAGGCTGAACCACCAAGATTTTCCAGGTATGCAGCAATATTGTTGATGACTGCTAGCAGAGCTGGGTAAATAGCCGTAAGTTTTCCTTGGCTCGTTGTGATGATGTTGTATATTGACTACACATGTTAGCAATGGATACTCTGGTAGGTAAGAAAGACTTACGTGGATGAGGAAGTCGGCGTAAGATCCGTTGAAGTTCTGCAACCTGATTGTTTGTGGGAGTGTTTCCTGATTCTCGAACTTCTTGCTGAGAGTCTTTCCGAAATTCGGCTCTACACTCAACGTTTGAACTAGGAAAACGCACATTCTCACAACACCTTGTTTTGATGCATCCAGTTTGTACTCAATTGCGTAAAAGAGGATTAGGATCAAAAAGTCATGCGAGCGGCCAGTATCGATTATGAAGGATCTGAATCGCTTGTTGCATTGGGTTATTTCCCAGAAGAGCATGATCATCTCAGAGGTACATTTCGAAGTTTGAGTATTGCCGGGAATGTATGAAGTGCTGGCATTGAGTGGCTGGTTGAGAATTCGGGTCATGCCATCGACAATGAACTGGAAGTCCTGTGGCCTATGCAATCGGCCAAGGAAATGTCGAAAGAAGTCTGGCTTTGATTAGAGAGCGTTAAGAGAGACCTTGGACAAGACTCACTTTTCTTGGCATGAGCTGGATCTGTCTCTGGGATAGGGTAGAGGAGGATAACTAGCAAGAACTGAGTTTGTAAGCCACCTAGTCAGCCACTTATGTAGAGGTGAGACATACCTGTAATGCATATGTCACAAGTATTTGTTTCGGGTCTTTGAATACTTGGACATTGTATGGTACGCGCCATGAAGCTGGGTTGTACTTCAATGTCTATTTCGCAGTCAGCTGATGCTTTAGCCCACCATATCTTCTGCCTGCTTACAGTATTCAACAACGAACAGAGAAGGGACAGCACGACCTGCTTGTCTGGACAGGTAACGATGTAGCTAATAGCCTTGACGCCTTGTACTGGCAGCAGATTCGCAGACATGTACATGCTCTGACTTGTTAAGGTTAAAAGCAATCTCAATATCTCCGTGCGATTGCTCTCAAACTCCTTGCTTGTTCCAATCGAAGTATTGCATCCCACTCCACTCTGCCATATAGCATAGGTGACCTTGTTCTTCGTATTTGGAGGTCCGGGCAAGGTGAAGTCGGCAAAGAATAGCATATCGATCAGGGTATCAATCAGCTCCTCAGCCAACGGCTTGACCTCCTCGAATTCCTCGCCTGCTGCCTCGAGTTTCGCCAGCTCTTCTTGTGATTCATCGAACAATACATCTCGGGCCAATGATGCCTTGCTGGAACGCTGTCAGTGACCGTAGTCAAGGACCTTTCAACATGCCTACCGTGTTCGCTTTCTCCGCACTCCCCAGAAGAATTTGTCTTCCCACTCTTGTAATTGCTCTGCCTCGTAGATGTATGGCAATATCCGCGTAAGTATCCGTATGCAATTCAACGCATCTCGTTCTGGCGCAAATTCTTGATCTGGAAACGAGGGATGATGTCGCAGGATAAAGAGTCGGCTTGTGATCGCAAGAATAAGAGTCTCGAGGTTCTCCAACGCCGTATCGCGTGTTCGTCGAATATCATTCGGTGAGAAGAGACTGAATATATCTTCTGTGGATTCAGGGAGTTCCCAGAACTGCAAGAGGCTGAGGTCAGTATCTGCCACCGTTTGCTGAGATCAAGGCTAGCTCACGGATGCCCAGTATGGATCGTCAGCGGGAATGACTTTGTCTTCTGAGAGCCGGAAGATGCCCTTCTTGAAAACGAGCTTCGAGTCGGACGCCCCCATCTTGATTTGTGCCTCGCATTCGAATGTTGTTGAGTGGTGTCTTTTTGCGGAATCTAGATGGAAGTCGATTCGTTATCGCCTTAGCGGGTCGAAGTCCAGGTAATCACCACGTGAAGGTCAGATATTGAGGACAGCGCAACATGAACGTAAAGGTCGTCGGATGGAATAGTTTGATTGGGGATAGGGGCTACAATTAAACAAGGCACGTAATCTACTTCGTAGATGCGTTGGTTTGGCTTTTGCCTTTGGTCATATTTCGGGCAGCCATAACTACCTAGGTAGGCTCTTGGGTATCTATTAAATCATACAATACAGTACAGCCATGAACTATCTATGAATAGAGCCTAGCGCTCCCAGAGTTCCTTCGTCCCTTATCGTAAAGCCACTTGCTGTTCAATCCAATTCCAGTGCCCTTCGAAGCTGGACTAGGAGTTCCTGGTGCCTCTGGTGCACTCATTCTCAAGCCTGTTGGACCCAGAGGACTCGGCGAGCCATAGGAGTGTCTCCTTGCTCCAGTCGATACTCCTCCCATCGCCTTCTGCAACAACGGACTGGCACCAGGAGAAAATGGTGATCCTGACATACTACCAGACATTGGACTGCCTTTGCCAGCTAATGGTGAACCCGAATAAACACCCTTGGTAGCTGGTGATCCGCTCAAGGGTGTAGGAGTTCTCGCATATCTTGGTGGTGTAATGTACTGTGAACCTGGGGTGGGAGGTGCCGAGCTTGGAGGGAGTCCGAGAAGCTTTCGTTGAGCCGGTGTCAAGGGTATATCTGACATATCGTCCTTCGCCCGAACTAGCGGCAAGCAAGCCACAACAATGTTGTACATGAAGACAAGCTGAAGCGCGTGGTAGCAATAAGATGCATATGGCTGCAGAGACTTTCCATCCTGGAAGAAGCTTGGAAAGCTGAACAGATTAGCAGAGGCGGAAATAAAGTGACCTAGACTGACTTATTCCATAACGATCGCGTAGCGACAAAGACCATTACGATGCCAGTAACGTTGTACATTATGTTCTTGAGGTTTCGGTCGTTGAAGCTCGCAGCATTCTGGCGCCTGACAATCTCATCCATCTTTGGGTGTCGCCATGTTCCGGTCTGGGGAATGGACGACGCTGTCTGCGCGATCGGGGTAGAAGGTCGAGATGGGGTAGACATCGCAGGTTGTGGAGTGGATTATCATCGAGGGTTCGAGACTGTTCATTGTTAGTTCGAGAAATCTAGAGTTGAATGTCAACAAAGGAGACTCATGAGACATACCCTCTAGAGCCAGCTATATTTTCGGCTTTGTTCTTTACACGTTAGTACCTGTATGTTAGTAAGAGGATCGGAATATCAAGATGATCCTATGTGTGCATTGTTGTGATGTCGAATCGTTGTCGCTGTCGTTGGTCGTGAGTGTGTTTGTTTTGAGGAATTCTGCCTCTCGGTCGTACCTCGATCGAAAATAGCGGCAGTCGGGCTTTCAACCCCTGTCGCCCACTAGTTCCCGCCTAAACGCCCCCACCGGTGTTCCGTGTCAGCCTCGAAATCGTCACTTGAGAACGGAACTTGCTTGAAACATTTGTGATCAACAGTTGCATTTCTGCTCATTTTCATTCTGCTGTCTGCCATCATGGGTTTTGACAACTTGATGCTGCGGCTCGACGAGCTGGTAACTGGAGTCCTTGGACAATGGGATATCTATACAACCGGCCTCTTCGTTGTCCTTATCACTGGCTTCATTTACTCGGTCATTTCCTTCCGTGACCCAGATGCGCACCCTATGCTGCTGGCTCGACAAGCCCAGCCCTCACCAGTCAGACAAGAGGGAGAATCTGCAGTCTTCAGATCGCATTCTGCGCCTCATGGGATTCCTTTGAACTCCGGACTGAATATCAAGGATCCAGGCGATTCGAAGTGGAGTCGAGGTCGAGATGGGGATATACGAGATATCTGGCGCAGAGTGGTTGCTGGTGCACTTGACAGAGAAGGCAAGGAAACGGGAGAGATTGGAAAACTCTTCACTGTCCTCGGATCTGAGAATATCATTGAACATAAGTTGTGTGAGTGGCTACTCCACCTCTGAGATTGTTCATTGCTGACGTCCTGTAGTTGATGTAACACGACAAATCAATCTGATCGGACAACATATTAAGCAAAATGGAGGAAACAGCGTCGCCATCTACCTCCCCAATTCAGTCGAGTTCTTAGCGACACTGTTCGCTTGTACCTTTTACGACTTAACACCGATCCTCATCCCCTACGACAAATCCATCGAGGAAATCATTTCCTTCCTTCAGAAGTCGAAAGCAGACACTATTGTTGCTGCTGTGGGCTCATTGCCTTACGATGCTATCATCAAGAACTATTCAGCTCTGAAACAGCTGATCTGGGTTGTGGACGAAGGTAGCAAGCATATGGACTGGGACGAAGTCCCTAAAGGCACTGGAGGAGCTGTAAATGTGTCAACTTGGCAAGAGATTCTTCAAGACCAAGAGCCAACCGCAGGAACGGAACTGCCTGCTGTGGATAGAACAGTGGAATTGAAGAAAGTGCTAGCCTTTGGACCTACTGGTGAGCTAGTTGAATACACGCAAGCAAATATCATTGCTGGAATCGCTGGACAACTCACATCTGTTCCAACAACACAACGTATCACCCACTCCGACCTCTTCCTCCCCGTCGATGTACTTTCATCACCATATACTCTTGTTTTGACCCTCTCGGCGCTCTATTCCAATGCATCCGTGGCGTTGAACTCGGTTGCTGGTCACAATCCTGATCTAGCTTTGGCGACTCATGGAATTGCTCCCACTATCATCGTTGCCTCTGCCGGCACGCTTGCGAAAGTTCATTCGGAGACTACTACGAAGCTCAATTCTGGCGCCTATCAACTGGTCCATTGGCTCCAAACAAGATCACTTGTCCAGGATGGAGTAATGCCGGTTGCCTCGTTCCTATCTCGTATGTATGATTCTTTACGACCAGCTATTGGCAATACGCCTGGCAAACTACGGTTGATCTATGTTTCGGAACAGCCTGGAGCGAACAATCCACCATTAAGCTCGCAAGAATTGTCTGATTTGCGTGTTTATATTGGCTCGCGAATTATCTATGCCCTCACTTCACCACATGTTGCAGGCGCAGTAACCCAAACCGGGCTATATGACTACAGAATTGACGAGCCGTCTGCGAAGTATTCCCACTTTGGTGCCCCTGTCACAAGCGTGGAGGTATTCTTCAAAGACACCAATGATCACAAGACCACAGATGAAAGAGCTGCAGGAGAGGTATGCTGTGCGATATTCATCCGGGAATTTTCATGCTAATTCTCTTAGATTTATGTTCGAGGTCCAGCAGCAGTGGGAGAAGAAGTGGCATTGGGCATATCTGGAAGGATGAAAGACGACCACACGCTCGCTCTTCTATAGCGCTGAACCGCAAAATGATAGTGGCTGAACGCAGTCAACGAAATCGCACGAATTTTGATGTACAGATGATAATGGCCGTCCTACCTTGCGGCATTGATCTCGCCCTTAGCGAGCCTTTTGGTTCAGGTTCTGCGATGCTCGTTCCCTCTGCCAATGCGTCCAAAGTTGGAAACAGTTAAAAGTCTTAGCCCAAACCCGAGTTGGTTTCATGGACTAAGTAATTTTTGATGTTGGATATTGACTTGTGTTGGCCTGTTCGATTGATGTATTGCATCTCACCCACATCTTGCTTTTCATGTCTACAGTAGCTATTGGGTCACAATTTGCTGAATCGGCCGGCACCGTCTGCTCCCTTTCCTGACTGACAGGCGACGCTAAATCAGCCACTCCCGACGAGCTCAGTGCTGCTCGTTCTACTTGCATAATGCATGATGGTGCTAGAACAACGAACCCAACAGCTTGTTGCTATTGCTACCCCGCTTCTTCGGTTAATGCATATACCTAATTGCTGACACAGTCTTCACGTAAAACCTACCCAAGCCCTGGGTATTCCAACCAACCTATATACAGCCGTGTCTCAAATGCAGCTAAATTCTCACTCGTTCTTCCCTAGACTTTCATTGGTAAAAGGGTGCGAGGCAGTTCTCTCAGCCACGACGTGGAGGTTCTATGTGAAATGCGAAAGATATACAAGAGACACTCCGCTGCCTCTCTTATCAATGTGCATAAGAACATTCTATACTCCCGTCACCCGTGCTCTCCTGTTCTCATTGATCAATTGTCAAGTGTAGGATAAACATTCATATACTCTCCATATTCGAAAGGTCTCAATCTGGCTGCAATGGCGGATCAGCATCTCCCGGCTTTGTCCTCCCTTGAGGAATTTCTCGGTCACGAATATGATTTTCTTGTCGTCGGCGGTGGGACAGCTGGTCTTGTCGTTGCTGCACGTTTGACAGAGAATCCTACGATCTCGGTGGGGGTCTTGGAAGCTGGCCCAGCACATCTCAATGACCCGATGATCCTGACACCAGCTTTGTACAATTGGGCACCCCGAGTACGACTGGGTTCATAAAACAACTGCACAGGTAGTTTCCCTTGCCTCATTATATTCTGCATGGGCTGATGCTGTACCAAGCGAGGCCTAACAGGCATATCTTTCGATCAACCACGTGGCAAAGGTCTCGGCGGTTCCAGCGCAATCAACTATCAGATGTACAACCGTGGCCAGGTATCTGATTACGATGATTGGGAGCGTTTCGGAAATCCTGGCTGGGATTTCCAGTCCATGCTTCCCTATTTCAAGTAGCATGAAAACTTCACCGACCCCGCATTTTACGCTAAGAAGAACAACATTCCTTTAGAGACAACCTACGATCCCTCATTTCATGGAACTTTAGGACCAATTCATACCAGCTTCAGCACCTGGCGTCTTCCACAGGGAAAAGAGTGGATTGAAGCAAGTCTGAAGTTGGGCAAGAGATACGGAAGTCCGAAGGATGGATGGAGTGGTGATCACATTGGGATCTTCCATAGCTTGAGCTCGATCGATAGATCTGGTGATCCGGGAGAAGGAACGAGGAGTTATTCTGTCACAGGATATCTCCTACCGAACGCTTCAAGACCGATGCACTGGTCACAAAACTCATCCTGTCTCCAGGGAATGAGCCTGCCGTAACGGGCATCGAATTTGAACATTCCGGGAGAACCCATCAACTTTCTACCAAGAAAGAAATCATCCTCTCAGCAGGATCCTACAAAACTCCGCAACTTCTCGAGCTCTCCGGGATAGGCAACCCCGCCATCCCCTCCAAATCGGGAATCGAGACCCTAATTCCCAATCCCCGCATCGGGGAGAACCTGCGAGACCATCCCGCCACCGGCGTGGGATACGAACTTGTCCCTGGTCAGAAATCCCTAGATATGCTGCAGGACCCTGCTACGTTCCAAGCTGCTCAAAAAGAGTACATGGAAAGCAGGACCGGACCATTAAGTAGCGGCGGCTCTGCTGGTGGCTTTGTGGCATTAGCTGATATCTGTTCCGCGGACGAGATCGCTTCGATCCAGAAGCGGATTTTGAACAGCCACGAGGAAGGCCTGTTGCCAGCTGCGAAAAAGCTGATAGCGGATGGGTACGCGAGTCACGATGATGGGAGTATCCAAATCATTCTCCTACCCGCCTCGCTCGGGTTGCGGGATTTGACGGACCAGAAAAAGTTCTTTGCAGGAGACGAAGACGTGAAAAAGCGAGGTGCTCAGGGACTTGCAATGGGTTGCGCGGTCGCGAGACCAGTTTCCGCCGGGTCGGTACATATCCGTTCTCCTGATCCTCACCAAGATCCGGATATCGACCCCGCGTATCTGGTTGAGGAAGTAGACTTGGAAGTCATCGCAAGAGGAATGCAGGTCGCGATGAAGATGGCGGAAACGAGCCCTTTAAAAGATCTGATTGCGAGACGATACTGGCCAGATGAGAGTGTGGATCTCAGTACGTTGGAGGGGTGCATGGGGTATGTGAGGAAGCACTGTACGACGCAGTATCATCCGTTGGGCAGTTGCTCGATGGGTAGGTTTGGCGAGGGGGCCGTTGATGAGAGATTGAGGGTTTGGGGCGTGGAGGGAAAGTGGGTGAAGGGGGAGGGTTGTGGATGCGAGTGTGATTCCACTGCAGGTTAGTGGCAATATTCAGAGTGCTATTTATGCGGCGGCGGAGAAGGGGTGTGATCTGATTAAGGAGGATTGGGGGATTTGAGGTATACTGTGGTGACGGAGATATTGTATCGCAACCAGAATCGCCAGCAAAGTGACAACTTGCGGATTCTCGAGACGGGGCTACGAATCGTCTGCCTCTATTATCTGGGTTGAAAAGATGCTGCATGGGTTTTACTACTGTCCGTCAGGATATTAGACATCGAGGGCAAAGTCGCTCTCAGCGAGTGCTGCTTTTCTTGTGCTGGCATTTGTTGCTAATTATAGCGAAGCCAAGATCGAAGTCAAAGTCGATTTCTGCTGCTTGTTGTTTGTTTAGGAAGTTGTTTTTGGGACGCCGCACCGGCAGTTGACGTCGGACGAACGTGGCTTCGTACATCGCTCAAAAGAGTCGTATTCAACATGTCCGATTGTGCAGTTCACGGTCTGCGACCAACATACGTGTGATTATCGATAGTCTTGATTCCGAAAACGTCTCACACCAATCATACCCCTATATTAATCAATTTTACAGTGTTACGTTCCCGATTTGGCTATTTCGAGGAACCCTGCAAAACCTTCGAAAACGGTAAACCGTTCGCCTTCCTGTTGCAGGAACGGTACCAAGAAAGAGTACGAGAAAGCTAACATATCACTTCTTTCGCATTTTTGACTACATTCTTATCGCCAGTCTCCTGCTTCTACAGTACCATGAGGTTTTCAGCCCACGTGAAAGCGTCGTTGCGCATTGCAGTCTGCAGCAACCGTAAGTAGCAGGTCGCCATGAGTTATGGCAAGAAAATTCACCATGCAACGTTTACATGCTTATGCTACGCAAAGTCTATGGCTGACAGCGAGATAGAGGACAATAATACAGTCCTTGGGCTTTTCAAAAGACTCGACTTTTTACTAGCCTCTCGAGGCGTCTCTTCTTTGTTTCTTCACTTTCCCCTCCTTTCTACACTACTTCTAATGTTTAATGCTATTCAATTCTTTCCAATAGACCTGAGCTACATCATTTTGAAGTCCAGTAATGATGCGTGTTTTCACTCTTGCGATGCTATGGCTCGCAGCGAGTGTACTTCCAACTCTCGCATTGAATCCTACCGATAGTCTCATGGATGGAGGTGCGCTACACCATTCTGCTTTGCTGTAATCTTTGTATCTAATCTAACGCAAGAAAGACTCGTCTCAGTCTGGTTATCTCCCAAGCCATAATATGGACCCGAACATCATCACCGGAGGCATCTTCGGTCAGATTTGGTCGTACAGATCATCCGTCTCAGGCACCAAGATGAATACTATGCAAAGCCTTTGATTTACACGCCAACTAGCTTGGGTCGTCAAGTGGTTCTAGCTTTTTCTAAGGCTAACAGAATCTACGTCTTGGATGCGGTAAATGGTACATTGGTGGCATCTCGGGATTTATCTTCGGAAGGCGAGGGCCCATTCATGGTCTCTGACCTCCCTTCCTGTAATGATATCGGTCAAACAATTGGTATTACGGGAACGCCAATCATCGATCCTACTACTGATACGATCTATTTCTGGGCGAAGAGCTATTTATCGCCAGGACAAAGTGGCTGGCAGAATGGCGCTTATAGTTTCCATGCAGTTGATGCTGCCACTCTCAAGGAAAAGTCTGGCTTTCCGACCAACATCCAAGGCTTTATGGGTAATCTTCTATATTTCCAAATCCCTTCCTTGAACTGACTCTCTATAGCGGATAATGATAATACTCGACACTTCACTGGCGGTGATCATCTCCAAAGAACTGGGTTAAACATGATTAATGGAATTGTTTATGCTGGCTTCGGTGCTCATTGTGATTTGTTCAACTACACTGGATGGGTCATCGGCATGAGCACAGCAGGGAAATATGTCACGGGCTATGCCACTTTCGGAGGTGCTGGCACCCCAGCAGAAGATGGTACATGGAGTGGAGGTGGAGGAGCTGCTGGAATTTGGATGGCCGGTTCGGCACTTGCATCTGACAATACTGGACGCCTGTTCTTTGCCACTGGAAATGGCAGAGGTACCGGAGTCAATCAAGTAGCCGCTGCACCAGGTCATGTGCATCTAGACACACTTGCTGAATGCATTGTCAATCTGATGTTGAATGCAAATGGATCGCTTACCCAACAAGACTACTTCCAACCGGCAAGCTATCTGGCCATGGATAATGGAGATCGTGACCTAGGATCGGGTGGCGTTATACTCCCAGATCCGTCAGTATTTTCTGGGGGAGGAGTTGCTCGGTTGGCAATCACTTGCGGGAAGAATGGGAATTGCTTCATTGCAAATGCTGATAATTTGGGGGGCTATAAGATGGGCACTGCTAGCGAGGATGCTGTGATCCAGACATTGACTCCCCCAGGTAAGTTGAAACCGGTTTCCAGAACAATCCCATTGTACCAGCTCTAACACGACTATGTAGGAAATGGCGAACTCTTTGGAAATCCTGGCACTTATCCACTGGAAGGAGGATATATGTACATCACTCCAGTCGGCATGCCTACATACGTTTATTCTCTCGGGTCTGATACTAAAGGCCGTCCAGCCTGCACACTAGTAGCACAAACAAACGAGACTGCCGCAGGAGCGGTCGGTGCCGGGCCAGCAACGATCACCTCGCTCAATGGACAAGCTGGAACTGCGATACTCTGGATCTGCGATACGAATGGTATTAGGGCGTATCATGCGGTTCCGGTCAATGGACAAATGCTTAGGATCAATCTTCCTCCAGCAGGAGGCCTCACCAAATTCTCTCGAGCCACATTTGGTGATGGGAGATATTATATGACCACTTCTGCAGGTGCTATACTCGCTTTCGGTGCACCCGTCTCGGTCCCACTCAACTGTGCGTCTCCAATTGACTTTGGCTCTGTCCAAGTTGGAGCTGCGAGCATCTTGTCCGTTACATGCGTGGCGAACATCCCCATCACAAAGGTTGAAGGTTTGCTCCTTGGTAGTCCGATCTATCAAGCTCTGAACTCGAGCTTGCCAACTGAAGGTTTAAATGAGGGTGCTTCATTCTCATTTCCAATCACACTCAATCTCACAAAGTATGTGCTGGGTGGTGGCAGCACCAGCTCGCCAAAAATCTCACCTGGAATTGTCTCGTCCGCTCTGACTCTTTTTACCAAGAACGCAAAATCTGGGTATTCTACAGAACAGAGTATAAGCTTAAGAGGAAAGGCTGTCGTTAACGGCCCGTTTCTGTCTGTTAGTCCTCTTCAAGTCACTTTCCCGAGCATTGTAGTGGGATCACAAGCATCTGTCGGTGGAGTCGCCAGCACGTTCCTGATCGAAAATGCTGGAAAATCCAATCTTGACATCCTTGGATACGCCTTCAGCACGAACAATGACGGGCCATTTACCAACGTTACCATGAAACCGACATCGGTTCTAGATAATGATGGCTATTTCACATCTCAGGATTTGCCATCATTGGGAACATCGATTCTGGCAGGGAGTTCTGTGACCGTTACTGTCAACTTTAACACGTCGGTCGTTGGAAGTCACTTTACCATGCTTACGATATTCTCCAATGCAGGGACCAGCTATGTCATTCTTTCCGGTACAGCTTCAACAACTCCAATAGCTGTTCTTGAACAATCAACAAATGAAGGAGGATGGATCAAGATTCCTGGTTGTATCGCTGGGTGTACTTCTCAGATTAATATTGGATCTCTTCCAGGTTCAGGATCACTCACTCAGACAATCCGTCTCACCAACAACGGAGGATCCAACCTCCTCGTTACCAAGTCCAAACCACCAGAAGGGGTAGTTCTAGGAGCAACAAACCCCTCAACAGACTTCTCCGAGGGGCTTTCAATTGCGCCTGGCTCATACGCCACTGCGACTGTCTACTTCGAGCCTGGCAGCGCAGTCCTGAATTCTGATCCAGCAACTTACTTCGGAGCCTGGACACTCAACACAAATGACTTAACATTTGGCGTCCATGTCCTAAACTTCACAGGAACTCTAGCACCACCTGTTGTCGGTCCTTTACTCGGTAATGGAAGCGCGCAATTTCAATACCTAGGATGTTTCCACGACGGTGCTGGAGCAAGAGTCGAGCCCAACCAATTGAGCAATACCAATAACAGTAATGGACTGTGCCAACAACAAGCATTGAAAGCGGGGCACGTGTTTGGAGGCACTGAATATACGACCGAATGCTGGTATGGGTCTGTGATTCCGAGTCCTTCGTCTAAAGCTGCGGATAGTATGTGTATGAATTACGCCTGCCCTGGAGATAGCACCCAATGGTGTGGCGGAGTTGGTGGATATCTAGAGTTGTATTATGACAGAATGAAGTACGACCCAGGGAGTGAAAAACTTACACCTTCACCGTCGTCGACTACCTTATCTTCGTCGAGTTTGTCAACAACGTCTCTCTCTTCAACGAAAATTGAGTCCGCGACATCCTCTGTTTCCCTCACTTCCGGCACGAAAAGCAGCCCCACCACTTCTGCTCATACAGCGAACCCAACCATCCCATCCATCGTTGGGAATTATCACTATATCGATTGCCACTCAGACAATACCACGATCCGCACCTTGCAAAGTCATCGTATAGCCACAGACGATATGACGATCCAGTATTGCGCAGGGAACTGTACAGGCTACACCTATTTCGGTGTTGAATATTCGACAGAATGCTATTATGGCAACATTTTGACGTTTGGGAGCTTCACCACTGTTGATGAAAGGTGTAAAATGGTGTGTGGTGGAGATTTGAATCAGCTCTGTGGAGGCTCGAATGGACTTACCTTGTTTCAACTCAGTGTTGCGGGTTTGACTAGTTCTTCGACGATAACGAGTACAATGGGTTCGTTGCCTTTGGTGTCCATATCATCACCAGCAACCTCAAGGCCTGCTCAAGTCACTACTTCATCACCGTCCCTACAGACCAGCACATCTGAAACGGCCATTACACCGTCGATTTCAATTTCCCAATCTCAGTCATCAGTCTCCTCCTCCAGTTCGACGTCTACTTTCTTAGCTTCACCGACCTCTACATCAAATCCATGGATCTACGTCGGTTGCGCCAACGATACGTCCGCGACCCGAGCTTTACCAAACATCTTTACTTGGTCCCCTAATATGACTATACCCCTCTGTCTCCTCACCTGCCAAAACGCCAATTATCCCCTCGCCGGTCTGGAATTCGGAGATCAATGCATGTGCTCACTGACCTTATCCCACAACTCCTCTCTTGGATATGACGGTTGCGACATGCCATGTGTGGGGAATGACAACCAAACTTGTGGAGGAGTGAATAGAGTCGGAATTTGGAACTTGACGGGATATGTGTACCCGAGAGTTATTGAGACGGTGGGGAATTGGAGTTTGGAGGGGTGCGTAGAAGATGAAGTTGCCAAGAGGGTGCTAGGAAATTATTCTCATGCGGGCACGGCGAGTGAGGGGATGACGATCCAGAGGTGCTTGAGTACGTGCCAGGGAATGGGGCTTAGGTATGCTGGTGTGGAGTTTGGAAATGAGTGCTACTGTGGGAGCTCGATCACTAGGAATGGAACAGTGATTGAGGATATAGAGGATTGCATCGGCACGTTCTGTAGTCGATATGAGACGCAATTTTGTGGAGCGGCGGATAGGTTGCTGTTAAGATCCATTCACGAGTTTCTTTGTTCTGGCTACATTTCATAAGTAGAATTTCTTGAGGTTTCGCCAATTGCGCTTCGGCATACAAATCTCCGAATCCCATCCGCATCTAATTATGACTTCGCAAGCGGGTATCTCATAAACATCAAGTCGACAACATTGGCAACCTCTTGGAAGCAAAGTAAATCCAATACAAGACGGCCGTATCAGAACTCGGCAACCCTGCCCAATTTCCCGCAATGCTTGCCAATACCCAGTCACAATAAAAAGCCCCGAACAATCCAAAGATGGCAGTCGAGTATGCGAATCCAAACCACACTGCCTCAAAATTGATCTCATGCTTCTTGATGTTCCATTCGGTTTTCCAATTCATCTCAACGGAACCAACACTGTCATCGAGATGTGTGAAGTAGAGGAGGTAGTTGAACAACCATATAAATGCTGCTGCTAAAGCTTGGGCAAGAAGAACAGATGCGTAGACAAAAAAGACGAGGAACCAGATGAAGAGGGGCAGGAAGGCTACCGAGGCAAATATTCCAGTTATGATTCTGATCTGTGAGTGCGTGGAGAAAAGTTGCATAACCAATGACATGAGGCCAGTCATCCCAATCACCGTCCCAACGAAATAGAGGATCAACCAGAAAGAAGCCTGAGGGTAGTATCTGAACTCAAATCTTGTCGGCGTGGGTTGAACAGGTCTTCGCTTCCAGTCTTTGAAAACAAGATTGGTTGTTCGTGAATAGTATTCTCTGCGGCGTGCAGGATTATTTACCAGTTCGATTTGAGTTTTGAAGTTATCAACGGCAACGGATTGATGCCATGTTATGGAGCAAAGTGTGAACGACATGGTGAGTTTCCAGACCCCGATGCAGACAAATTGCCATCTGTTCCGGCAAGCGCTTATGTTCAGTCCCGTGACGGTGACTGTTCCTATGATCCCAATGATTGAGAGGAAGATATCCCAGCCATAGTGTTTGAGTTCATCGAAGGGACGAGGAAAGATTGGTGTTCGCCCCAAAAGCATCGTTACTACGGTGTAGTATGTGAGGACATGCGATGTGAACCCGATGCCACCATATGGGAGATTGTAGCATTTGATTTCTCCTCCAAGTGTCACGCCAGGCTCTGGTAGGAGCTCCCCATGAAGCCAGTCTGTGAATCGTGATGGTATGGGAGAGGCTGCCGTTGTTGGTATGGCAGAGAGGATGAGGACAAGGTAAGGGATTAGAGGAGTGTATGCGAGGAGCGGTCGGATGGAGAAATTTCGCTTGAAGGAACCTAAGAGGCAACAGTCATTAGCATCTTCATTCCCTCGAGATTTAAAACCTCACAAATGTGGAGGGTTGCCAGTTTGACTTAGAGGCGCGAAACTATGAACATACTGAAGGTTTCGGTCATAGTCGAGCAATGTGAGCCAAATCTGGCCTAGACTGATGGTATGCTAACAGCAACTGGAACAGCACAACATCAGTAATAGCAAAACAAGAAGATGTTTGATGTAAACGTGTGCGGATTCCACGAAAATAAGATACTTCATTCCAAGTTCCTTGAACATGTGAGGCTGGACAAGCCACAGGGGCGTTTCCCTTGCCAATGGCGCAGCTTCGCCCCGCAGCGTAACAGAACACAGCCAATTATAAATTCAGAGAGCAGCTTCAAGGCAGACATCACAGATAAGTGGCAGATGTATTGGTGCCACTAGGGAGCCACGAATGAGGCATCTCACGACATGACAACCATCGCTGGAGAATCATCGACGGCAATTGCAACAAGATCAATTTGCCCTATTATTTAGATCTTTAGACAGCCTACATGGGCTTTCTATAACATATGCGCGCATATGCAGCTACAACGGCGGGCGATACTGGTAGGTCGATGGACGTTGGAGAACTAGCGCTATATGGCTGGATAACTTGGAGGGTAAGCGAGGCTGCGTTGAAGGACGACTATCGAGCGCATTGTCTATTCTCATTACAGGATCATGGACTCAATTGAGTGTCTATAGACTCAGAAGAGGCTTCAGAGAGGATGGAAAGCAAGGTTCCAAGGCTTTTCACGTTGTTGTCAGGTATAAGTCACGTGATACTTGACTCCTCCGAGAAAAAAAGTATCTACCTAGATACCTTGAAGTTCCTCATGTCTCAGTAAGAGAATCTGTTTCAATAGAAGATTTCTGTCATTATTTTGAAGCAGGTAGTATATCAAGGTTCTTAGGGGTTAGCCGGCTTTAAGCGACTTCGCCACGCGGAGTGGCTGCCTAGAAAAGAGGCACATCGAAACGATCCCCCTTAAATACATGCTCATAAACAAAACGCCACATCAAGACAAAGTTCCAATGATGGGTCAAGGCGAATTCCCCCAGAGCGTCGATGGAGAGAAGGTCTTGAGAGAATGGTTTGAAAAGTATATGGCTGAGAGAGACAACTCTATCTCCAAGGATTCCCCGCTTGTTCAGGTCGTGGATGCCGATGAGCTCGATGCAAGCTTCGTCGAGAAACAAATCCAAGAATCCGCGAAAGAGATACTCGTCACCAAAGGCTTCTGCGAGAAGTGCCAAAAGTTGTTCGATAATTGGCCTACAATAGGTGGATCCGCGAGCAGAAACCACGATTCGCTACCAGACCAGAACGGTGGTTGGGAGCACGCTGTTGCGACAACCTACACTACATTCGAACTAGAAGCAGGAGCGCGCTCTGGATGCAGGTTCTGTACTTTCTTGCTACAAAGTGTCAAAGATTGCGAGCTCCTCGAAACGTTTCGTAAGATTGAAGCTCGTATCTTCAAGCTCAATGAGCACGAGAAGTCAGCTTTGTCCGTTCAGAACTGGGGTTGCAATCCACATCAATTGTTATGGCTAAACTTGCCTGGAAAGGTCTGCACATCGTGCAATGCCGGTATTGCTTTACAGACAAAAACAGATTCAGCTTATCTTCCCGCCTCAGGTACGTTATCAAGATTCCCCATCGTAGCCGCTGATCTTGCTGACTTTTTGAAGCTGATTGTTACGATGAGCCTCTCGATGTACTGGAAAATGCAGCCAAATGGTTTACAAATTGCTCTCAAAACCATGAACGCTGTAAAAGCAGTAATGACGGCGTACTACCAACGAGACTGATCTCAATTGCTAAAGAGCCTCGATTGGTTTTGACCTCAGAACTGGTTAAAACGCCGATATATGCCACTCTCTCACACTCTTGGGGGTCCCACGAAGTAATCAAGCTTACTTCGAAAGACCTTAAATCTTTCATGAAGGCTTTACCAGTTGACAAACTCCCAACCACGTTCAAGCATGCTTTTGAGATCACTCGAAAACTTGGAATGGACTACTTGTGGATTGACTCACTTTGTATCCTCCAAGACAGTGAAGATGATTGGCAGAGAGAGTCATCTTTGATGAGCTCAGTTTACGGTGGCTCGGCCATCACCATAGCTGCATCATCAGCTCGCGATAGCACTCATGGGTGCTTTCTTAAACCAACCATCTTCAGCGGTGGAGTTCGAGCTCGAGTCACAGACGGTGGGCGAACACGAGTGCAAGACTTTCGGAATTCCGAGGAATACAAACGCTCAACAGTTGATACTCATCTGGGAACGAGAGCTTGGGCTCTCCAGGAGAAGATGCTACCACCCCGAACAATTCATTTCGGCGATCGAGGTGCTTTTTGGGAATGCAGGACGAGTATCGCGTCCGAATACTTGCCAGATGGATTTCCGAAAAATCTTGTGTCCCCTCTTGTGAATCGGAAAGGCAAATTCGAATGGCTATGGCCCCAAGTCGTCGGGCTTTACTCTGCAGCGAATCTAAGCTTTGGCAAAGACAAATTACCAGCACTGTCTGGTGTCGCAAGCCTTGGATACAAAGAAACCGGAGACCAGTACCTCGCGGGGCTGTGGAGAGGTCAGATTGAGGAGCAGCTATGTTGGCGCCGTCACCATAGTAAACCCATCATAAAACGGCCCACTTGGCGTGCGCCGAGCTGGTCCTGGGCATCTATAGATGGTGGAGTAGGATGGTATCAGCCGCAGAGCAAAGTTCTCGAAACACAGTATGCTCACGTCCTTGATGCTAACACGACACTGTACGGCAAAGATCCCTTTGGACAAGTGGCGGGCGGAACAATTCGTCTAGCTTGCTCTTCCATGGTAGCCGGCCACTTGGTACCCAACAAGAACGTGGATAAACCAGGCTTCGACATTGTCTTACGCGCTGGTGAGGGGCAGGACGAGTTTCCCATCACTATAGACTGCTTGGAGGATGGCGAACAAGAAGACAATGGAGCAATTCATCTTCTGCCTATCCTTGGAGGCTGGACTGGCTGCTCTTCGGGGATGGCGGATGGAGAGAAGCTCAAAGAGTTCTTGGTCCAAGGAGTTGTGCTTCGGCCTACAGGCCCCACGAAAGGCGAATTCTCTCGAATAGGGTCTTTCAACTTCTACAAAGACAGTATGAGATGGAGGGAGCCAAAAACCAAAATTGATGACTCTTACGAGCCCTTTTTGAAGATATTGGAAGAACAAGGAATTGCGGCAGCCGAGGCTGCATGCGCTGAGATCATATCGAACACGGAACATCCTAATGAGCGATATGTGATCACTCTTATTTGAAGGAATTGGAAGCGAGGCTAGTATTATATACACAGATGGATTTGTTTTGGTCACGCTGTCTGAAGTCAACCAGCCCGTGATCGTTAATCATGTGCCATTCTCCCTTTCCACCCAGGCTATCATCGATAAATGTGATTAACTTGTGCTGTAGAGGGGGTAAGAACATGAACCAGCAGTACGCAAAAACAACCAAAACAACTAAAACAACAGCAAGTGGGCACTGCGCGAAGCAGACCACTATTCGCGGTAGTAGGACAGATTCAAAACATCATGTAAAAGCATTCGAAAACATATCACTGTAAAAACTAAGAGTGGGAGAAGAGTTCTTGTTGTTCTAAGGGTGCGCGACCACAATATATGGGAAGCGTCACATGATAAACTAGACCCGATCGAGTGTAGTGCTAGGGAAGACTAGCGTTCCCGGGCTAGCCTCCTCAACCACACGTGCTGGTGAGCGCCAAAAAGAGCTGGCCCCGCCACAGTGCTCTAACCCGATTTGAGTCGATGTACGTCTCCCGGACACTCGTCGATAGGCACAGCCCTCAGAGAGCAGAATTTTTCATTGTCTTGGAATCACCATTGATGTTGTGGAATTAAGGCTGGCTGCACGCCAATCTAGTTCAACTTCCGGCTATTGTATGAGATTGGCTGCGCGCTGACGGCTTCTCCGCAAAGGAGGGCGCGGTAGCTGAATTATTTTATTGAGCCACACATGCAATGGAACACCATAAATGCAAGCTGCGGTGAAAAAAACGAACGCGCATGCTGACGCACAAGCATATAAAAGCTGCAAGTCGTTCTTTTGAGACGTACGGCGGTCAACCTCCGTGATCTCTCACGAGTTTCCATTTGTCGGGCTAATCAGCTCGTGATACTGTGGCTTATGATAATATTCTGGTCGTCATAAATCTTCAAAACCTGTGAGATTAAATGGGAAATGATCATGGTACAGTGCTAAAATATAAATCTAATGAAAAACGCTGCGGGTAGCTATTTACGATGTTTTCTCTGAAAATCTGTAAGCGAACCCCTATTTTGCACCCCACTGATCATTGAATTCGTCCTTGAAATAACATCCATACCTTGAAAGGAGGACACATCGATTTGTGCGAAGATAGCATTATATTTATTGTCCAAGTACCGCCATGCGATAAGCACACAACTTGAGATATCACTGCACTTTGCGTGTGATAACGCAAGAACGTAAAGTTGGCGGCAGCTCGCTAAGAGCCTGAGGTCTATGGCGCTTCGAGGCTCTCAAGGACACCCTCATTATTGAAGGTTGCATTCTCACTTTGAATGCTGCTGCTTTTAGAAATGTCAGCCTTCCAAAAAGAAAAAGTCATTTCAAATTTGGAGCAATGTCATTGATAGGTTTCATGTAAGCTGTCATCTGACGTTCCTTGATCATTCCAACCGGCTTCAAGTCATTATCACGAAACAAATTGTGCAGAATGGTTTCTAACCAAGGTAGCCATGTCAGATTCATGAGGTGTGTGGGATAGGGCTGAGGTGGCTAATAGGGCTGAGCTGGTGACCTTCTCCAGCTAGCCACAGCGCGCCATCAAGCCCCGCCAGTTCCCCCACTGTATCTCCACGAACACACCAGCACCTCCATTGATCCCACCCATTCGTTGATAGAAATCAGTCATGCAAGCGCGCAAGGCTGGCTATCTTCCAAATAATCATGAGAACTTGATAATTAAATATAGGCGTCCAGTAAGGAGGGAAGATGGAGCAGCCAACGGCAACTCCCTTGGAAGAAGCTTAAAAAGTGGAAAGCTGAGATGTCAGCGTTGTCTCGGGTGGCTTCGGTCGATCAGGAGGTTGGGTGAGGTTTTGCCACTCAGATCAGTTGTGAAATGATCAGACCAGCATTAATACATTGCATCTGCTCACACTCTTCGAATATTGCTCACCACTTTCACACCACTTTCTTCTTTTCTCTGCCGATCCCAACAAGAGCACTCCCGCTTCAGTTACTTGATAGTCAACTTTGTTAGCAAGATATCAGCAAAATTACCAAATCTTCCATCTAAAGCACTAGCCATGGACTCACTCGTCGTCAGAAGGCGCATCAGTTCTCACAACTCCATCTCACGCCGCGACTTCTCTAGAGGACGCGAATCAATTGGCAGCGGCGGTTGCGACATCTCTAGCTCCGAGCTCATACTATCATACAAGGCCCACATCCATGGTCTTGAATCACTTCTCAAGCGCTTCGAAGAAGTTCTGCGCCGAGCAGAAACAGCCGAGTCGGAGCTCATTATCTCCACTAGGGAGTGCGAAAGCAAGACCATTGAAATCAGCACGCTCCAAGTAACAATTTCCAAAATCAAGATCGAGCTTGAGAGGAGCAGAAAGGAACGAGATGAAGTTCGCTCGCATTTGGAACAATCGGAGCGTGAGAAGATCAGGATTGTGGAGGAGCGTGACAGGGAGAGACATGAGTTCGGAGAGCGGGAGAGCAAGGATCGTCGAGAGATTGAAAGATTGATCGAGGAGTTGAAGAAGGTTGAAAGTGAGAGAGATCGTGTGATCGTGGAGAAAGACAAATTCCGCAGAGAGAAGGAGAGATTTGAGGAGGAAATCACCTCGGAGCGCATTGAATTCGAGGAGAAAGAGACTAGGATCAGGAATGAGGTTCGGAAGTGGAAGAAAGAGTTTGACAGTGTTCAAGAAGAGCTCAAGGAGACATTCATTGAATTAGAGGAAATTCGTTCAGAGAAGGAGAAGATCGTGTTTGAGTTCGAGGAAGAGCGTCAAGAGTGGGTGGAGCGAGAGGTAAAGCTTGTTGAAGAGGTTCGCATCTTGGAAGAGAAGTTTGAGAAGATCGAAAAGGAGTGTGAGATCATCAGGATCAGACTGGAAGAGACCACTCGGTTTCTGGAGATTGAAAAGGAGAGATGTGGTTCCTTCACTAGGAATATCAAAGAGCTGGAAGAGCAGATTGAACTTCTGGAGAAGAGCTGGACGGAGACCAAATTCAGAGAGCAGAAACAAAGGGATGAGCTGGAGATACTCCACAAGGAGCTGCGTATTGCCATCGACGAAAGAGAGAAATTCACACTCAAGCTCTCCGACGCCCAAACCCGGATCCGCTTCTTGGAGGAAGCGAAAAGAGATGATCGATTCGAAGATCACGAAATCAACAAGGAATTGATCCGAGTCAAAGCTGAACTTGCCAGAGCCAACGAATGCCTAGAGTCCTACTTGCCCCCACATCATTGCCGCGGCTCTAAATTCAGCATCGACAAAGTCTTTTATTGCGGTAAGATCGTGGAAGACCACAGAGTGTTGAAAGAGATACTCGACACCGTTCATTCTGGAAAGTCCTTCAGGCCAACTGACGAGACTTGTGGTGGTGAAGTATTGGATAGCCAGAAGACGTTTACGGTGGCATACCATGTAAATGGAAAAGGTCCTGTGAAATATGTCACAGTGCCGGAAGGAGGTAGCGTCCGATTCTGATCCTTGGCTGACGCTAATGCTCTCCTTTTGACTGTCGGGATTCTTTGAGTAAATATTGATGAAAGTGGCCACAGAATGTTGATATTTTGCCACTGGTGCAAGAGGGTTTAGCGTGTTTCGAATTTCTGGTTGACCGAAGCTTTTGGCGATCTATGCGTTTTGCTTTCTGCTACAAAACTATTAGTAATACTCTTTCTACATTTTAAGGACAATATTCCAGAAGATCAGTGACTTAATGTTTTGTATTCTGTCTCAGCTCCCTAATACCAACCCATTTGATTGAGCAACTAGGTACCGAATGGCTAGGCAAATAGATGAGCAGTGCGCCCCTGCCAACTCTCGTTGTAAAGTTCTCTCGAGCAGGCAGAGACCGTCTCAGGACTCCAACCTTTGATCCAGTCGGTCCTTCCTTGACTATTTCCTGACCTTCAACGAACCAAGTGGCAATACGAGAAGGTGAATCAATGCAGGCATTCATCACGACCCATGAGTTCCATCATCCTGCAGCCCCACCGGCTGCTCAAATGACGAGAAACTTGCAAGCGCGCCAGTAGGATCGCTGAGTATTCTTTGGGGACCAAGTTCATACTCTTATTGGTAGAATGCTCCGTCGTTGCTGATGGGTTCTAGACTCCTTCACCTGATCTTTTTTCAGATCGTCAGCAGCCACTGTGGGTACGGCAGCTGAGGATTCTAGAAGCGCGAGGCATGACAAGCAGTAATGACATTCTTTTTCGATCCTGTCAATTTCCGTCATTCGTACAATCAAGACTAACTTTCTTACTGTTTTTCACTTTTCAATTCAATCGAGCTAAGTTTCTAAGACAAGTTTCAATTTTTGTCGAAAACCATCGAAACTTTCCCCGCTACTTAATGCCTATTCCGTTGCTTCGAACTTAAGCTCTCCTCCGAGGGTTTTTTTTTTTTTTTTTTTTTTTTTTTTGGATATCTTTCATCGCTGAATATAGCAGTAATGATTACCGTGCCCTTTAAACGTAATAATCCCGAGTTTCTTTGTCAAGAATCTTCTGACCTTTTCAGCTCAATGTCACTTTTCTCGGTAAAAGGAGCTGCAGGGGGCAGCAGAGCCTCCGTGTCAAGCTTTCGGCGACCAAGTGTGGGTCCCCGATGCAATTAATCGGACGACTGACAAGGTCAGAAATACCGGTACCTGGATCCATTAAGGTTAAGCTTTCCTTTTCTCCAGGTTATTGGCGGAACAGATCCGCACAGTGATACTCAGCCCTATGCTTATTTTGACCACATTGTCCAAGCCTATACTCATTGGGACGCCGTCTTAAATCACCCTTAATGTCCTCTTCTCATAAATTTCGCTTAGAATAGTCCACAACCAGGGCGAATACAGCTTCACAATTGCCCAAAAAGCCCTTGAAAACAAGGGTTCTTCAATCCTGCAGATCAACTCTCGGACTTTCACGCTTCAGCCTACTTGAAAGTCTGGTTTCTGCTGCTCTGAATGGTGAGAACAAGTTTCGGCGAGATTCACCAAGATATGTGGAAAAAGACGTTAAGGGTGAGTTAAGACAGTATCGTCCCCTACACATGGCGATACTATGCTCTTTCGTGGAGGCAACAAAGCTTCGTCTGGAAAAAAAAATATTTGGGGATGACTGTCTTGAATATGAAGAAGGAGCGGAATTAGTCGCTACCGAATCCTCCAACTGCAGCTGTGGTAAATTTGCATAAGCATTCTATTCGACGGCGAGGAGATTGTTCAAGGACCATGGAGGGCTTCTGGTCGCCGCTTACTCTTTGGTACCCGTTGAGAATTTTACTCGGTCATCTTACGGAGAAGCCTTCAGCTTTCATCAAAATCTGCCTTCGGTTAACATTTGCAGATGCTGAAATATCAAGCTCTGACTGGGTTAAAGATATAAAGACGTTGGTCTCGTCTCGACCTTGATTTACTTTCATCCTCATCATCATTTTCAACTCCTCTCGATATCCTCCTCATCCTCACTACTCAATACTCACTTACTTCACCTCTCCATGAACCTTCTCCTTTCAATCATGTTCGCCAAACTTCTCCCCCTCCTCGGTCTTTCGACCTTGTCCCAAGCCACCACCGAGATCGTATATCTCGCTAACTGTGCTGGATGTCCTACCTCCGAGGGCTGCGAGTACTATCGCAGTACCATGGATTACTACCCAGATGTTACTGAGTCTTTGGATGGCCAATATCCTTCCGCCATTGCAGGTTTCGACTGGGTCGTGGGCTGGGAGGGAAATGTCATGAAGAGGAATTTCCCGGATGGGGACACCTTCACCAGTGCGATCACTACAGATGCCCAGAGTCTTGCTAATGGAGCTTATGCCGGCTTCGGCGAGAACAAGTATCGTGAGTGTAGTTTCCTACTTTTTTTGATTGACAATTGAAAAAGCTTTGGGAGTTCTAGTTGCTGATATGATCGGTGACGATAGGTAGCTTCAGTTGCTACAAAGATAGCCAGAGGGAACTGTATCAGGATGGGACCGATTATTGCTACTCTATCTATTACTGCGAGTAAACTTCTGTACGTGCAGGCCGTTTCGTTTCGTCTCGCTGACTAACTAAAAGGTTCGGATAGGCAAAGCTTCAAAAGTGAGCTTGTCAAGCGCAATACTCGAATATGGGGAGACCAGCCACTCGAGTTGGTATCTTTTCTTCGCAGTGAAAAATTGGGGGCAGAAAGTTTTGGCTTTGTACGGGTGTTGTTGGTAATTTTATTCTTGTAGACCATGCCAAAGTTGAGATATCGACTTCGCATTGATCAAACTTTCAATATTGGCAATTTTTCATATTCCAACTCAAATCGCTGGTTTACTCACAAAATGTGAATGTTCTGATTATTGTAGCAAACCGAAAATGAGAGGACAGGTTCACTTTCACAACCAAACATTGGGGAATCCTCGTGATTGAGCTTCGGTTATTGATGCCCAACTGTGGCGTCCAACCTTGCAGAAGAGACGTGCCACTCTTTTATTGGTTGCGACGACGTATATCTTCTGCCCTGGGGAATATTTTTCCTCTTACGATATAGTGCATTATCAGGTCTTCAACCCTAGAGAATTTGGAGAAAGTCCGAGTCTTGCTTACGCTTTCATGAGCACAGATTCTTCGTGCGAATGCCGCTTTCCCACAATGTCTGAAGGTTCTGACATACCGTGTCATGTTGATTGCTTACTTGCTATTGAAAGAGCAAATGCAGTCACTGTACGGCGAGAGCTGAGTATTACAGCCGAGAAAGCAGTCAATGAGGCCCCAACGGACAGCCATCTCTGCCACAAATGTCGTCACATAATACGATCATCTTTTATCATTCAAGCCTTACTATCGCAAAGTACAGGTGAATCGGCTTCAGGAATCATCGAAAGGGGGAAAGAAGTATTTGAACACTATGACGAATTTCAAGGACTGATAAAATCTGCCGCCAAAGGCTGCCATCTTTGTTCTCTTCTGTACGGCTCCTCTCACTATTATCCCGAATTTCCATACGTCTGCGTTATTCGACCACTGCAACTGTCTCAATTCTACTGTGAACTAGAGATAAAGCCCAAAGTGCTCGATAAGGACAGGAATGAGTCCATAGGATACTTGAAATTCCATGTCAATGTCCCCCAAATTAGGAACAGGATTAGAAAGCTACAGACCGTGGGAACAGACTCGGATCAGTCTTTCTCTTGTGCTAGTACTTGGCTTAAAGGTTGTCTCACCGATCACAAACTTTGTGAAACCCACATGCGGGATGAGAACTTTCGTCCACAACGACTGCTCAAAGTGAGTATCACTGGCGCCGGGATTCTTGTGCAGCTTTTAGTGACCAAGGAAATTCCACGAGAAGTTCGTATTCAGTATCTGACTTTAAGCTATTGTTGGGGCCAAGGGGATCATCTTCGTCTAACGAAAGCTACCGAGGAAACTTTTGCGGAAGGTGTCCCGTTGGAAGATATGCCAAAAACCCTTTTGGATGCTGTAGTTATCACGGCAAGACTACACTACGAACACCTATGGATTGACGCATTGTGCATTATCCAAGATTCCGAACAAGATACGAAAGACAACATCCTTTCGATGGGCGAGGTCTATAGGAACTCGATATTCACAATTGCAGCACTAGCCGCTAGAGGAAGTCATGAAGGTTGTTTTGTCAGGAGAAATCCTCTAGCACGGGACGAATACAGGGTCCGTGAAGACAGTCCTTATACATTCTCTCATCTTTTTGAACCCATTGGCCCTGACACGCGGGATCCGCAGCTAGCTCCTCCCCTTCAGAAGAGGGCTTGGGTTATTCAGGAACGTGCACTATCTCCTAGGACCTTATATTACGGCTCAGAAATGATTTTCTGGGAGTGCATTCAGTCTAAGGCATCTGAGTATGAGCCTATCATGCAAGATCTTTGGTACGCTGGCGGTCAGGATCTTAAAGATCGTTCACCAGGTGTGATCTTTCATAGTGGCATGAAATCCGTCTTCAAACTCCTACTTGATAGATGTAAAGATGGAACTTACTGCGACTGGATTTCTTACTGGAGGAAACTTGTTCGAGACTACACAGTCTGTCAAATGACAAAGGAGAGCGACAAATGGGCAGCTATCGCGGGATTAGCAACTGAAGTTGAGTTGGTGGCTCGCGACGAATCATTTCATGGACTGTGGAAAAATCGTTTGTGTCGTGAACTTCTCTGGTACGCAGATAGGCCTGGGCGAAGATTGGGGACGGAGAAACCAGGAGGCCAAGAAGTCAAGGCCCCATCCTGGTCGTGGACCTCCGTCGACGCAATAATTGAGTGGTGGACTGAATATGAAAAGGAGTCATCCAATGTTAAGTGGGAAGCTGTTGTCTCGGTAACACCCACAAGTCTGGAATCTATACACCCAAAGAATAGAATTGTCCTGAAAGTACCACCAAACTTGAGATTTTCGCAAATCTTTCCAGTTTTTGGAGGAGACAGTTTGACAGATGATTTATGGACTACCTTGGCGCCGGTCGAGGACAAGAAGCCAAACATGAGTTACCTCCATTGGTACCCCGATACCAAAGATACATTCCACACACCAATCAAGCACACTTTGCAGTTGGTTAGTTATATTGTTAGGGGTTGGAGGCATTTAGATTCAGTATGGTCACCATTTGAGCGTATGCAATTCGAGGGACTTGTTGTAACCCCGACTGATGAGTCTCACACAAGTTGGTCGCGCCTGGGATACTACCGGGCGTCGTGGGACCCAAAAGACTTTGAAAGCTCTCAAACTCTCCCACTCTACATGGGTTCAAGTGAAGAGAGCGAGTTGGTCTATACAACACTGACATGATCGGTATGTTTTTGCGAGATGGATATATCAGTCTTGAAATTGTAGCTAATAATGGACCAAGCGGGACTACAGATAGGTTCGAGTCACTCTGCTTCGTTGCCAATGCTTGTCACATGACGTAGGGTTGGAATGGAAGTAGCAAGTGAACTGTTATACTGTCTTGATCATGACTGTTTTCCCTTCTCTACGCTATTATAAAAGCTTGATACTGTAGCTTCTGTCCACTTCTAGACAACCACTGCGTCACCGAGATTGAATGCGCAATGAGAGGATTTCAGTGCAATGGGAGTAGAAGCAATGAGAGCAGTTATGGTGAGAGGGTTGGTTGGTGCACTGAGAAAGCTGGTATTTCGAGAGAATCCGGAGTGCAAGTGCAGAAGCCGAGTATTGAATTCGAGAAATGACTTCTGGGGTCTGGCACTTATGTCCATGGCTAGGTAAAAGTCTCTACATTTTTAATATTTCGCACGCAAGTCTGGCTGTTATGTCCAGATAGAATAGGTGTGTTGAAAGGATTGTGGTAATATTCAGTATGATAAAGCGGACCAGCTAACAAAGAATGAACATCTACCCGTATCAAATAATCCGAAATTCTCTTCGCTCCCACCCTGCCAAAGATACCCCATCCTGTGGCCCAAGGAACAGACCAACGCGTTTGAACTGCACATTATTATTTGGCTCTTCCGCTTCATCCAGCTCTTCCTCTTCTTCTACTTCTTCCTCTTCATCCAGCTCTTCCTCTTCATCCACCTCTCCCGACTCATTCACCTCTTCCGATTCATCGACCTCTTCCGGTTCCTCCAGCTCATCCAGAATCAGCCCCATCCATCTAGACCCCGCTTCCGAAGTATCTGAATACCATTTACAAATCTGAATTACTACGAAGTTGGTATTTGAGCGGTCATCCAGCCATCTGATCTCGTTGTCCGCCAAGTCGAATAGACATTCGCAATTCAGAGAAGCATCTAGATCCTTCAGGGATATCGACATTGCAGATAATTTCATAAGTCTGGGCTGATCCAGCAATCCTCCGCTACCAAATTGCATGTAGTCTGTTGTCGTATTGACATCGTGGCTCTCGAGAAGTCGAGCCTCGTGAGCGGACTCGACTGGATAAGAATGGACGCTCGTAGCCAGGCTGTATGATACGGCACCTTCTAGTGAAGCCCAGCTCCACGTGGGTGGTTCTCCGACACTTGAACCCCTCTTCTCTAGCTCTTTCATGTGATGTTGTGATCGCCACAGAAGGCCTCGCCATAGATCATCTACCCACAGGCCTTGTGAGAAAAGACCATGTCCGTGTAGGCTCTTCTGAAGTGTGATAGCGACCTCCCACACTGCAGGCAATTTATCGGAAGGAAATGTAAGCAGAGACGCGGTAGACACCTCAATCACAGAATACCATGATTGTAGTGGATTATTGGTGGCCTTTGCTATTGCGTTCGCGGTATTGAAAGGCCGAACATTGATCTGTAATATTGGCTTCTGAGCCACGACACTGCCTTCTGATAGCAGACAAGTGCCACAGTTCCAAAATTGTTGTTCCTTGTGGGAAAATATGATCCGTTTCGCCAGTGCAGTTTCTTGCATTCTCCACCCTCTTTTTGCCATAAAATCAGACAAGACGTCACGTGGCCTTAGGAGCTTTTTTCTCAAATGGAGACATCCACCGGGCTTGTTGCCTTCGCTTGAGACTGGTAAAGCTAGAAGGGATACCGAAGAGGGAGGTCTTGGTGAGAATATACCTGCATCCACGTGCTCTGACGCTAGAGCAGAAACGACGCAAGCGGCATTTCGAATGTAGTTACCCATTCTCCCAGCCTCTCTTTGCCAGTCTTCTGCAGAATCTTGAATAACGCAAAGAGCATCAATCCAAATATATGATATTGCTAGAAAGGAGGCAAGCTCGATACCATCTTTGAAAGTCTGGGGAAGTTGGTCAAATCCAAGATCTTCAAGATGGTCTTCCAGTGTGGATATCATTGTGCGTTGTGGTTGTACTTTGCCCCAGTTGAAAGATAGGTATACATATTCTCCAGAGAACGAACTTGAATCTGGGAAATGCTCAAGGAATACGTGTGGAAATTTTCGAATGTTAATCAAGCGGGTGGGAAATCCTGTTGGCTCGAACTCGGTCTGACGTTCCGCGTGCTGGAGTCTGCATGTTTTGATCCAATTTGATGTCAAGGCCCAACCTTCCCTCGAACAAGCGTCAGCATCCAGTGTCCGCCCACTAAAAATTTTGCCCAGCGTGTCTTCAATAGCTATAAGTTGAATTCTCAGCGTTGGTCACACATATATTGTCTTGGAGCAACACGTACCGCGATCAATACAAATTTCTAACTCTAGACGAACGTCACTTCCAATAGAGATCACTAGAATATCTTGGTCCAGGGTTCCGAGGGTCTTAGAGCTGCATAGAATCATCTGAATCGTCATTCCTGATGTCAAGGAGTGGAGGTAGTCTCTTTCGAGACCGAGTGCCTCAATTTCACGAACAAATACCTTGCACATAGGGCAGCCTTTCTCGCTAGATTCCAAAAGCCCTTTATAAGACGGGTAGAAGGCATCTGAGAGGCCTTGAAGGGCTGACTTATACCACCGTTGTACATCACACCGTAAGCAGAATCCAGAAGTATCGAAATCCACTCTTGAAGAGGGAATCATTGTTCCAGGGCCGGAGGTTCCATTCGAATCGAGAGATGGACTCGTGTTCTTTCGATCAACATTGAGCAAAGTTTCAATCTCTGACCCTGCGTTCCCCTTCGCCAGTGCCAATGGAGTTTCTCCATCCTTGTTGACAAGCTGTCTGTTACAACCGGCCCCAAGTAGAATTGTGACAATTTCATCTTGACTTGTCATCGAAGAAAAGTGCAAAGCCGTGTTTCCTCTGGGATCCGTTTGGTCGATATTTGCGCCAAATCTCAGCAGTAATTGGACAATCTTTGGATGCCCATAGTGAACCGAAATGTGCAGAGGCGCAAACCCATGGTAGTTTGGGAGATTTGTATCAGCTTCGTGTCGAAGTAACGCTTCGGCAAATTCCACTAGTCCCACTCTGGACGCGAGGTGCAGAGCTGTGTCACCGACATTATTCTGGGAGTCAATGGCAATTCCCGACGCCAACAATAATTCCAGAACTGGTAGAGATCTCCAATGGACGGCTTCATGAACAAGGGTGTTGCCGACAAGATTCTTAGCTTCAATATTAGCCCCAGTGGCGATACCATACTGGACGGCATCTACTTGGCCATAACGTACAGCCACATGCATCGTGCTCGATGGCAAGGCATTTTTGTACAGGCTGCTGATGAGGCAGTTGAGTTCCAGTGGAGTCTGGTCATTTACCTTGGCATCTCGGGAGTGCAGAGTCCAGTATTTATTTGAGTAAGAACGCACTTTCTGGGTGGCTGCCTGGTTCGTTTGACATATCCTTTCGAGTGAAGAATCTGCTTGACCAGGCATTAGGAAGCGAAGGCAGATCATGGCGGCACGTAGGTTTGCGGTTGGCGAAAGAAATGGGTTGTCGAGGTCTTGGCGTATTTCCAGATATGGTCGTACCGTAAGGTGGGAGAGGCGAAGGACACCGGAAGAATTTTTGACAATAAAATTACTACACATGCGGAGTAGTCGATTCGTTGGAAAAGGTCGAAGTGCTGTTCCATCAGACTTTATGGAAGCGATAAGAGCAAGATCCTCAATGTGGAACTCTTCATAAGCATGCAACATCCACTGAAGTGCTGTCTGGACAACAACTTTGCGATTCGGATCATCTTTGCCAATTGCGTTCAAGTAAACTTGGTCATAAGCTTCATTGAGCTGATCAATGGGCTCTAAGTCCTTTCGCTTGAGAGACTGAATTTTCTCGTCGATCGTGTCCTGAAACATGATATCAGGGCTGAGGAAAATTTCAACCTCCAAAGTTACCCATTGGAACCTATCCCAAGAACACGAATCAGCTTGTGGGAATTTTGCGTAATGGGAATTCAAGTATACTTACATCCCGCCCGCGTACTCTATCAACACCTGCTCAAGATCCGTTGCTTGCTCGGGAGTCATAACAGTATCTTGTTGTAGAGATCTACGCTTCTCAATCTCTGTTTGCAGATAGTACCGAATATCAGCAGTGTTGCTCTCGCCAATGTCGGCCTCCACCACATCTGGAAAAGTTGCTTTAACATCCACTCCATATCGACTAGAGAGAAATAGTCGCAAGTTTTGTTGTCCAGATGCCCAAATGAGTTTCAAGGCAGCTAGAAGTCCATCTGGATCTACACATTCGTCAAGCGCATCCACAATAATCACAATTGCTTTGGACGAATTCGCAGCAAAAGACTCCTTCAATAAAGCAATGCATTTCTTGAGCTGCAACTCACAGCCATCTGCCCGTCGAGACTCGCTGTCTCTGTAGTCTTCGAGAAAACTCTTGAAGGCGGGGTGTCCGTTGACAGATAGACACCGGACCAAGCTTCGAATGATTGTTGTTGTGTCGCTGCGTCGAGTCGTTTTTTCCTTGCGAGAACAGTAAAAGTAAGCCAGATAAGCTGTAGGAGTATCAATGAAGTCTTGAATCACAATTGATGTCAAAGAACTCTTCCCTGTACCTGGGGTGCCTTTCAACAAGAACACGCCAGACTTGGAGTTCTGCCAATCTTTGAAATCTTCGCTTTCGAACAGCCACCGGCCTCGGTTGAGATATGATTCCCCAAGGCTGTCCCGGACATTGTCGTGGTCTGCCCCATACTTGATCATGGAGATCCAGTCGAGACATCCTTTCTTCTCGTAGTTTGCATTGTCCGTGTTTGCCAACACAAGCTTTAGAGTTTTGCTGTGCTCTTCGAGTGCTGTCATGAGCTGAGCATTTCCACGCTGCTGCTCTCTGAATCCCATGAATGCAATACATCGTCGACAATCGTCATCGAGAACGATAATTTTAGCTGAGATATCTGACCATGATGTGGTAGCCGTGACAATTCCCCAAATCCGTTTGATTGTTTTGGCACCGAAGTACCGGGCAGCTAAGGCTTGATACTGCAACAAAGTAGTGTACAAATCAAGTGCAGCTGTGCTGTAGGTTGGTTGAGTATTAGGGTCGGGGAGCATGCCCTCTTCCGCAATTGTATAACACCAAAGGATTTTAGCAACCCTTTCTAGTCCATCTATGGCTTCTTGATGTCGCTTCGCGTCTTTAAGCATCAACTTAGAATCGTCAGCTTCTCCCATAGATTTCCTCGCCAAAAACTTATTCTTACCGGGATCAAAGAGGAAACAGCTGTCCATGGAATCGAGATATATGGGGGCGCAAAGGTCATACCCGCCGAAATCAATCCTTGACCTCGATCTATCAAAGACAGAATAGAGTCGACTGTTTCTCGAACTTTGACCTCCTTGACACCGAGTAGATTGAACGACCACTGCTTTGATTCCATCTTCGTCTTCTGCTGCGCAACAACATTCTGAATCTCGAGTTTGATATCAGTGCTTGAGTCTAGCTCTGCATCTTCCTTGATAATTGTCTCGAGGTCTCTGATGAGATCTGGGTCATCCTCTGCTAGCTTCTTGTAGGCTTGCTGCCACAGGCTGGAGGCGTCGAGACCGACTGAGCCTGACGAAGGTTCTATAGTAGCGATGCCATCAGAAGCTACAACGGTATCATGACCCGTGCTGGATACTCCATTCACCGTCAGTGAAGCCTTTGCGACCGCTTGATGCGAACCATCTTCCAAAGGAGGGATGCTCTCCTGCCGGGGCTGGTTCAGTGGAGGTGCTGGTTTCGGAGATGCATTCGAGATTCTGTGGTATTGTTGAGCTGGGTGCGGATTAATCTGTTTGATTGAGACACGTACTTTGGGGGTGCTTTTTCTTGAGCCCAGGACAGAGCTATCCTAGGCGGCTGTAGATCATGCCCATCGTCTACATGGGATGATTCCGCGCCCTTGAAGCACGAAAGGCACATACTTGGGAATTATCATTCGACCGACTAAAGAGGAGCACTAGTAGGCCAGCTATCGCGATGCTGTTCATTCTATATATCTTCGAAAGGAGGCTGGGCTGCCCGGGCTGAGCTGAACTGCCCAAAGCGAGACGTGGGGGCCGTGAAGAAAAAGATGCGCCAAGCGCTTCCAATGTTACGCCCCTGCTTCGATTGGCCGAAGTCTGCGTAAGCAATGGGAGCATACATGTTGAACACGATATTCAGGGACGGAAATGTGTTGATAGTCTCAAATCAGAGGTTTTTCTCCCCTTTAGAAGCTTCGACGGAAGCTAATCCGATGAGACTATTTTTAGATATGTCACGTGCAATGCACGTGCCTAGGAAGCCAAATTTGCTAGGTACCTAATTATTTAAGTATCCCACACAGCTTATTGTTTGATGTTAAAATCCTTTCTCTGTAGTGAAGCGTATCTCCAAAGTTATGTTCAAAGTATGTAGAAACATGCCTTGATGCACTTTTATAAAATGAGTTTTGTCATCATGTTTGTCAAGTGCCTAGGTATATCATCCTATTCACACTTGCTCTTGACGGGATAGCAATAGCAAGTGGAGCATAGACGATAGAGTGTCATGGAAAGTTTTCCAGAGCCTGTAAACCTCAAGTTGGCCGTAGCAACATTGATATAGATAGCAATATTCAAAATCCGTATACTAATAGTAGAACATCGAACTCGAAACTGTAATAAAGTAGCACCAACATATTCATCATGATCCCTTTTAGCAAGAAGAAGAAGCAACATCACTTCCTCTCACAATCCTCCTCGGCTTCCCCCTACTCCTAACCCGATTAATCTCCCCACATACCGCACCCGACATTGCCCCCTTCTCCTTCAAATATTGCACAATCTCCGTCTTCTCAGCCCTAGTCGCCAAGTCCAATGGCGTAAGCCCCGTATCCGACACCTGATTGACATCTGCGCCATGTTCGACTAGGAGTTTGACAATTTCAAAGCCGTCTTCTAAGTCGTTGTGTGCTGCCCAGTGCTGTGGACCGACACGTTAGTATCTTCTCAATAGGAAGGGAGATGTGGTGAGGGACGTACAAGGGGACACCAATCGCAGACCGTGCGATCAGATGGGTTGACTCCTTTTGCCAATAAACTCTTCACGCTCTCCAGGTGTCCACCAGCTGCAGCTTGATAGAGTCTCATATCCTGGGAGCGGATACCGGTTCGGGCTTGGTAGGTAGGTGTTGGCAGCTTCTCTACTGGAGCTGTGACAACATTTTCGGATTCGTGGATATCTTTGGCGTCGTATGGGGCTGTGGAACGTTTCTGTTAGGAACACTTCGTCAATAGATAGATGGAGGCCTTACGTGGTGGACCGATTGACTCCTGATCTTGCGGGATAATCGATTCGCGGCGTGGTTTGCGCCCACTTACACAGCAGCAACAGCAACCCATCTTTCTGATTGTGGAGGTTCAAAAAGCTGAATAGTGGGTAGGAATCAATTGGTTTTTTGGAGCTGAGGTGATTATAAGAGAAGAGAATTCAAGAGACGTCGTCACTCGAGAGGCACAGATGGCGGGGTAGCAGGCAACAGCATTTGCACTAAGCGAGTCCGAAGATCTGCCGAGGGGGGGCGACTTCCGAATGTCCTCAAAAATGTTCAATATCTCTCGAACTATTCTTACGGTGCTTCCACAAGAGACGAAGTAATGTCTCATCTCAAGAACCGCCATCATAAATCGGCAGCGGCGCTCCCATAACATCAGCCTTGATACTCAACGCTATGAATCGCGAATAAAAGCGACATTGGGACTGATCGCCCCCAGTGTAGAACATCCCTTTTTGTCCACCCGGTCTAAAGGCAGCTCGAAGCTCTCCCTCACTGTCGACACCCCAGAAGTCTCCCATGGCATCAGCAGTAGATGGCGAGAAGATCTCAGTGACAACTGAGCGTAAGTTTGTTTGAAATCCCGTAGCGAATACCACCACATCCGCGGGGAGAACTGAGTTGTCTGCAAAAGCAAGTCCTTCGGCGGTATAGTGCGTGGGTAGGGAGTCGGATTTGATCTTGATCTAAACTCATAGTGTTAGGCAAATTCACACCACTTCGATGAGAGGGATTGAGAGAGAAGCATTCTTACCAGTCCATCGGCAATTTTCTTCGAGGCGCCAACATCAACATAGTGCCCACCAAAACGATCAAAAATACTCTCCCCCACACTTCCGTTCTGGTCGAATTTGAATCCAGCTGCTTTGAGGGCATCATAGCGCTTTGGTTCCAGGGATGCGAGATGGCCGAGGCCACCTTTGTAGAGCCGTCCCACAATGGGATAAGGCATGGACCAGGAAAATTGATCGGCGAGGTAGGTGGGGAACTGTGCATTGTAGGATTGAGAGATAAGTCCGTGGAGATATTCTGCTGGGACGACGTCTAGACTTGTAAGTTGGAGTTGAGAAGAAGACTTGGAGAGAAACTGACAGGTCGGAGAGCGTTGCACCATAGTTACTGAGGCGAGACCAGCAGCTACCATGTCCTCGACGACATCGTGGGCTGTGTTCGCGGTTCCGATCACAATGCCGTGTTTTCCTTTCCATGCGGAAGGATTTTTGTAATCCTTTGAGTGGAGGATGGTGCCTTCGAATTTCTCCTGTGGAAATGGAATCTCAGTACCATGATCTTTGATAAAGGAATGGGGAAGCCTCTACTCGGGTCGAATACTCTGGCATGCTAGGAATCTGAGCACTTCCAACCGCGAACACCACATGAGAGCTGGTAATCGTTCGATCCTCTCTACCTCGCTGGACTTTCAACGTCCACAGCTTCTTCGAACCGTCCCAATCGCCCTTTACGAGCTTTGTATCAGTCCAGACATTCTGATATATCGTCAGTGACCAAACTCTAAGCATAGTAGGCTGGTACCTTACAATATCGAACTTCTCAACCCAATTCTTGTAACCTTGGGCCAGCTCATTTTTAGTAAGATGCTCAGAGCATTCGGGACCAAAGGTTCGATCAAAAGGAAGATGGGCTGCAAATCAGCTAGCATTCACCAACAACGGCTTGAGAATACCTACCAGTTTCTCTCGGCAAATGCACTGCATACCATTAGTCTCGAATTTACTTACAACTTGCAAAGATCTCGAACCTACATTTACAAGAATCATACCTCATCCTCCAATTATCCCCCACCTCAGGAGATTTCTCCAACACCACACAACTAACCCCTAACGCCTTCAACCTCCCCGCAACACTAAGCCCAGCCTGTCCGGCCCCAACAACCACACAATCAAAACTAGTATCCTCCTTCCCCTCCGCCTTTCCGCCCTCCGGCTCCAGAAAATCAACAGAGTTCTCCCCCTTAAACCCCATCAAAAACGTCCTCAACAACCAAATCCTCCATTCCCCATCATCTTGCACCAATGAAACAATAGCCTGACAGTCCGTCTTTTCGGTCTCAAATTCGTAGATGGCTTGGATCCAGCATAATGGTCCTGCGCGGAAGATCTGTGCAGAATTGGGTTGCAGGGAGAACTTGGTGGGTTGCAAGAGTTTGGTGGTTGCGGCCCAAGCTGTGAGGATGGAGGAGGGACCGTAGAAAGTTCGGAGTGTACCTGTTAGAGCGTAGAGATCACGCCAAGTCCCAGAAGAGGTGATAGAGGAGGGGGAGAGGGTGGTGAGGCTGGGGAGAAATCCTAGAGCGACTTTTTCGGGGTCTACATCTGGTGAGATGGGAGTGAAGGGGAGGGAAGCGGGGATATCGAAGAGACGTGGCATGGTCAGTTAATCAGACAGCTTTTGGAGAATGCGAATGATTTGCAGTTTATGCTTGGGATATAGGTTTGGTATTTGAGCTGTATGTCTTTCGTCATGTTGGAACTAGGGTAGGGTTGCATTGGCATCTGCATCCTGCAAGCTGACGCTGACATAAGATGCGCGAACTTAAATATACATAGGTACATAGGCCATGCGACTTTGATGCGATTTTCAAGGTGACGTGAGCTCGCTTGTCCCCTTTCTGTAGCGGTAGAATAGTCCACGGAGTAGTCATTCTCCTCCATGGACTTAAAGAGTAAACTTAAATCGCAACCGAAGCTTAAACCAACAACAAGCGTCGAGCTCTCGTATTCTCGAACCACATAAATGAGCTGAAATCCCCAAAGAGGAGTTTAAAGGTACACATTTCCTAATCAAACTTGGATAACGTGAGATTCAGGAAGCTACCATCTTGTCTTTCAGCTTCGAAGAGTCGCGGCCGGCATGAAGCTGCGAGCTAGTTCGGCCACAACTCAAACATCCTCCAAAACCTCCCTATCAATCTTCCCCAAACCGTCTTCTCACGACAATACTTCGGCTGCACACAATCCAACCAACCTCTCTGCCTTCTCCACTGCATCTCCGCCGCTCCTCGAGCTACTACAAACCTGAAATCAATGTCCTGTTCTCTGACCTCTACCTCCGCGTCCCAAAGAGCATCCTTCACCGTCTCCAAGAAATCTTCATCTCCAGCCCTCTCGCCGGACAGCAGAAGTTGCGTAAACTCCTTCTTTCCCTTCAACCTTCTTACCCGCTCTTTAACGTTCTCCCAATACCCACTCGTCCCTTTCTGATCACTTCCAAGTTCCCAATCTACGATGTTCGTCGCTGCGTACTTAGACCGTGCCATTTTGATCCAATCAGTGTTAGCAGACAGAGTTCTATTGGTATAGTCGAGATGTAACAACTCATCACCATCTTTCATTGCATTTTCCTCTTTCTCGCACTTATAAGGATCCGCATATGTGGCACACAGCCCATACCCGTGGGCAGCGTACACAGCGTTGAAATCACCGTCGTGGATCGCCCGTTTGGGAAGTGGCTTGAGACCGGCGTACACGAGCGCGTCGTTCACTTCTTCATGGGATGCAAAAGCCGCATTGGGGATTGCAAGGCCGATTGTCGTGATCGAGATTGAGAGACGAGACTCGGTCTCTGAACGAAGCATTCTGAGCATGGATCCCAGCGTAGCGGCATTTGTGGACCCAGGACGACCGAGGAAGAGATTGTTCCGCCGCTGGACGATTTTGAGAAGAAATCGAAATTGATGTGAAAAGGTGTTTAGAATCGGTGGACGTAGTCGATTAGGGTGAGTGGTCAACTCTTGCATCAAGGCAATGTATTCTGCCGATCCAGGAATATTGATGATGTTCTCGACATGACCGTCCACGTCTCTAACTGCAGCCGTGCTATTGTCATTAGGCTGAGAATCCAATGCTCTTTATTGATCAAGATTACGAGGTGTCAACATACCCCAATGTTAATCCCAAGTGAAACCCTATACCTGGAGCTGATTGTAATCTACGGTCCAAGCAGTTGTCACACTGCATGATCGGGCAAATGCGATCACCTTGCACCAGAAGCGCATGATGAACCATGATCAGAAAAACTGAGTATAGCCACGGTAATCTCATATTTGAAGAGTAGGATTTGAGAAGGGTACAGCAATGAGTAGTTGTTATATGTTGAGGACAGATGTCATAAGTTACGTCGAGAAGTTGTATTAAGTATGTTGCGATGTGACGTGGGGCACAGCCCTATTCTTTGTTTTCCACCAATTGTTGGTTGGGTTGGGTTGGGTTAGGTTTCACGTCAGCGGCTATGCAGAGACTTTGCACTCACACCAAAATCCTTATAGGATTTTAAGTCGGTCGCTCCAGAGATAGCCTTTCTGTTCAACTGTAGGTCAAGATTTGCCATAAACAATTCAAATTCGCATAGCTAGAGAGGTTAGATTAACTATTGATCAATTCTATAATAATATTCCGAAATAAGGGATTAAACTATATACCAGATAGTCCCCCCCCCCCCCCCCAAGCCTTTACGCAGGAAATATTAAATAAGGTACGTAACCTAGAGTGGGGTGCTATATTTCCGTCCGCGTAATCTTGCTTTTCATTTTGTTACTTATATTCCTCTTGCCGTACTTTGATTTCCGGTTTTGAAAGCGCCACAGGAATTAAATTTTTTAATTAGCTTTGGCATATTACTTTTCAAATCGAACATAGTCCCTAAATAGACTTCCTATCTCTATTCTCTCATAAGATGATGTTTTAGAGTCCAATCAATAGAGTAGATGAGGTGCTGGTGGCCGACTGGTATATAGACGCATCTAGTGCCACTCGCGAAGAGGTATGAGAATAACTTGGTATTGTTGATCGGGTGTTTTTGACTTGACCTTTACTCTTCGCAGGGCTGACGGTGCGCCACGAGAGTATTGATCTTCCGCCGCAGTTTTCGAATGTAATTACAAGAGCTGTTGATTAACTCTACTGATCAGAGTATAAACCGCGGGCAATTCCTGCAACGGTACACTATCAATCTCGAGCTCCGAAACGCTGCTTCTCCGCGATGACGAGCTGGCAGGCGTTGGCAGACTGGTCGTACGTCGTCGAAATGTCTGATACACAATATTGATCCCAAACACCTGCCCAAGAACAGCAAAAATAGGAACAATAACATAAAAAATCCCTCCCCAACCAGTTCCCTTAACCGGCATTATGGTAACCCCAGTGTGGCCGCTCAACACCGAGTCCAAGATCACCGTCGGCGTTGGGTCCATATTCGCATCCTCGATAGAACCAAGCGAGTATCGATCCAGCATCGCCGTACCCAACCAGGCGGAGACCAATTGATGCAAGCCCAGATTCCAAAAGAACAGCGCGCCCGGTAAAGGAATACCGCACCCTGGCTCCCCTTTGCTTAGCCCTTCCGCCTTCTCAAAGTAATTCGCCTCCAGGTACTCACGCACGACCATCATCGCATGTAAACTGTTCTGGAAGAACAGGATGCTCAAAATGAACTTCCGGTCCGTATCATGCGCGGGCGCTGCCCCGAGCCCGAAAGGCGGGGAATTCGAGAACCCCATCGCCACGGCGACGCAGAAGAGCGTGATGCCCATGTTGACGGCAGCGTAGCAAAGTATATGAAGCCACGCGTGGCGCCCGAGCGATGAGTAGGGGAAGCCCGTTGGGAAGCCGTCATTGTCATCACATTGTATGCAGCGCGCTGCACACAAGACGGCAATGGCTTTGATGCTCAACGCAACGGCTGCGATCTCGGTGATGAATTTAATCCAGACTAGCTTGGCCTTTGTTTCTCCCAGAGGTTCGGCTAAACAGTATGATAGCGGTACATGCTGCGATGTATCGGGCGAGTTTCGAGCCGTATGGTAGAGGTAGCACAAGTCGTAAGCAGCGTAGTAAGAAGCCAGGAAACTGGCGAGCCCGTAGCTTACGCCGTTCCATTGCCAAGTTGTGCAATCTGCGCCGAATATCGAGTTGCATGCCGGCATGTCTGCTACGCTAATGTATACGGGATAGGGAGGTATAGTCGTGTTAGGCGTCACAGAAAGGTAAGCCTCGGGGCATAAAGACATGAAACGGCTTGGAAGACCATTTGGAGTGAAACCTGGAAGTGTGCCAACGGCAAGGCCAGAGTTGTTTTGGGACAAATTTGGCGCCCAATTGGTAACCATAATGACAGTTCGAAAATTAGAATACAGTTCAAGACCATAGTTCCTCCTACAGTCGTAATTCGACAGATTTGTCCATGAAGATGAGTTCTGCTGTACACCATCGAGAATACGCTGCAACGACGAGGATCCAGGCCAGCCACCAGGCCAAGGAGTTCCGTATTGTACCGATGCTCCAGGTTGATCTTTGAATTCGGTGACATTCAGGACGGACAAATCAAACGACTGCCCTTGGAAAAAGCCCTTATCAACCAATACCTCGTATGCATCGTAGGCCGGCAATGATGTTAGAATGATCGAGTTATACAAGACATGAATCGGCAACGACGTCAGCGACAAAATAACCCAGAGCACCTTACGTCGCCAGTTCGCCTTCCAGCAGGCTGCGAGAGATTGATACCCGAGTTTTCCTTTCGGATTCCAGATCTCATCTTTAGGCGGTGGGAGTAGGCAGCGCCTGATATAATCGGATCCGAAGACAATTAGACCTGAGACAATATTGAGAGGTAATTGGACGACCATAACGTTGAACCATTGCAGTTTCTTGAAATCGGTGCCGGTGCGTAAAGTTGCAAAGCCGTGGTCGTCGGCTTTACCAAAGGCGCAAAGAAGGATGTGGACTATCGCTAGCAAACACATTGATGTGGCGCATAGAAACACATCCCACCTCCCTGATATCTTCTTTTTCAACTTGCTCGCTTCTCTCTTTATCCATGTCCATATTCTAGTAACGCAGGATAGATCTTTCTTAGGCAAGGCGGGCGTGATTAACGTTGACGTTGACTCCGGGTTGGCTTGCGCGTTGCTACTAGGTCTAGCCAAAAACGAGTCAGTATACGTTCCAATGTATAAGCAAGGGAACCATTACAACAAACGCCTCGTAGCTTGGTCAATATTACTCCCACGAGAACCCGTTGGAATTCGATACGCCGATAGATCGACCTCTTCTAGCGGTTCCTCAAAAATCGAGCTTGCCGAACCCCATATCTCTCGTGGATCCGGAGAGATCGTCTCAAAATCTGTAGCGCGAGACATATCTTTACGCAAAAGAAGCGAAGTTGCTCTGCCGCCGTTGACAGCACATAAAACGACAAGAGCTGAAGAAACATATATCCACTCTGCTAGTCATGATCGCCCCCCAAAACTCGCAGTCGCAAAGCCTCACTTCCACAACGACTGAGCTGCACAATGCAGAGAGCGCTGCACCGGATTGGTATTTGGACGATGATTGTGCAGAATACAGCAGCTGCGCCTCAATAGACAAGGCGGTTTTTCGCGGGGAATGCACCTTTCTTGGCACACCCATATAATATAGTCTGCAATAAAACATGTAAGGCTTTCCGGTGAGTGAGCGGTTATCTGCAGCAGTATCTTCGTCATTGTGCATTATCAGGTCGTTGATTGAGCGTGCCCGTTGCGAGGAAATAGGCGTCGATCCCGGCAAAGCAACCAACCACTTTTAAGGTTGGATGTGCCCGATGCCGAAAGAACAGTGCGTCGGGATTGCTACGTTAAAGATGAACGGGCAAAGCGAAGCAATGGGGAAATGATGATGAATTATTCGAATAAGCGCAAAACGAAACTTGTTAACGAGGACATCCATATAGCGGGGCTCTTGTACAATTCTGGCCAAAACCTAATTATTTAAGCTTTTGCACCTTTGTACTTTGGCGGGGTTTGCAACTTTGCGGCATTGCAGGTTTGAAAAAAGTAGTAAACTCTGAACCAATCAAAGAGTAGGATTTTCATGCCATTATCACATAAGTGTAGTTGTACAGTCCCAAGTCCCAGCCCTCGATGTAGTTCAACTTCTAGCTCTCAAGCTCTCTCTGCCCTCACAGCACTTTTATTCCCGGCCTCCCCGTCCCTCTCCCTAGTCTGCCTTTCCTTATTCTCGCTCTCTACTCTCACTCTCTCTACTCTCACTCTCTCTACTCTCACTCTCTCTACTCTCACTCTCTCTACTCTCACTCTCTCTACTCTCACTCTCTC